TGGGCAGGGCTGTGGAGGGAGGCACCCCCTGGGCCTGGGGACAGCAGGTGCCCTGGAGCTGTGGGGACAGAGACTGAAGTTTGGGACGGGGGACTCTGGAGGGGAGGACCCGAGAGTGCAGAGGCCCTGAGGCCAGGCCGGCGACGAGGCACAAACAGCCGGGAGGCCTCTGTGGCGAGAGTTGAGGACGCCTCCGGTGGAGGGAGGGGGCTGAGGAGGGCCAGGGGCCTGGGGCGGCAGGGCGCGGGCCCTGTCTCTGGGGAGCCGTAGGGAGCCCTGGGGGGTTGCGGAGCAGCCTCCGCCCCAGGACTCCCCTCCCTGCAGCTGGCCGAGAGAAGCGTGGCTATCAGATCCCCGGCCGCTCCTCCAGGCTCTCACAGGGGAGGAGGCGGGGAGGGCAGGAGACAGAAAACAGCCTCGGTGGTGAATTCGGGCTAGAGAAATGGTGAGTCATTTCTTAGCCAGAACCCAAAGGTTATGAAAATGGCTTGGATCCACCTGGACGCGCACGGTAGCACGATTCTCCATGGCCTGGGGGTAGAAATAGCCTCAGTGTCCAGTGAGGGGGGAGTAGATAAAGCAACAGTGTCCACCCACATGGTGGAATATTACTCAGCCAGGAAAAGGGACGGGGCCTCGACACTCACCGCGCTGTGCGGGGACCTGGAAGGCGCCATGAGCAGTAAGAGACGCCGTGCACAGGAGGGCAGGCAGTGTGGACAGGAGCCGCCCAGCTGGCGCAGCCAGGCACAGGAAGGGGACCTGTGGGCATTGAGGCTGGAGAGGGGACGGGTAAGTGCTCGGCACCGTGGGGCGTTCTGGCCTCCACTGAGGTGGTAGTGTGGCCCCGCCTGACTGCGTGGTCCCTGAATTTCATGCTGCTGTTTTTTAGCAGCTGAGAATTAAAATAAAAAAGCCAGGACACCTCAGGTGACCAGGTCCCTGAGCTTGGTGAGGCCAACCAGACCTGGGAGACCTGGATTCCCTGGCGCTGGGTGGGGCACAGAGGGGCGCTGGCCGGGAGGCGGTGGAGGTCCTCATGCTCCCCGTGCTCCTCCTCCATCTCCTCCTCCTCCTCCATCTCCTCCTCTTCATCTCCTCCCCCTCCTCCTCCCCCTCCTCCATGTCCTCCTCCTCCTCCTCCTCCTCCTCCATGTCCTCCTCCTCCTCTCTCTCCTCCCTGTCCTTGGTCCCCAAGCCTGGGACATTAGGGTGGCTTCTTGCTTTTTCCTGGTGGCCCAGGCACCTGCAGTCCAGGTGCCCCCACCACCCGCCCGCGCCTGGTCCCCATCCCGTCCCAGGTGGGGCCCCATGGACTTTGGAGCCAGCCGGACGCAGCAGGGGGCTGAGCAGGCAGGGCAGGGGAGCGGGGGGGACAAAGTTCTCAGGGCCCCACAGACACAGGGGCCGTTGCTTTACAGCGGGGCCCCTCGGCTGGGACATGCCCTGGGCTCCCTCTATGGCGGGAACCTGCCCAGACGCTCAGGTGGGGCCCAGGAGCAGGGAGGTGACTTGGGCAGGCGTCCCAGGGTCCAGCCTGGGATCGGCGGGCCAGCCCGCATCTGCTCCACCACGGCCTTGGCCTGGTCACTGTGTGGTCTTTGTTGTTAATACAGGGCTTTCTGTGTGGCCCAGGCTGGCCTCACACTCACAGAGATCCCCCTGCCTCAGCCTCCCGAGGGCCAGGGTCACAGACACATGTCACCGTGCCTGGCTTAAATGTTTTGTTTTTGAGACTGGCTCTGGTCGTCCGGTGTCCTCAGGGTTCTTTTGCTGACCTGCCCTAAGGGCAGGCGCAGGCCCCAAGCCAGGACTCGGCACTTGGTCCCCGGAGAGCCCTGCTCCGCAGGGCTGCTGACTGTCACAGCTCGGGGTTGTCGGCCTGGCAGTGGCAGCTGCAGCTCCACGGGGAATTTCCAACTGGCCCTCAGGGCCAGCGCCAGGACTAGTGCCAGGGCTGCCAGTCTCCTCCCAGGCCATGTCCGGATGCGGGACACATGGTCTGCTCTAGAAGGACCACGACCTCTCATCCCCAAGCCCCCCGAGCCCCTGGACCTCAGCCCTGTGGACACCCAGAGCCGAGCGCCATGCATCCACCGATAGCCCTGTGCAAGGTGCTGGAAGAAAGCCAGCAGGAGGAGGGACAGGGTGTGGAGGCCCAGGGGCGGTGGGGAGAAAGAAACCTGGGGAGATCTAGGCCGGACCCACATTCCAGGCTGGGGCCACGGACAATGCAAAGGCCCTGGGGTGGGCGTGGGTGTGTTCTGGGGGCTGTCTTTCCTGGGTGGGAATAAGGGGCTTCGAGAGGCCTGGGCGGGAGCCAGGAGAGCGGCGTCCCCTTTTTAGGTGGACTTTTCCTAAGGGGAGGGTGACATGTGTGCCCCAGCCAGCCCTTGCCCCAGCCGTGCTCCGACTCTGCGTCCATATCTTAGATGGAAAGGACGAGGTCCCTGGAAGGGGCCAGGAATCTGGGCCTGCATGGCCGGAGCTGAATTAGGCTGGGCCCTGGTCTAGGCGGGCCAGCACAGTTCTAGACGAGGGGATAATCAGACAGGGGAAGAAAGGCCCTCTTGACCCAAAACAGCCCAGAAACCAGAGGCATCCACCCACAGACCCAGGGACGACGTGGGACACCAGGAGGTCGGGTCTGTGAGGGGAAGGCCGGCTGGTGCGGTGGCCTGCGTCTGCTCTCAGGAGACAGCATTTGTGTGGGGAGGGGGCCTGGACACCGCCGTGGAGGGCCTAGACACTGTCCCCTGAGGCCCCGCCAGCTGGCCAGGTGGGACCCACCTCACAGGGGAGCGGAACGAGGGGCCTGAGCCCCACAAAGCTGGGGCGGCCTTAACTGCAACTTTGCTGCCCACAGCAGTGGCCTTTAAGGCCGCCTGGTCCCCCAGCAGCCAGGGGCCCTGTGGGTGTCCCCTTTATGGCCTTGAATCAACGCACCGGCTTCATGGGGGTCCGGCGGGGCCCAGCAAAAGCCTGTGAGCTCCCTATATGGCCTGGGACTTAGTGCCCTGCGGCCTTCCAGTCATCAGCAGATTGCGATCTCTGCCCTGGCCTCAGTTTCCCCATGTAGGATACTGGTGGTCACAGTTTTTAAGTGTCCAGGATAAAACGTCTCTGTGTGTGTGTGTGCCGACCGTGATGCGGGTGGAAGCCTGGGTCTTTGCTCTGAGCTGTATCCCCAGCACTTTTTAAGCTTTTAATTTTGAGACTCGGTCTCACTAAGTTGCCAGACTGGGCTTGAACTTGAGATCCTCCTGCCTCAGCCTCCTGAGTAGTGAGGGTCATGGGCGTAGCACCACCACGCCTGGCCTGAGGAGGAGCATCTATGAAGTGGTTGCCGGGTGCTTAACTGAATTCCAGACCTGAGACCCACATGGACCCCATACACAGGTGTACGTGGCCCTGGGCTCCCTGGGCTCGGTTCAGGGAAGGGCGTGGAGAGGAGGGGGTGAGGGGCACCCAGGGCCGACACAGGCAGGGGGAGAGCTGGGCAGGGCAGGAAGGACAAGGCCCGGCCGGTCCAGCCCGGTCTACCTGCAGGCCCCGCAGCCCTGGGGCAGCCGAGGGGGAAAGGGGCCTCCCAGGCCGTCATAAATCAGCGCAGGAATGCGGGCCGGCCAGTCTGGCGCTGGCCGGGGTGGGGCACAGACAAAGGCCTGACAGCTGGCCTTCTGCGGGCCTGGACCACCCAGAGCTGAGGTCTGGACGCTGCGTCCTCCTGACCCCAGCACCCTCCCCCGTCTCCATTACACAGACTGGGAAACTGAGGCCCGGGGCGGGGCGCGGAAGGAAGGGCCAGGGAGAAGGGAAGCTCCCAGCATCCGGCCCAAGCTTCTCTGCTCTGGGCACCTAATGACAGATTAGCCCAGCCTAGGCCTAATTGGTGGTTTCAAGGCCCCCCACAGCCCAGCCAGCCACATTCCCTGGAGCTTAATTTGAAGCCTGGTATTTGCTGCGGCCTCTCCCGGGTAAATTGGCCCCCGCCTGCACCGGGCTTTCTAATTATCTCTGCCCGCTGCCCCTTGCCCAGCCTGCCCTGCCTGCCTTCCCGGGCTCAGGGCTCCCCCCACCCCCCAGAGCCCCAGCGGGTGCCCCAGACGGCATTTCCCCCTCTAGACTGAGGTCCGTCCGTCACTTCCGCCCTGACCGGCCCAGCCTGGCACGTAGACAACAGTGCCCGGCACTGGTTGATCTGTGAGCGCTGGGGATGGGACCCAGCGCCTTTCCAGGGAGCTGGTTTCCTAGCCCTTTTCTTTGGTCCTCTTTTTCCCTTTTTTATTTTTATTTTTATTTTGAGGCAGGCCATCACTGAGTTCTCCAATCCAGCTGCAATTCCCATCGTCCTGCCTCAGCCTCCCAGATACTGGGGTTGCAGGCCTGGGCCACCCCACCCTGCTCACGGGCTGGTGTCACACAGCGGGCCGAGGCCTCAGAGGCCAGGGGAGCTGGTCACACACACACACACAACTCAGTTGTAGCCTCCGTGATCTTGCCCTGCCTCAGTTTCCTCATCTGTGAAGCCCGGCCGGCTCTCAGAGCAGAGCCCCGGGGGACGTCCATGGCGGTCCCGATGATTCCGTGAGGTCACACGGGTGCTGCCTCCAAGACCCCCCACTTCCTGGAACCGGGTGTAGCAAAACACGCTTGTCATCCCGGCGCTCCGGGAGGCTGAGGCAGGAGGATCTCAAGTTCGGGCTCACCCTGGACACCTCGGCAACCAGCGAGACGCTTTGCAGATGTCACCGCTAAGTTAGGGATGGAGATGAGATAGCTCTAAGTCTAGCGGACTGGGGTCCTTCAGGGCCAACATTCAGGAACACAGGGCGACAGAGGCAGAGGCCGGGGTGACCCAGTCTCAAACCCAGGGACTCTGGGATGGCGGGGATTGGGCCGGGCCCCTCTGAGAGCTGCGTCCCTGCAGCAGGGTGAGGCCTGGCCCCGGTCCCCTCCCTGGGGTGCAGCCCTCTGACCCCTGCGTGCTCTGCCCTCAGCTCTATGAACTGGACGGGGACCCCAAGAGGAAGGAGTTCCTGGACGACCTGTTCAGCTTCATGCAGAAGCGAGGTGAGGCCTGGGCGGTGTGGGGTACCTGTGGGGGATGTGAGGGTACGGTGGAGGTACGGAGTGGGGGGCCAGGGAAAGGGGGTGGGAAGGGGGGAGGGGTTGCCCTGCCCTGCTGTGGCCTCGGGGAGTCCCTGTTCCTAGGACCCCACGGCAGGACCAGGAGGTGCCCCGTGGCCGAGGCCTGGGATGGAGTGGGGTGACCGGGCCTCGAGGGGAAACCAGCCAAGGGCAGATCTGGCATCAGACCTGGTTGGGGAAACTGAGGCTAGGGATGGGCTGTAGCCTAGGGCCCTGGGGCAGGCAGATTCAGGGTAGCAGGACAGAATCTTGCCTGGGTCCCCCGACTCCTGGCCTGGGCCCCAGCCACCCATGGCCAGTTCTGTCCAGGCCACACCCTCCCAGCTTCTGTAAACACAGCCGCCAGCCCAGCTGCCACCACCGGAAGGGGGGAGGGGCAGGGAGGGGCGGGGGCTCCTGGACCCCACTGCCCAGCGCCCTGGTTAACTCCTCCCATGCCGGGTGGGGAGCAGCTGGGCCCCTGAAGAGGGCCTTCACATTATCCTCCCAGCGCAGCCCTGGCTGGCCCTGTACACCCTTTATCACTCTGTCCACACCTGCCGGAGCCCCCTGACCATCTGTGAGGGGGCCCCAGGTCCCAGCCTGCCCCCCCAAACCCCCAGCTGACCATCTTGCTGGGTCCCCAATGCCCGGCAGGGTGGATGGTTTCCTCAAGGCACAGAAGTCACCACTGAGGGTGGGTGACGTGGGGCTCCTGGCTGCTTCTGTTTAACCTCTGGCCACACAGGATCACTGTGGTCTGCGTCCTGCCCTGTGTACCTCACCAAGCTCAGAGTTCCTGGAGGGTGACAAACAAACTCCTATATATCCCTCAAAACCCCACCTCAGAGTCCCTTTTTTGCCTTCTGCATCCCTGAACATTACACTTCTGTAGTGGGGAGCTTATAGGGCTAAGAATCCATCCAGTCCCCCAGCCTCTACCCTTGAGGACACAATCTGCATCCTACTAGGCCCTTTTCCTTTATTCTAAACAGGGGGAGAAGTTTTGTTTTGTGTTGGACCTTTTTCTTTCTCTTTTTGAGATAGGGTCTCACTGTGCAGTCCAGGCTGGCTTTGAGCTCATTGTGTAGCCCAGGCTGGTCTCTAACTCACAACGATCCTCCTGCCTCAGTCTCCCAAGTGCTGGGATGACAGCCCTGTGCCACCATACCTGGCTTATTTTGTCTTTTTGTTCTGGCTGTATCAGATGCTCCCAGATAGAGGGTAGGGTGGTGAGTTGGCTCTTCACTCTCAGGGTTCCCATCCCCGAGCCTCAGTTTCCCCTTGGGCTTGAGCAGCCCTACCTGGGGAGGTGGGTCAGGCTGCCCATGTGGCTGCAGAAGCCAGGCCCTGTGGGGGGGGGGGGAGTCAGGGAGCGAGGGGTCTCCTGAGCTCAGGGTCAGGGCTGGGAGGGGGGCGAGTTCCAGGGCTTCCAGAGGCTGTGGGCAGGGCGCTGGTGGGAGCGGGGTGGGCAGAGGGCGGCCTGGCGGGCGCTGCCTCTGTTTCGGAACCGCTGAGCGCAGGCCTGGGCTGGTGGCCGCTGGTTCACAGAGCCAGCCAGGGAAGGGGCGGCCCCGGGGGAGGAGCTGGGCCCCAGGCAGCTGCTATGGAGCGGCAAAGCCCGAGTGTCCCCTGCCTGTCCCCTCCCTGTCCCCTGCCTGTCCCCAGCACTGTGCTGTCCGTGGGTCCTGTTCACTGGCGTGGAGGCTGAGGCAGTGCTGTCTCCTGGTGCCGTCAGGCGGGGTCTCTCCTGGGTGGGGAGGGGAGCTGCCCCAGGGTGACCTCTGGGGACATCTGCGGCTGCCAAACTGGGGAGCTCCCAGCGCAGGGCGGGTGGGGGCCAGGAACGCCCCAGAGCCCTGGTGCCACCCTCACCGTGCCCTGCCCCGCAGGCACCCCGGTGAACCGCATCCCCATCATGGCGAAGCAGGTGCTCGACCTGTTCATGCTGTACGTGCTGGTGACCGAGAAGGGCGGTCTGGTGGAGGTCATCAACAAGAAGCTGTGGCGGGAAATCACCAAGGGCCTCAACTTGCCCACCTCCATCACCAGTGCCGCCTTCACGCTGCGGACCCAGTGAGTGGCCGGGCACAGGGCTGTGGGCAAGCGATGTGGGGCCTGGGGTGCCGCTGACCACGATTAGGGCTTAAAGACACAGCACCCTCACTCCCAGAGCCATGCACCTGGCCTCCTGGCCTCTGGGAAGCTGAGGCAGGACGATCTCCAGCTCACAGGGTCTCACTGTGCAGTCCAGGCTGGCCTTGAGCTCGTTTTGTAGCCCAGGCTGGTCTTGAACTCGCAACTGTCCTCCTGCCTCAGCCTCCGAGTGCTGGGAGCAACTTAGCGATGCAATGGGAGCCTGTCCTTAGAGGAGCTGGTCGAGGGGACGGGCCAGTGCTGCCCCTGCCACGTGCCTCTTCCCCCCCGCAGGTACATGAAGTACTTGTACCCCTACGAGTGTGAGCGGCGGGGCCTGAGCAGCCCCAACGAGCTGCAGGCGGCCATCGACAGCAACCGGCGGGAAGGCCGGCGCCAGAGCTTTGGCGGCTCCCTGTTCTCCTACTCGCCCGGCGGCGCCCACGGCATGCTGTCCTCACCCAAGCTGCCTGTGCAGTCCCTGGGCCTGGCCGCCAGCACCAACGGCAGCTCCATCACCCCGGCCCCCAAGATCAAAAAAGGTGAGGGGCGTGTGCAGCTCCGGGGCCAATCCCAGCGTGACCGCGGGGTCCGGGGAGTCCTTTGCCCCTCTCCAGGCAGCCTCGGGGATCCCAGCACTTGGGAGGCTGAGGCAGGAGTGTCTCGTAGGCAAGCCCTGCCTGGGTATCCTGGCAACTGAGCAAGACTCTGTCCGTATAAAAAATTGAAAAGGCCCAGGGTTCCATCCCCAGTCCAAAAAATAATAATGATAAAAATGCCGGGTGTGGTGGTGCACCCCTTCCGTCCCTGCGCTTGGGAGGCTGAGGCAGGAGGATCGTTGGCAGTTTGAGGCCAGACTTAGCTACAAAGTGAGCTCAAGGCCAGCCACGAAGTGATCATGTCTCAAAAGACAAAATAATACTAATAGCAATAAACGTAGAAGTGCCAAATACCATGGCGGTACCAGTCCCTGCTACCAAAAAAGATCATTTATTGTTTTTTGGGGAGTTTTTTGGTACCAGGAATTGAACTCACAACCTTGTGCTTGCCAGGCAGGCACTTATGCCACTGAGCTAACTCCCCGGCCCCTAGCCGACTTTTTGAAGACAGGGTTTCACTATGTAGTTCCAGGTTGGCATCAGACTCTCTAGGTAGCCCAGGCCAACCTCCAGTGTGTGGTGATCCTCCTGCCTCAGCCTCCTGGGCGCCGGTAACAGGGTTTTATGGTGGGTGCGCCCATTTTGCAAACCCACCTGCTTCCTTGGAGAGGAAGTGAGTTGCCCAGCAGCAGAGGGGTCCCCTGCACCGTGCCTGGGGTGCAAGGCCGGCCCAGCCCAGCCCGCTTGGGTCCCTTCCTGACCCCCTGTCCTCTGTGTGTCTAGAGGAGGACTCGGCCATTCCCATCACGGTCCCCAGCCGCCTGCCCGTGTCCCTGGCGGGCCACCCCGTGGTGGCGGCCCAGGCAGCTGTGCAGGCGGCAGCAGCCCAGGCAGCGGTGCAGGCGGCGGCCCAGGCGGCCGCCCTGGAGCACATCCGGGAGAAGCTGGAGTCCGGGGAGCCGCCGGAGAAGAAGATGGTGCTGGTCTCAGATGAGCAGCAGCGGCTTCTGCACCGGGCTCTGCAGCAGAACCTGCTGGCCATGACCGCCCAGCTGCCCATGAGCATCCGGATCAACAGCCAAGGTACCAGCCCGCCGCCCTGCGCCTCCCGCCCGAGCCGACCCATGTAAAGAGCACCGGGCAATCAATAAGCCGGCGGCCAGCAGCCGGGAGGCCGGCGCCCCAGGAGTCCTCTAGTGAGAGCACACACGTTAGCACCAACCTGCTGACCTCCCGGTCAGGCGGCTGGGAGGGACGCTGACCCTGCGCTGTGGTTTTCTTCTCCCTGCAGCCTCTGAGAGCCGGCAGGACTCAACCGCCAGCCTCGCGGGCACCAACGGCAGCAACAGCATCAGCATGTCGGTGGAACTCAACGGGATCATGTACACAGGTAGGTGTCCGCGGCCGGGCTGATTCCAGCCTGCAGCCGGCCATCCCAGACAAGAGCAGGCAGCGTCTTCATAGAGTGGGAGGCTGAGGCAGGAGGGTTGCTGAGCATCGGAAGGCAGCCTGGACGACATCACGAGAGCTTGTCTCACAACAAAACAAAGTAAAACAGCGCGGGAGCTGGCCATCAGGATGTACCTGTCATCCCAGCACTCTTGAGAGGCTGAGGCGGGCGGATCACAAGTTGTAGCCCAGGGGCCGGGGATTTAGCTCAGCGGCATAAGCGCCTGCCTTGCAAGCAGGCAGTCGTGAGTTCGATCCCCGATACCGATAAAAAGGAAAAAGACAAAAAAAAAAAAAGCAAGTTGTAGCCCAGCCTGAGCAATTTAGCAACTTAATGAGACCCTGTCTCAAAATAAAAACAAAAAAGCCAAGGAAGGACCTTAGAGTCCTCAGGACAGCAGGAAGCCGCAGTGGCACCAACTGGCCACTGTGTGGCGCTGGGGGCGTGGCGCAGCCTGGTTGCCCAGTGCACCGTGGCTGGGAGGTGGTGGGCATCTTCTTCGGGGTCAGCTCGCGGCTGGACACAGCCAGCGGTCCCCGTGACCAGTCTGTCCTCTGTCCTCCACCAGGGGTCCTGTTTGCTCAGCCGCCGGCCCCCACAGCACCCTCAGCACCCAGCAAAGGTGGTGGTGGCAGCAGCACCAGCAGCAGCAGCTCAGGTGGCCGGGGAGGACCCACGGGGACCAGCTCGGGCAGCCAGGCGGGTGCAGCGGGGCTGGCTGCACCCCCTACATCTTCTACCTCAAATAACTCTTTGCCTTAACTCTGTGGCTCCCCGCCTGCCGGCTGCCACCCCCCAAGCCCCCCACCCCAGGAGCCTGACAGTGCCCGGGTCTGGGGTCCAGGAGGGCACGAGTGACCGGTGGGCAGAGCAGAGCCTCACCACGAAACCACATTGACGCCAAAAAAGGAAAGAGAAAAGAAAAAAGAATATATATATATAAATACAGATATATAAAGCAAATTTAATAAAAACAGGGGGAAAGCAAGGAACACTTGAATTTCTCAGGTTTGGGACATTGAGAGATGAATCGTGAGGAGGAAACCGAGCCACTGGAGCCCCGGAGTCCTCCGTTCCGCTCCCAGGGAAGTGGCCAGGCCGCAATGTCAAAGCCAACCCTGTTTACCTCATACATCCCTGCACTGTGTGTTCGGATTTTCGTCTGTTTTTTGTTCTTTTTGTTTCTGTTTTTCAATTTTCACTTTTTATTTTTATCCGTGACCCACTCATCACACCCAGCTCCTTGTGTTGAATGAAACCCCTGAGCCAAGATCACTGATTTTTCTTTTCTTTTGTTTTTCTTTTTTAATTTCTTGCTGTGGGAAGTTTGGGGTGCTTTTTTTTTCCATTCTCCCCCCCCCTTTTTTTTTAAATAGTGACCCTCAAACTCCCAAAGGGTTTTTAAGAGATTTGGGGGGGTTCTGTTCTGTAAATATTCTATTTTATTCTTGGGGGGTGGGGCTTTAGGAAGAGGATATCCATATATCTATATATCTATATATTTGTGCTCATTCAGGGATTAGGAAAAGCAAAGGAAACACAAACCCAACCCCAGCAATAACCATTTTTAATTTTTCTGACTGGTTTGGGCTCCTGGGGGTGTTCCTGGCGGCCGGTGGGTGGCCCTGGAGCCCAGGGTGCTGGACGCTCAGAGCAGGGATGGGGTGGAAAGAATCCAGGCCGGGGGTCCCGGGCACGGCCCCAGGCTCCTGTCTCAGGGATGATTTGGGGGGGTGAGCCAGGCCCAGCTCAGGGTGAGGATTCAGGGGCCCGGCAACCCGAACCCCGACCCTCCGCTCCCCGCTCTTCTCGCCTTCCGCTTGGGGCTGAGATTTTTGTGCTTCCGCCGTGACAGTCAACAGACAGAGGCCCAGAAAGGACCCTGGGTCCCCCCACCATGCTAAGAAAATGAGGGGCGGCCGTGGTGGGGTCTGGGGGACTTTGAGGCCTCTGTGCCCTTGTCCCTGGGACCCCGCCAGGCTCTGATCACCCTGGACTTGGTGCTAACCAGGCTGCATGTGGCATGGGCTGAGGCTCCCCCAGACCCCCGGCCTGAGAAGGGGGGACCCGCTCTTTCTGTGTTTTGGGGTCCCTGCTGGGCCCCTTTTGTCCATTCTCCCAGGAGGGGTGGTAGGCACTGTGTGTGGGGTGTCTCTCAGCTTTTCCTTCTGGAAGGTTCTGCCTGCCCCCTTTTGGGGGGCTGGTGTCTTAGCACAATCATTCCTGGGTGTGTGTGCCCGGGGTAGGGGGCTCTTGTGCCGGGACTCAATCTTGGCCCCCTCTGCAAGAACCACCTGTAGCTCTGGACACAGCCGGCCACTCCGTCCCCTCTGGACAAGGCGGCTCTCGGGGCCACCTTGGGCAATGTCCACTGTACATTTCTTTCTACCTCAGGTCTGACTTCCGATGCCAAAAATCCGTCCCCCATCTCCTTTCTGTCCCCCCTGCTCAGGCCGTGGGGTGTCCCGGGGTGGCGCATGCAGGCCTGAGCTTCCAGCCTTCGCGAGTGGACTGGATCCCAACTCAGGACAGTGGCCCGGGGCAGCCCCAAGATTGCAGGATGGGGTGTGTGAGGGTTCCTGGGACCCCACAGATCAGAAGCTGGGGTCGCCGGGTGAGGCCCCCCCAGCCTCACCGGGTCCCTGCCATTGCCTGCTGGGGGGGGTGGGAAGGGATGTCTTTTGGGGGAGCAGCACAGGCTCCCCTTATGCAAAGTGGAGTGAGGGTGGGGCCCGGGTCAGGGCCGCAGCACTGTGCAGGTGGGGCCCCCAAACTCAGGGTAGTCAGGGGTTTGCGGGGACCCTTGGACAGGCTGATTCTGAAACCCTTTTTGGGCCCCCTAGGCCGGGCTTGGGGCTCTGGCTGGAGGACGGGGCAGGGGGCGGGGACAGGTCAGCGGGCCAGCGTTTGTAAGAGTCGTGCGTTTGTACAGTTTCATTTTTCCCCCCACTGTATGACTTTTATCCATTTCCTTCCTGTTCTTGTTTTTCCATAACTTTTGATTTTTGCTTTTATTTTGTTCTGCCACCTGTCCCCTCTTTGACAAACACAAACTCATCCTTGACCTGTGACACAGATATTTCAGTCTCTCTGGGGCTTCTCGCATGGTGTGGTGATCACACCGGAACTCAGGTAAAAGAAAAAAAAAAACCTTAAAAAAATCCTAAAAAACAGGAAAACAAATGGTAAAAACTGCTGTCTACCTCTGGCTGGGCCCCCCGGCTCGCCCCGGCCGCGGCGGGGATTTACAACAATGTTCAGGTTTTTTGAAGCTCATTCAGGTATTAAAAAGAAAAAAAATTTAAAAAAAAATTACAAAAAGACCAAAAAAAAAAAAAAAAAGAGGAAAAAAAAGTGTGATTTTGAAATTTAAAAGAACACTGAAAGTTTACATTTTATAATAACGTTATTATGCAAATTGTATTTAAACTTCAGAAATATTTAAAACAACTGTAACCCAGAAAAGCTCGTAAGATTAAAACAAAACACTTCTGACTTTAACAGAAAATGTCTCCAGTGCTGGGTTTTTTTTTTGAGTGTGTGTGTGTGTGTGTGTGTGTGTGTTTTCAGGTTTGTTTTGAGACAGGGTCTCACGTTGTAGCCCAGGCTGGGCTGGAACTCCTGGCGATCCTCCTGCCTCAGCCTCCCGGATGCTGGGGTGTGCCACCACAGCTGGTTTCCTGTGCTGATTCACCTTGGCATCTCCACCCTGCCCAGCATATCAGGAAGGTGGACCAGGCACCCCCAAGGGACACTAGCCCATATCTAGGGACACGTGACTGTCATGACAAGATGGGTGGAAACCAAAAACGCTGCTGAGCACCCTGCAGCACCCACAGAGACAGAGCACCCCAGCCCCGATGTTCCTGGTAATAATCCAGGAGGATACTACCTGGCTCCCTAAAAAGGGTCCCGGCAGGCCAGGTGTGGTGGCTCACGCCTGTCATTCCAACTCTTGGGAGGCTGAGGCAGGAGGATCGCTCTGAGTTCCAGACCAGCCTGGGCTAGAGTGAGCTCAAGGCCAGCCTGAGCTGCAGATACGACCCTGTCTCAGAAAGATAAAACTAGAAAAGCACCCTGCAGCCTCCGGGGTGTGGCCACGGCCCCAGGCCTTTGCACAGGCCAGCAGCCTCTCACCCTCCTGGACTGAAACTGAGCAGATACCTGTGACCCCACCTCTGCCCTCGCCCTGGCCTCAGGATCGGGAGCCGGCAGGAGCTGCCTGTCCCCTGCCTGGTCTGGGGGTGCGGCTTTTCCCACTTGTCACGTTGTGGCCCCAGGGTGGGCCGTGGGCCCTGGCTCCCCAGGTGCAGAGCTGTGAGTGTGCCACCCCCAACCCCAAAAAGCCACAGCACGGGCACCAGGCCCGAGAAGGGGCCAACCTGATCCATGATTTCTGCATTCTGGGGACCGGTGTGGACCAAGGTCACCGTGGCGGGGAGCGGGGCAGCCCCAATTGCAGTCACCTGGTCCACAGGAAGGAGAGGACACCGCCCCTGCCACTGCGGCTGGCTTGTGACCCAGAGCAGGAGGAGAAGGTGACACTTTCCAGCTGAGGCCTCTGGACCCCCAGGGGACAAGGGCTGGTGACAAAGACCCGGATGTGGTAGCGCACACCTGTCAGGCCTGCACTCTGGGAGGCTGAGTCAGGAGGAGCCCCGCCAGGGCAACTTAGCAACTTAGTGACCTGCTCTCAAAACTGAAAAAGAGCTGGGGTGTAACTCAGTGCGAAGGTCACGGGTTAGAGCCCCAGGGCTGCAGACAGAACAACCTGAGGGTCTGGTCCTCACTCCACTCCTCAGAGAGGGCGCCCGGGACCCCAGGCCACACAGCGCCCCTCCTTCCCAGCTGCTCCCTCCGGGCAGAGGCTCCGGGGTGAAGCTCAGGGCCGACGTTCCCAGCCCAGGGAATGGCCGGGCCTCAGTTTCCCTGGGTGTGCGCCCACCCTCAGATCGGGGCACAGCCGCCCACACCCTGCACGGTACCACCGAGTCCCAGCGCTGGGTGGTCCCAGATGCCCCGAGCGCGGCTTTTGTGCGCGGCTCTAAGCACAACTGGTCGGGCCCCATTCCAGCGGAGGGGCGGGGTGACCTCTGACTTCGGGGGAGGCGGGGCCGGCCCCGGGAGGGGCGGGGTGCACAGCGGCCACCACCCGCGAGCCAGCTGCAGCGTCCAGGGTAGCGCCGGCTCTGGCTGCAGGGTCCCAGGACGCAGCTGGTCACCGCCCGTGGCCCTGGGACCCTGAAATCCAGAGCAAGCCCCTCCGTCCCGGGAGCCATCGCACACACCCACGTGTGACCTGCGAAGCTTGAGGACCGCTGCACGGTGACCTGGCCAAGGCACGAGGTGCAAACAGCCTCGGGTGCCGGCGCATGCCTGTCATCCCGGCCCTGGAGAGGCTGAGGCAGGAGAGTCACCGCCGAGCTCCAGGCAGCCTGCGCTCAGAGTGAGTTCAAGGCCGGCCTGCACTACGTAGGGAGTCGCTATCCTTGTTTTGTTTTGAGACAGAGTCCGGGTAGCGCAGGCTGGCCCTGAACTCAGATCTTCCTGCCTCAGCCTTCCCAGTGCTGCGATGATAGATGCGTGCCATCGCAGGTCGCACGAGACGTTATTAAAAATAAAATCAAGGGGTCAGAGATTTAGCTCAGTGGCATAAGCGCCTGCCTGGCAAGTGTGAGGTTGTGAGTTCAATCCTTGGTGCCAAAATAAATAAAGTCGAGGGAGCTGGGGTCCTGAACAGCAGCAGAGTGGACCCTCTCCCTCCTGGGGCAGCCCCTGCCCGGCCAGGTCTCTGCTACCGACCTGCCTCTGGGTCTTTGCCCCCGGCTCCCCTCCCCTCCCCTTCCCGCGCTCCTGCCGCCCTCCAACTCGGTCCGTGGCTCGCGCCCGCCACCTAGCGGCCACCGCTTGCTGCTTGCCCTTGCGGCACCGGGCCTGGACCAGAGGACTCCTCACCTCTGTCCACATCTCCAGGGCCAGGGCCCCAGCACCCGGGCCCGCCCTACGTGCATCTCTGACCGGTCACAGGCTCCGCTGAGCTCCCAGCGGGCTTGGGGTGAGGGTCCGGGGACTACATCCCGCCTCCGGCCCTGAGTGCAGATTTGATTTTCACATGAATTCCTTTCCAAACCCGGACCACGAACTCCACCTTCTGGGGTTTGATTTGGTTTTATTTCCTGTAGTGAAACCCAGGTAGTCAACTGCTCTACTACTGAGTTGCACCCCCAGCCCTTTATTTTATTTATTTTATTGGGGGATTGTTTTTGAGACTGGCCTCGAACTCGCAAGGATCTTCCTGCCTCGGCCTGCTGCCTCAGAGTGCTGAAACTTCAGATGTGCACCACCATGCCCGTCACTTTTTAAAAAAACTTAAGACAGCAGTTTCCTAACTGTCCGAGCAGAGCTTCAATTTGCGATCTTCCTGCCCTGACTTCCCCGAGGAGCCAGGATTACAGGTGGGCGCCCTGTAATTTTTAAAAAACCAGTTTTAGTGCTGGGTGTGTGGCTCTGTAACAGAGTGCTTACCCCGCATGTGTCAGTCCTTGGGTTTTATCCCAATACCATGAAAAAAAGGAGAAAAATTATTGTTTTTGGAAATGGCTCTCCTAACTGGCAGCTGGGCCCTGCTGGGTGGACACCAGGTGTCCCAGCTGGAACTCTGAATTCTGTGGTCTCAAAAAGACGAGGTCAAAGGACAGCAGAAGCCCATCAGTAATCACTGCGCACTGTGTGCCGGGTGGATACACCAGGGGTTTTGTGTTTTCTTTTACTGTGCAAGGCGTTTCCTAAATAATTTCTGGCTTGGATTCGACTCTATTGCAATGTCTCCTTCGAGCCTCTGAACTTTATGAGGACCTTGTTTTATATGTGTGCATTTCATTTTTTATTTATTGTCTTTATATGTACATTTTAAAAAGAGACACATATCCACCAGAGAGATTTGGTTACTTGGCCAAAAGCGCACAGAGAGAGGAGAATGGCCAACTCAGACCTCAGGGCTCTGAAGTTACCAACTCCTCGAGGGCAGGAGACCCTAGGCCTCGAAGGTGATCACCATCCAAATCCAAAATCTTTACCTATAGAACACGACTTTTGCATTCTCTACCTGGTAGAAAAACCCATTTCCTGGAGCAGTGAACGCTCCCGGGGCCTCTGCGCAAGCGCGGGTCCGCCAACCCCGCCCCCGAGGAGGTTTAGGTGCCGCTCTAATGCGCGTCAAGGCGTCATTCTCGTCTCGCTGGTGATGACGGAGATCCGGGGTGGCGGGGGCGGGGATAAGATGGCGGCGCCCATGGAGGTGGCAGTGTGTACGGATTCGACGGCGCAACTCTGGACTTGCGTCGTGTGGGAACTGCATTCGGGCGCTAACTTGCTCACCTACCGCGGTGGCCCGGCTGGACCCCGCGGCCTGGCGCTGCTGAACGGCGAGTACCTGCTGGCGGCGCAGCTGGGCAAGAACTACATCAGTGTCTGGGAGCTGCAGCGGAAGGTGCGGCGCGCGGGTCTGGGGCTCCGGTGGGGGAGCACGGAGATCTAGAAAGAAACGGGGGAAGAAGGGCTGGGCACCGCTCCCGCTGGGAAGGCGGGGACGCAATAGGGAGTCTCCGTATGTGCCGGGCGGTGGGCACTTTGGGGCGTTCTGCGCACGCGTGGGACTGGGGGCGCGCATTTAGGGCTGCTGATGTCGCTTGGAGATGGATGGCCGCTCAGGCAAGTGCGCATGCGCAGACTCCGGAGCGCAAAATTTGATTGAAGGAGAGAAATGGGATCATTTGGAGTTTGTGGATTTGGAAGAAGGAGCTCCTCGAATGGGTAGCCCTGGAACCACATGCATTTCTTCTCTCCCTTTTAAAAGAGACACTGAGCTTCATCATTGGCAGCCCCCCAGTATGTAGCTCAGGGGTTGGTTCCCCTGCTGCCGTCTCTGTGCGAGCCCGCGGAGTTCATGCGGGATGGGTCAGCGAGGAAGGAGCGAGACCGGGGAACACATTGGGGGAAAGGGTGTTAGGGCACCATTGTGTTGGTCATTAGGCCCTTCTTGCCTGCCCTTTCTGTCCAGAGGACGCTGACCTGCAGAGCCTCATGTAGCCGGGAGCCCGGGGTGATACACTCCCGTGGTTGCTCCCATCTGGTAGGCTGAAGCAGGAGGATCATAAGTTCGAACTCAGCCTGGGCAACTTGGCCGCTTAGTAAGACCGTGTGTAGAGACCAGAAAAAAGCTGAGGGGCTGAGGCTGTGGCTCAGTGTGAAGGCCTCGGACTGGAAACAAAATAAAGCAGGGACTTTTGTGCAGGTGTGAACCCTGCCTTGTGCAACTACTCTGTCCCTGCTGGGCCTGGCTGTCCCCCTCTCAGCGCCCAGGCATCTCCGCTCCCCACCCCCACCGCCTCCCAGGCAAAGCTCACTGACCTTTTCTGTGTCCCTAGGACCAGCTGCAGCAAAAGATCATGTGCCCCGGGCCCGTCACCTGTGTGACCACGGCACCCAATGGCCTCTACGTCCTGGCGGGGATCGCAGAAAGCATATACCTATGGGAGGTAAGAGGAGGGGAAGTGGGTGTGCGCCTCATCCTCGGGGCCCAGAGAACGACCAGGAGGACCAGAGCCCACGCTGGGAGGAGGCAGGCGGTCTCACCTGTCCTGCACCCCGCTGCCTGCATCCATTGGTTCCCTCCAAACACTTCTTATTTAGTTTTGTCTTTTTGAGACAGGCTTTTACTGTGCAGTTCAGCCTGGCCTTAAACTCACTTTGTAACCCAGGCTGGTCTTGAACTTAAAGGGATTCTCCTGCCTCAGCCTCCTGAGCGCTGGGATTACAGGTGTGCACTACCATGCCTGGCTGTTCCCCCAGGACTCTTTCAAGTCCCAACAAGACCTAATTTTTTTTTTTTTTTTTTTAAACAAGACCCTAATTCTGTCACCAGCCACAGACGCACACTCTGCAAGACGTGGGGTGGGCAAGGAACCCCTTCCCAGGACCTGGTGGTTTTGGCTTTAAAGTTCTATAGAAGGAGGCAGCGTGATGGTTTTCACCTTTCCTTTCCTCACTGCTGGGGAACCGGGTGTGAGCTGCGCACACACCACGCAGCCCCAGACACGCTCTTGACCCTTTCTACAAGGGACCTGGGGTCACCTGTCAGGCTGCGGCCAAGCTCTGACACCCTCCCACGTCAGGGGCGGCCCTGGTGATTTGCAAACAAGTGGGCTTCCCGGCAGCATCAGGAAAGCTGTTTACTCTCAGCCCTCAGTAGGTCTGGACCTGGACTTGTTACCGACACCACTGTATTTGGGGGGCCTGCCTTCCCCCTCAACTGGAGCGATGCAGTTGGGGGCAAAGGCAGCCCCGTTTTTGCCTTTCCTGATCCAGCCCAAGGTGTCTAGGAGGCCAGGGCAGGAGAGCTCTGAGCTGACAGAGCCCATAAAGATGGGGGTGGGGGTCATGACCTTACCATGAGAACGAGGATCGTGGTGTGGGCAGAGGACCAGAGCCTGGTGGGCAGTGCCTCCGGGCAGGGTGTCAGGTGACTGCCAACTCTCGGAGGACTTCTAAGCTGTGACCTGGAGGGGGTGCCCACGGTGTGGTCCCCTTTCTGTACTCCAGTGAAGAGCCAGGTGAGGGGTACGGTAAGAGGAGCCAGGAGCTAGGCTGTGGGCCCAGTGGCCGGCTTGCTGCACCCAGAGCATCTCAGAGCTGTGTCTTACGCTCTGAAACAAGGATGTCCTAGGGCTGTGATGTGGCCCTGGCTGTCCTGGCTTCCAAACTTGACACAGGGGTGATACAAGCGCTCAGGGTTTGGGCGTCCCCAGAGTGTGACCACATCATGGCACGCATGCTTCACATCTACAACTTTATGCATTTATTTTTTTGTTATGTAGCCCAGGCTACTCACAGATTTGCAGCAATCCTCCTGCCTCAGCCTCCTGTGTGCTGCCATGCCCATTCAGCTTTATTCTCTTCTGTGTCTGCCCCTCCGCATCCTTGGAGGGACAGTCACTAGATTTAGGACGTGCCTGCCCCAGTCTGACCTCATCTCTCTCTGCCTGTGAGGCGGGGCTCTGACATAGGTGGGCTCTGACTAGCCCACCCTGATCTGCTCCCCACCCCTCCTGTTTCTTAGGGTCACATCCACAGAATGGAGCAGAATCCTGAGGAGGCCACACGGGAAGTGCTGCCCTCTCCAGGGTCCCTGCTGACCCAGGGTGGCAGAAAACTTGTTGCCCTTGCTGGGTCCCTCACACACCTGGGGACAAAGTGGGGACACCTCTCCAGCAGGACCACTGAGGCCAGGGCCGCAAAAACCACCCACCCTCACCTGGGGCGGGAAGGTCAAAACTCTCCACAGCGCCGTGCCCCACTTTCCCCTCTGAGCAGCACCCCCACGGCCCACAGGTCTCCACCGGGAACCTCCTGGTCATCCTGAGCCGCCACTACCAGGACGTGTCCTGCCTGAAGTTCACGGGTGACAGCAGCCACTTCATCTCGGGGAGCAAGGACTGCCTGGCGCTGGCCTGGAGCCTATGCAGGTGGCACCAGCCTCTGGGGTCTCCTCAGGGTGGGGGATGGGCATTGGGAGCCCAGGGTGCTGACCATACCCCACCCCTGCAGTGTGCTGCAGGTGGACCCCTCCAGGATCCCGGCACCACGCCACGTGTGGTCCCACCACACGCTCCCGGTCACCGACGTGCACTGTGGCATCGGAGGTCCCCTGGCCCGGGTGGCCACAGCCTCACTGGACCAGACTATAAAGGTACAGCATGGTCTCACCCCGGGGAGCACCTGAGGTCAGCAGGGCTCAGACACCTGTAATTCCTGGGCTCCTGGTGAGGATGCCCAGGAGGGGACAGCCAGGATCTCTGTCACCTGGAAATTCCCACTTAGCCAGCCGTGCTCACAGGGACACGAGAGCCACCCCACAAGTGTCACCCTGCCTGGGTTCCCTCTGACCCTGCGCTGCAGGGTGGGGCTGCCGACACCTGATCCCTGACCCCCTGCCCAGCTCTGGGAGATCTCCTCAGGCGACCTGCTGCTGTCCGTCCTCTTCGACGTGGCCATCATGGCCGTGACCATGGACCTGGCCGAGCACCACATGTTCTGCGGGGGCAGTGATGGGTCCATCTTCCAGGTGGACCTGTGTGCAGGGGTGAGCAGCAGAGCCATTTGGGGGTGGCTGGGGGCCTGGGCAGCGTCGCCCCCAGCGCTCACACCTGTCTCGGCCCTGCAGCCTGTGCAGCGGGAGCAGAGCTTCCAGCCCGAGCAGGAGCCCGGCAAGGTCTTCAGGGGCCACAGGAACCAGGTGACCTGCCTGTCAGTGTCCACCGACGGCAGCGTGCTGCTCTCGGGCTCGCACGATGAGTCGGTGCGTCTGTGGGACGTGCAGAGCAAGCAGTGTATGCGTACGGTGACGCTCAAGGGCCCAGTGACCAATGCGGCCATCGTGCTGGCACCCGTGGCCATGCTGAGCTCGGACTCCCGGCCCAGCCTGCCGCTGCCGCCCTTCAACAGGCACCTGCTGGGCGCCGAGCACGGGGACGACCCGCGCCGCGGGGGCCTCGCGCTGCGCCTGGGCCTCCACCGCCAGGTACGCTTCCGTGCCCCTGGGCCACCCTGGTACCCGTTTTTTGTCCCCAGCTGGCGACCCGGGACCCCAGTGTCTCTCCCTTCCCCACACGTCAGCCCTCTCCCAAGACGCAACTTGCTTCCTGCTGGGTGGGGGCCCCTTCCTGGGCATGACCCAGGCCCTCGGTCCCTGTCCCTGTCTTACAGGGCTCAGAGCCCAGCTACTTGGGGCGGCTGGAGCACCTGCAGGCCGAGATGTGCAGCACCCTGGAGAAGGTGTGTGATTGAGGTGACCCCGCGGAGGGGGGGGGACAGGGGTTCCGGATATAGCTGGGGTGGGGGGCGTGGCCCTCACCCCCTGATCCCCACCTTCCCCAGGGCGGTCAGGACCAGCTGCGGGTGCGTGTGAGCGAGCTGGAGGACGAGGTGCGAAACCTGCGCAAGATCAACCGCGACCTCTTCGACTTCTCCACGCACATTATCACCAGGCCCACCAAGTGAGGTGTGGCCCCGCCCCGGCCACAAGCCCCGCCCTGTATGCCGTGGCCCCGCCCCTGGGGGCTGCAGCCTGGCCCCTGACCACAAGCCCCGCCCAGGGGCGGAGTCTGGCCTCCATGAGGCCCCAGGAGCCTCAAGCCTGTGGGTTGCCGGGCTCCGCAGGTTTGCAGGCTCCATATTTCTGGACTTCACTCCTTGTACTCCGGCCATCTGGGCCCAGTGGTGTGTGTTCTGCTATCTATTTGGTGCTGTTCGGTTTTTAACAAAACATGGTTTACGGAGGCCGCCTCGTTGCTGTGGGTTGTGGCGACCCATCCGGAGCACCCCTAACAGGGCGGCAGGTGCTGAGACTGACCTGGGGGCACCCCAGCAGGGGGAGGGACAGCGGTGTCCTGAGGGGGCCCTGGACCAGGTGCAGGCAGCGAGGAGGCGGGGCTGGCAGCAGGGAGGGGATGCCGTGGGATCTGGGGACCCCGAGAGTCCACCGTGGGGGCCCTGGTACTCCTGGGGGAGCCAGGCCAGCGTGCAACAGAGCTTCCAGCCCAGGTCCCCTCACCTCCTCCAGGGAATGACACCCGGTAGGCGCTGTGTCCCCCCGGGCCCCTAGCCTGGGTCTGGGCTGAGGGTGCTGGGGTGTCCTGCAGGCCACTTGGCCAGGTCCCCGATGTCCTGGGGACGCTGCCAGCCAGACACCCTCGGAACCTTCCAGAGCACCTCCTTGGCCGCCAGCCCTGGTTAATGGTCCGGGAGCGCCGCTCTGTGATTGAGCTGCGCTGTCACCTCTGTGGCGGGCACGTGGCCAGCGCTGAGTTCACTGTCGCGCACTGCCGCCTCCGTCTCCGCCCGCCCCTTCCTGGGCTGTGCGGGCCCCGCAGTACTCCAGAGCCCCTCACACAGGAGCCTGCCCAGGGTGGAGGCCTCACGCCCCTCCCAGGGCACTGCCTCAGTTTCCCCGCCCATGGGGCAAGCTCGGTTCTCATCAAAGTTGTAGCATACAAGGGGTTTGGGGGGGTGTCCCTCAGCCCCTCCAGACTGACTCTGCAGCCTGCAGATTCTGAGAGGCAGCAGCATCTCCCTGGTCTGGGTTCCTCCCTGCCCCCACCTCCACCTGAGACTCCCACAGCCCAAAGCTCGGCTGAGGTCCCCTCCTCAAGCCTCCCCTCCCCCGCCCTGCCCAGCCGCTGTAGGCGGGCAGCCAGCCCGGGAGGACACCAGACTGCCGGAGGGAGCAGGGCGCGCGGGGACAGCTGGCGCTGAGGAGCCACAGCTCTGCGGGGTCACAGCGCGAAGAGTTGGGGGGTTCCGGGGGGTGGGGCATTTTCCCGGTCGGCCACTTCACATGGTCTTCTCCAGACTGCCCCCCCCCCATCACAGCGCGGAAAAGCAGGGCTGAGCTGAAGTGGAGGAGGACCCCTGTGACATAGGGAGGGAGACCCCGTCTTGAGAGGAAAGAAAGTGACCCTGCCTGGCTTTATCAAAGCGGTCACTGCAGGCTGCCTGAGAACCAAGGGACATCGAGGGTGTCACCAACCCCCTCGGGAGCCCAGCTGGAGAAGGAGGGGAATGTAGGGGCAATTTGGGTCTTGGGTGGGCAACTTAGCCTTCTAACAAGAGCCTTTTTTTTTTTTTTTTTTTTTTTTTTTGGGTACTGGGGATCTAACTCATGACCTTGTGGTTGCAAGACAGGTGCTAATGCCGCTGAGCTAAATCTCCGGCCCACAAGGGCCTGACTCAACAGGGGCCCCCCCCAGGTTTAAACCTGAGCACCGCAGTTAATTCTGTGTATGTGACCCTGATAAAACTCTACGAGTTCAGTCCTCAGCAGCTAGGGCTGGAAATTCCTCCTATCTGATTTGCATGAGTGGGGAAACAGACCCGGAGAGCTGGGACTCAGTACTCCCAAAACCATTGCACAGAAATGTTTGTTGACTGGCTCCCTGAGCCACAGACGGTGTCTTTGACCGGAAACCTGTCCCCATTTCTGAGGACTCCTGTGGCCCAGAGACAAGCTGGCCCTTCTGTCCCCTGGATCCCAGCCACCAGCCCTCAGGGAAGGCATCCCAAATCCCAATTCATTTCGCTGCCGGCAGCTGACATCGTCTGGCAGATAACGGAACGTTTTCTCATTCTGGCTCCAAGAGAACACAGGGCTGTGTGCAGAAGCAGATTCACTCCCCAGGACTGGGTGTCCCTACTGTCCCCTCCCTGGGGACAGGTGACAGGATGTGCAGCTACTCAGCAAGGGGATCCCTCACTCTCCAGTGACCACATCTACTGAACACCCACTGTGTGCCCAGACTGCCTGAGGGGCCTGGTGAATCCACAGACCCTAGAGGAGCAGGAAGACACTGGGGGCTATGAGTCCACACCCAGCCATCAACTATAAAGTGACTGGTGTGTGCAGATCAAGAGAAATCCTCAGCCAGGTGTGGTGGAGCCTGTCATCCCAGCACTTGGGAGGCTGAGGCAGGAGGACCACTGCAAGTTCCAGACTAGCCTGAGCTACACAGTGAGCTCAAGGCCAGCCTGAATTGTATAGTGAGACAGTGTCTCAGAAAGAAAGAAAAAGTTGAGCCTACCCACACATAGGGAAAAAAGAAATGCTTCTCAGAATCGAGCATTTGGCACTGGGTTTTGATGTGTGAAGAGGTATTCTGTGTTCCAGGTTGGCTACCTATGGCTAGAGGGCAGGTTTCCCTCTGCCCTCAGTGCCTGTCTTAGTGCCCCCGAGTGCACACAATGTGAAAACCCACTCAGGGACTACAGAGATCATTGCTTCTTGGAATGGAGACAAATGTGAGCCCAAGCCTCAGTTTCCCTGTCTGAGCAATGAGCAGCCTTTCCCACGCTGGTAAGCAGGGGGTGGGGCCTGAGATCTTGGAGAACAGGGGTGCGGTGTGGGAGCAGTTTCTTACAGAATTCAACAGAATGGGGCCCATGAAGCTGGGAGCAGTAGGGAGGCTGAGGCAGGAAGATCTCAGAGAGTTCGAGGCCAGCCTGAACTACATAATCAGATCCTGTCTTAAAAAAAAAAAAAAAAAAAAAAAAAGAGAAGAAAAAAATAAATAAATAAATAAAATGAGGACACGATTTCTTGGCCCTGTCCAGTGTGCCCCTGGCCAAGCCCCGGGCATGGATCCCGCTCTGCGCTGACAGGTTGCAGGCGCCAGGGACCAGCAGGCAGCTGGCGGGAGGGCGAGACGGAGGGCGAGACGGACGGCGAGGGTTGCGCAGGCCGCAGGGGCGGTCCCCTGCTGCGCGGTGGCTCGGTGGCGGCGGCGACGCCCGGCTCCGACCCGCAACTTTGTCATGGAGTTTGTGCGAGCCCTGAGGCTCGGCCTGGCGCTGGCCCTGGCCCTGGGGCCCGAGCCGGCCCGCGGCCACCCGCAGCCGTGCGGGGTCCTGGCGCACGTCGGGGGCTCCGTGCGCCTGGGGGTCCTGCTGCCCCGCGCGCCCGCCGTCCGCGCCCGCGCCCGCGCCGCCCTGGCCCGGGCCGCGCTGGCCCCGCCGCTGCCCTACAACCTCAGCCTGGAGCTGGCGGCCGCCGCGGCCCCCGCGCGCGACCCCGCCTCGCTGGCCCGCGGCCTGTGCCGGGCGCTGGCGGCTCCGGGCGTGGCGGCCCTGCTCGCCTTCCCCGAGGCCCGGCCCGAGCTCCTGCAGCTCCACTTTCTGGCGGCCGCCACCGAGACCCCGGTGCTCAGCCTGCTGCGGCGCGAGGCGCGCGCGCCCCTCGGCGCCCCGGTACGCGCGGACGGCGCGCCCAGGACGCGCGGGAACGGGGCCCCGGGGAGGCGGGAAGTGCCGGGGCTCCCCCGGGATGCGAGGGACCCCATCGCCGGACGCCGGGTGCCCCGGGCAGACGCAGGCGTGGCGACCCAGGCGCTGGGGGCCCGGGGAAACCGGGGCGCGCGGAACGGATGCACCCGAAGACCCCGCCGGATGCCGTGCGCGCCGGCGCGGTCACCCGCAGGTCTTCCGCGCCGCCCCCTGCGCTCCCCCAGGGCCTGCGCTTGTCTGGGAGGGCAGGCGGGTCACCTTCCTCTCCGGAGGGTGCAGTTTGGGTGAGCGAATCCCGGCCTCTCCAGGCCTCCTAGGACCCCCCCCCCCAGTTCCCTCTCCCGATGATTTTGGTACCCCTACGCGGGGGGTACCCTTGGGAGCGGCCATCCGCATGCCATCGCCTGCCTCCTCCGCGGGTCCTGGTACTAAATCTCTTCACCCCAGGCCCAAATTCAGCAGCAGGAAGTCGGGACCCCAACAAGGACACCGGGCCGAAGACACCCCACGCGGGGCCAGAAAGGAGCCCCCCAGTGCCCGGCTCCTGTCAGGTCCCCTGGCTCTGGGGTTCAGCCCTGGGGCCCTCGGTCACCTCCCCCCACCACTACCCGGGTCTGGGGAAAGAGAGGAGACCCATACCCCGACCCGCGGCGCCCTCTGCAGCCCATCACGGGAACTGCACTGCACTGGGCCGCGCGGGCCCGGGCTTGGGACCCCAGTGCGAGGGACGAGCAGCACCACCGCCCTCAGTCTCCCGGCATGCAGTGCAGCGCCCGTGTCCACCCAGGAGTAACGCCCTGGCCGCTTGAGCGTCGGGTCACCTGTCCCCTTGCGGAGAGCAGATCTCGGAGCGCTGGGCAGGGCCAGGGGCGGGAGGAAGAGTCCACTAGGAGCGCTCCGGCTTGCTCTGCGCATGCATTCAGGTTGTCCTCAAGCAGCTGTGACCCTCAGCCCTTGAGGGGCCCCAGGCAGTTGTAGGGGGGCTGGAACAGGGATGGAAGCAGTGACCCGAGGCTGGGGGAGCTCAGAAGGGGAACTGGAATTCTGCCCGATGGATGGGGAAGTCTCCATAGAGGAGGGGCAAAGCAGCTGGGTTTTCAAGCAGTGATAGGAGTTGAGAGAGGACACTGACCCTAACTGTGACCGCCCACTTCCCAGACGCCGTTCCACCTGCAGCTGGACTGGGCCAGCCCCTTGGAGACCCTGCTGGATGTGCTGGTGGCCGTGCTGCAGGCCCATGGCTGGGAGGATGTGGGCCTGGCATTGTGCCGTGTCCGTGACCCCAGTGGCTTGGTGGCCCTCTGGAGAAGCCGGGCTGGCCGCGCCCCGAGGCTTGTGCTGGACCTGAGCCGGCTGGACACTGGGGACGCAGGGTTGGGGGCACGCCTGGCCGCCCTGGGGACACCTGTGGGAGGGGACTTACCTGTCTCCATGGTTGTCCTCTTGGGCTGTGACGCTGCCCGTGCCAGGCAGGTGCTGGAGGCTGCGCCCCCTGGCCCCCGCTGGCTCCTGGGCACACCACTGTCCCCAGAAGCACTGCCCAGAGCCACGGCCGGCCTGCCCCCTGGGCTGCTGGCGCTGGGCGAGGTGGCCCGGCCCCCCCTGGAGGCTGCCATCCACGATGCCGTGGTGCTGGTGGCCCAGGCCCTGGGCACTGCTGCCCAAGTACAGCCAGAACGCGCCCTGCTCCCAGCCGCATTCAGCTGTGAGAACCTGCAGCCTGCAGGGCCAGAGTCCCGGGGGCGCTGGCTGGCCCGGTGAGTACAGCTCTCCCCTGGGACTCCCATTATACAGCCACCCCTGCCCTCGGGTGGTTCACACCCATCATGCCAGCGCCCTGGGAAGCTGAGGCAGGAGGATTGCTAGTTTGAGGTCAGTTTGGGCAAATGAGTGATTTAGCAAAACTGTTTCCAGAATTAAGAAAAGTCATGCTGGCTGTGTGATGCCTGCCTGTAATCCCAACACTCAGGAGGCTGAAGCAGGAGGATCGCTCTGAGTCAGCCTGGGCTACATAGTGAGTTCCAGACCAGACGGAAGTATATGGCTGGACCTGTCCCAATAAATAAACAAACAAATGAAAAACATAAAAAGGCCAGGCCAGGCAGTGCCCTCTCAGTGGACAGCCCCTGTGTGGCCAGTCCTGAGCCTGTGGAGTTTGTGGGCTAGTGATGTCCCCTGTAGTGGAGATAGCGTCCTCCTTGGCAAGAGGGATGATGGGGAACTGTGGTCCCCAATGTGGGGACCGGATGCCCTGCGAGATGCCAGTGTGACCCCCTGCCCACCCAACCCCCAGGTTCCTGGCCAACACGTCCTTCCAGGGCCTCACGGGGCCTGTGTGGGTGACGGCCACCTCTCAGGTACACATGTCAAGACAGTTCAGGCTGTGGAGTCTGCGCCAGGATCCTCGGGGTGCCCCAGCCTGGGCCACCGTGGGCAACTGGCGGGATGGACGTCTGGACCTGGAGCCGGGCACGGTGCCCGCACGTCCCCTGCCTCTGCCGGGCACCAGGGCCCGGTCCAAGCTGCGTGTGGTGACGCTGATAGAGCACCCATTCGTGTTCGCCCGGGAGCCTGACGAGGACGGGCAGTGTCCCGCTGGACACCTGTGCCTGGACCCAGGGACCAACAACTCGGCCACGCTCGACTCCATGTTTGCCGCGCTGGCCAACGGCTCAGCCCCACGTGCCCTGCGCAAGTGCTGCTACGGCTACTGCATGGACCTGTTGGCCCGGCTGGCCGAGGACGCCCCCTTCGACTTCGAGCTGTACATCGTGGGTGACGGCAAGTATGGCGCCCTGCGGGATGGCCGCTGGACCGGGCTGGTGGGCGACCTGCTGGCCGGCACGGCACACATGGCGGTCACCAGCTTCAGCATCAACTCGGCACGCTCGCGGGTGATGGACTTCACCAGCCCCTTCTTCTCCACCAGCCTGGGCATCATGGTGCGTGCGCGGGACACCGCCTCGCCCATTGGCGCCTTCATGTGGCCACTGCACTGGACCATGTGGCTGGGCGTCTTCGCCGCGCTGCACCTCACCGCGCTCTTCCTTACCCTGTACGAGTGGCGCAGCCCCTACGGTCTCACCCCGCGCGGCCGCAACAGGGGCACCGTCTTCTCCTACTCCTCGGCGCTCAACCTCTGCTATGCCATCCTCTTCGGCCGCACCGGGTCCAGCAAGAGCCCCAAGTGTGCCACCGGCCGCTTCCTCATGAACCTCTGGGCCATCTTCTGCCTGCTGGTGCTGTCCACCTACACGGCCAACCTGGCCGCCGTCATGGTCGGGGACAAGACCTTCGAGGAGCTGTCAGGGATCCACGACCCCAAGGTGGGTGGGCCCAGGGCGGGGCTGCACCGCCGGGTCGCCGAGGTGTGAGGCAGGCTGGGCTGGGGCTTTGTCACCCAGCCGCACCCTTCGCCGCACCCTTCGCCCAGCCCATGCCCTGCTCTGGGGCCAGCTCTGTCTTGCAGCACTCAGGAGGCTGAGGCAGGAGAGTCACCTGGAGTTCAAGGCCAGCTTGCATTATATACAGAGACCATCTCAAAAAATCAAAACTGAAAAACCCCACAAAAATACAAAACTAAACTAAACTGAAACTGAAAGTCCCTCACAGAGGTCCCCCTAACTCCCCAAAAGCAGGAAATAAGAAGTGGGCACATGGGCCTCTGGAGCAAGGCAGAGGCACAACGGTGCAGAGGCCCTGGGGGAGGAGGGAGCCCAGCGCGGCCCGAGCAGCAAGGGGGAACTGAGGAGACAGGAGGAGGAGGAGGCGGTGCGGAGGTGCCCGGGCAGGGAGTGCTCCCCGTGGACTGCAGGGAGCACTCGGGCTTTGGCCCCAAGGGAGGTGGGAGCCATGGGGGCTGAGGACAGAGCAGGGTTTTCATTTTCCACTAATGGGATGGAACACAGGACCTTCCCACATGACATCCCTATTTTCTGTTTGTTTAAGACAGGGTCTCAGTCTGTAACCCAGGCTGACCTTGAACTTGTGGCAACCCTCCTGCCTCAGCCTCCAGTCTGCTGGACTACTACTGGCATTTCCCACCATGCCCAGACCTTTTTGTTTTTTATTTTGAGACGAGATCTTGCTAAGTTGTCCAGGCCATGCTTGAACTTGTGATCCTCCTGCTTCAGCCTTCCAGTTAATTCCTGAGATGACAGATGTACCAAACACAGATTTTTATTTTTATTTTTTTGAGACAGGGTCTCGCTGTGCAGCTCAGGCTGGCCTTGAGCTCACTCTGTAGCCCAGGCTGGTCTCAAACTCGCAACGATCCTCCTGCCTCAGCCTTCCAAGTGCTCACGTTACAGGTGTGTGCCACACATGCCCAGCTTAGATTTTCTTTTTAATACCAATTTCAAACATTCCAGAGTCTGAGCAGTGAACCTCGTGATGCTCTGGACACTCCTGAGCCAACCCCTAACTACCCTGTCATGGCACCAGTGCCCACCAGTGATTATTTTGAAAGTGGCCTCAGAGCTTTTGAGTTTCACCTGTGAATATTCCAGGGCCCTACAGTCAGGCAAGAACTTAAACAACTGAGCTAAATCCCTGGCCTCTTGTTTTTTTTTAATTTTTATTTATTTATTTTTTTGTCTTTTCGGTACCAGGGATCGAACTCACGACTGCCTGCTTGCAAGGCAGGCGCTTATGCCGCTGAGCTAAATCCCCAGCCCCACTCTTGTTTTTTTAAACAAGGTCCTATTATGTACTCTAAGCTGGCCTTGAGCTCACTGTTTAGCCCAGACTGGCCTCGGCCACCTGCCTCGGCCTCCCTAGTGCTGGGATGACTGGCAGGTACCACCACGTCTGTACCTTTGTGCTACTAGGGATGGAACCCAGGGAGGCTCTCCTTCTGAGCTACATCCTCAGACCTTTCTATTTTAAATTTTGAGGTCTGAGTTGTTAAACTGCCCAGGCTGGTCTTGAACTTGTGATTCTCCTGCCTCAGCCTCCTAGAGTACTGGGATGTCAGGCCTGGGAGGTACATCACAGCTGGCTAGATGAGGACTTTTACTTTTAGCATAAATCCCACTTGGTGGCTTCCTGGACAAGAGGCCAGGGTCAACACAGGGAAACCAGGGCAGGGCGACTCAGCGGGTCCGGGGCAGGGAGGCCTGAGCTAGAGGGCTGGAGGCACGGGTGCTGGGGGAGAACACTGGGCCTTTCTGGGTGGCGTCTGCTCGGGGCTCTCGGGCATCGGCGGGGCAGGGTGATGCACGCGTGCGCAGGTGATCAGGACCTAGGGACCCTCCGGGCACGCGCGACGGAGCTGGGGAGGCGATGACCGGTTCCCACTGAGGAGTCTCCGCACCCCGCGCAGCTGCATCACCCACCGCAGGGCTTCCGCTTCGGCACGGTGTGGGAGAGCAGCGCGGAGGCCTACATCAAGGCTAGCTTCCCGGAGATGCACGCCCACATGCGGCGCCACAGTGCCCCCACCACGCCAGGAGGTGTGGCCATGCTCACGTGAGTCAGGGCGGGGTCTGATAGGAGGCGTGGCCTCGGGGAAGGGGCGTGGCTTCACCCACCCATTCCCCCTTTTGGATCCCGCAGGAGCGACCCCCCCAAGCTCAACGCCTTCATCATGGACAAAGCACTCCTGGACTACGAGGTGTCCATCGATCCCGACTGCAAGCTACTGACCGTGGGCAAGCCCTTCGCCATCGAGGGTGAGAGAGCCAGAGGGGGCGCGAGGGGGCCGAGGCCTGACCGAGGCTCCCCCAAACCCAGGGTCCCATCCTACTGGCCCTGGTCTCCCCCAGGCTACGGCATCGGCCTGCCCCAGAACTCGCCGCTCACCTCCAACCTGTCTGAGTTCATCAGCCGCTACAAGTCCTCGGGCTTCATCGACCTGCTCCACGACAAGTGGTACAAGATGGTGCCTTGCGGGAAGCGAGTCTTCGCGGTCACAGAGGTGGGCCAGGGCCCCGGGCACAGGGTCGGTGACGGGCAGGGGAGCCCTTGAGCCCTGTCCAGGCACCCAACTTCCTGCCATGGCCAACGTGGACGTTGGTCTGCTCTTGCGCGCTCCTGCTCGGTGCCCCTCCTCCACCCGTCCAGTGCGGCTGGCGCCTCTCCGCGCGGGGCGCAGCCCGAGCCCCTGTGTCCCCACCCCAGACCCTGCAGATGGGCATCTACCACTTCTCGGGCCTGTTTCTGCTGCTCTGCCTGGGCCTGGGCAGCGCTCTGCTCAGCTCGCTGGGCGAACATGTCTTCTATCGCCTGGTGCTGCCGCGGATCCGCCGGGGCCGCCGTCTGCAGTACTGGCTGCACACCAGCCAGGTGGGTGGCTGCGGGGTGCGTGGGCGCTGGGGGACAGCGCTGCTGCCTTCCTGTCCCGCTGCCAACCCGCCGGCCTTTGTCTGGGGTCTAGAAAATCCACCGCGCGCTCAACACGGAGCGGCCCCGGGCTTCGGAGCGGCTGGAGGTGGAGTCCAGGTGAGCGGGGACTCGGGGAGGGTCCTTGACGCGCTTCTGCCGCCCCTCCAAAAGCACCTGGGCAGAAGCGAGGGTGCGGAGTGGGTACCTTGCCTAGCCCCGTCCCCTGTCCCCAGTGACCCCGAGGAACGGCAGCAGGACACTCAGGCGGACCCCGAAAGCCCTGGACAGTGGAAACGCGTGCGCCGGGCCGTGGGCACAGAGCGCCGCCGCGTGCGCTTCCTGCTGGAACCTGCGGTGGCTGCGGCACAGGACAAGGAGCCCGGGCAGCCTGAAGGTCCCGTCTGGCTGTGCTCCAACGGGCGGTCCCCCACGCCACCGCGGCCGGGAGAGCTGGAGGAGCTGGAGCAGCACATAGAGGCTGTGCGTGAGAGGTTGCGCCAGGCCCTGCTGCGGCGCGGGGAGCTCCGGGCCCGGCTCGGGGATGGCACCCGCCACCGGCCGCTGCGACTGCTGCAGCCCGCGCCGGTCCCTGAGGACGCACCATGAGGCCACCCTTGCCCACACGCAAGCGCAGACGGGACGCTGTCCGCGGACAGTTTATTCTATATACAAACACAATTTTGTACACTGCAATTAAATAGAATGGAATGCACGCTGCGCTCATCCTCGCCGAGCGCCTGGCTCCCGCTGCCACCCCGCGCGTGTGCTGCTGACACTTGCACCTGGGCGCAGGCCGTGCCCACGGCGCAGCTCCACGCCCCGGGACCCCAAGCTGCAGAGTGCGGGGAGGGGCGGACGGAAAGGCACTGCGTGGGGAGCACCTGGCAGCCAGGCTGGCTGAGCCCCGTGGCCCGAGACAGCCGCTCCCCACTGTGGCCGGCCACTGGGCCCTGCCTCAGGAAGGTGCCCCACGCCTCCCGCCGAACCCCTCCGGAGCCTCTGGCGGCCGCTCCGCTCCTCACAGACCACCACACACACAGCTTCCTAGCAGGTCACGCCGGGCCCGCGCACCGGGGAAGGTCGGGCCTCCCAAACCTCACTGATGTCACAGCCACCGCCAGAGCGCAGACGGGCAGTTGGGGAGGGCCCCCCCCCCCCGGCCCCATCAGGGACTGCCTCCCCACCACGGGCTCCGAGGTCAGGCCCGCCAGCTGGGACCAGGGACAGGTGGCAGCTGCTATGCTCAGGACCCAACCTCCGAGCGCGAGTCGGCTGGGGTCCTGGGGGCGGGAAAGGGGGCGGGGAAGGGGACGGGCCCATCCCGGGTGGCTGCTGGCGAGGCCGTGGTGTCCGGTGCCAAGGGGGGAATCTGGGGGGCACTGTCCTGGGGGGTGCGGGGTGGGCCCCCACTGGGGCTCAAGGGTCCGGCAGGCCGCCGCTCCAAGAGCGAGGCGCCCAGGCTGGACAGGAAGGAGGCGTCGGTGATCATGGCGGCAGTCTCTGCCATCCAGCCCAGGTCGCCCCCAGCCACCGACGCAGCCATGGCCCCCAAGCTGCTGGGCGCCACGGGCGCGACCCCGGGCCCAGGCACCCCGCCGCTTCCGGCTGAGCCAGGACCCAGGGCGAGGGGCTGGCTAGCGGGGTCAGAGGAGGAGGTGGTGGCCGCCGGGGCGCCCGAATTGTTGTTCAGGTCGTCCGGCAGCACGGTGGGGGCACCGGGTCCCAGCGGCGGGGTCTGCAGCAGCATCTCCTGGATGCGGATCTGCTGCAGGATGGCGGGCAGCTCGTAGTGGTGGAAAAAGTAGATCATGGAATGCTGGGGGCGGGGGAGGAGGGAGCGAGCGGAGTCAGCCCCGCCCACGGCCTCAGGCCCCGCCCACGGCCCTCTGGTCACAGAAGCGCCTGCGTGGAATTGACCTGAGGCTCCGCCCACACCAGGGCAGAAGCGGCTCCGCCCATCCCTGAACCCGGAGGCCAAGGGCACCCCAGCTGCCCGGGCAGGTTGCCGCGAAGCTCGGCCCTTCTCCAAGCCTCCCGCCCGACCTCTGTCTCCCTTCGCCTCCCGCACTAGGGTCCCTGCCTCGGGTGGGGGCTGCACCTGGATGAAGAGCCAGGAGGTGACCAGGGCCAGGCTGCTGTACTGCCCGTTGAAGCGGTAGTGGTAGGCATAGAAGGCGAAGTGGTACAGATAGAAGAACCTGCAGGCCAGGCATGAATCAGGGCGTGCAGCTGTACCCCACCCGGCTCCCGCCCCCCTCCCCCCGCCCGGCCCGCAGCTCACCGCAGCCAGTGGCGCTTGCTGGTGTTGGTGTGACAGCAGATGGCGTCGTACTGGTCGGCCAGCCACACGATCAGGATGATGTAGAAGGCAGTGGTGGTGTCGTTGAAGAACTCGGACATGATGGCCTCCATGCCTGGGGGACAGCGGGCTGGGTTGCAGGGCACAAGCAGGGTGGGGAAGGGGAAGGGAGGGAAGGGGAGGGGAAGGGAGGGGAGGAGAGGGCAGGGGAAGGGAGAGGGAAGGTCCTCACCCACGAGGGCCAGGATGACGGTGAGCAGCGGGGCGGCGGGGAAGGCGATGGCCATGTTCATCTCCAGCATCTGCAGCAGGTCCACTGCGGGCGGGAGGGGGGCCACAGTGAGCACCTGCCCAGCACCTGGCACCCGCACCCCGAGGCGGTGGCCGGGACTCACCAATGAAGACGAAAATCTGGTGGTGCGAGTAGCGCAGCAGCATGGACACGCTGAGGGTCTGCGGGGGCGCCGGGTGGAGAGGGGGGCAGTCAGAGGTGCGGGGGTGGGGGTCGCGAGCCCCCAAAGCCCGCCCTGTCCACTGCGGGGCACTCACGAAGATGACCATGATGACGAAGGCCGCCAGGTAGGATGTGCGCGCCATCCACATGCTGACGAAGCGGTAATGCTCTCCGGACACCACGTTGCGCAGGAAGCCTGTGGGGGTGGCGGTGAGCAGGGGTCGCCTTGGCCCGCCCCACCCCCTCCCCAGTGCGCCCGGGCCGCACCCTTGTTCTCCTCGTTCTCTGCCAGGCCCTTCACGCTGGACATGAGGATGTCGTCGTAGCCCAGGAACTCCTCCAGCAGCAGGCGGCTGAAGCGGTCTCCGAAGCACTGGTCCCGCGTGGGGTCTGTGGGCAGCGGCAGGGGGGTTGGCGGGGGCAGCTCGGGACTTTTGCCCACCCCCCATCCCACTGCCCCGCTCTGCCCGGCAGGAGCCCAGGGAAGGCCAGGCTCACCCAGGGTGACCACCATGACTGGGACGCTGAGGCGCTGGCGTGTGGCCTGTGACAGCCGGAGGAAGCCGTACTCCAGAGAGTACTCCACGATGTACTCATCCTGCGGCCACACTGTGGGAGCCGGCAGGTCAGGGGCGCCGGCAGGGGCTCAGCACCCCACCCTCATGGCTGGGCACCCCCGTACCTTTGCTGGGCGTCTCGGGAAAGGGGAACTCCTGGCTTTCGTTCAGGGCCTCGGTGCCCGCAGGTGGCTTGAACACCTTGGGCTCTATGTCCAGCTCAAACTGCGGGTGACCAGGGACAGGGGGGTCAACATGTCTGGCGAGGAGGGCTCGGCCAGGCCCAGGTGGTGGGTGGGGTCCTGGAGCCTCTGGGATGTCCCTTGTGTCCAAAGCCAGCTCATTGGTCAGGGCCCAGGTGGCCCTCTGCCTGGGACAGGGGCAGCGCCAGGACCCCAGTGCAGAGGAGACCCTAGTATTCGAGGTCACACAACCACCCCTCAGGCCCTGGCTGCAGCCCACCTTGACCGAGCTGTTCCCAAACATCTCCATGGTCAGCTCCTCCTCCTCTTCCTCATCCTCTGGCTGCATGCCGCCAGGCTCCACAGCCAGGCCCGGGAAGCCAGCCTGGGCACCACTGCCGCAGAACTGCAGGAAGACGGGCGCCCGACTGGAGTTGTGTCGCACCTCCACGCGCAGCACGCCCTCCCGAGGCCACTTGTCCCGCACATGCTCCAGACAGTTGACAGGGGAGCGGGAGAAGACGAGGTGAATGTAGGCCAGCACAAAGAGGACGAACAGCGCCTGCGGGCAGAGCCGGGCAGTGAGTGGGGCGCAGGGGGCCTCCGGTTCTACGAGCACACAGGAAAGGGCTGTAGGCACCATCAGCCACCATCTCTGCCGTGTCCCTACTCTGGCCTCGTGGCTGTCCCCTGCCTTATACTCAGGCCTGTGGTGCCCTCTGAGCCCCTGATCTCACCTGCTAAAAATAGTGCCCCCCATGCTGGACCCACATAGGTGCCCAGGACACAGCCAAGCCCCAGTGGGCCAGGTTCCCAAGGCAAGGCCCGGTTGCTCCACCTGGGACAAGCGGCTTCCCCATCTGTAAAATGGGACAGTGGCCATTCTCGGGATGACTGTCCTTGGGGGATACTGGCGACTGTTAGCCCTGGGTTCCCCCTGGCACGGAGCAGGCAGAGGCTGGAGACCCTGCTCGGCACCATGCGATGCCCAGGACACCCACCTGAGGTGCTGACAGGGACCCCTGTGCTGGGCACTGGTTACCACGGGGAAATCCGGCCTAGTCCTCGAGCCCATTGGACAGCTAGGGCAGTCGGTGTGACCAGAGAGCTTTGGGGACCTCCCCCCCCCTGCTCAGTGTGTGGCTGTCACTGTGGGTGATGGCCCAGGACCTCTGCAGGGCAGGAGATCCCAGAGTGTGGAGTCCTTGGGGGTACCCAGGATCCCCCACCAGAGGCTCTGTGCTCAGCTGGTGTTGTCCCTGGGGGACAATGGGCAATGTCTAGGGACATATGTGGCTGTCATATGTCACATATGTGCACGGAACAGGTGGAGGCCAGGTAGCCCTCCCCACCCCGACTCAGTGTGCATGGCAGGCAGGACACTTGTGCACACAGGTGGCACCGACCTGGTCATCAGCCACCCCCCCCCCAGGTGCCAGGGAGCCGTGTGGCACTCAGCAGGGTTACAGCGCAACCTGGGGTTTGCTCCAGGCTCTCTAGGGAGGTGCTGCCAGAGTGCAGTGCCCACCTGGCCTGATGACAGTGACTAGGCCACAGGATGGCATGAGCACACCGCAGGGGAGACCCAGGACCCCACCCCTCTCCCTGAGCCCACCGCCTGGCACAGAGCTGAGCCCCCACAGGCTCCTTGGTTGGGAGCTGGGACACCGCCTCCCAGGCCAACAGGAACTTGAGTTTCCATCTCCGCAGCCTAAAACCCCAAAGAGGCAGAGGCCACAGCACCAGGGAGACAGACACAAGCCAGGAGCCGAGCATCCGGCAGGACCCCATCCCAAGGAGCTGGTGCAGGGGATGGCGCCTGGGGTCTCCCAGGCCTTCTCTGGGGGCTGGGAACCCAGTCCACTGCAAAGGACCTCCCTGGGCACCGTGCCAACACTTGAGGGTGCTGCATGGTGCTGGGCCTGGGGTGCTGGAGCTTCCTGGGGTCACACTTCTGTGGCCTGTGGTCCGAGGGTGAGGGCATGCTCCCAGGGTGGCCCTAGGATCCCCAAAGGTCCCCCAGAGAAGACTGCAGACCTCAGGTGGACACTCGCCCACTGCACCCAGCACAGGTCCCAGTGAGCAGTCCTTCAAGGACCAGGGGTGTGGTGGGAGCACTCAAGGACTCCACTGCGACTCTGACGTCACCTCTCAGAGTGGGCCCACTGCAGGCAGCCTGCCTTCTGCCCTGCCTCTGTTTTCCTTCTACAGTCAGAAGCAGGAGTGTGCAGCCACATTCACCCACACTCGGTCCCATGTCCCCTGGGAGCTCCATGCTGTAGCCCTTCACCCTGGCACCGTGCCGTCCACCCATCACCCTCTGTGCTAGCATCCTGCCCAAACCCTGCTGCCTGGACACCCCGTCCTCCGCCACCACCCTGGCCCACTCACACTGTGCCCCCAGGTCGGACGGTAGGAGGAGACCAGAGCCTGGGTCAGAGGCCAGACCCCAGGCTGCACTCCTCAGCCCCTCCAAGAGCCCCCCCAGTTCCCGGCCCATGCTCCAGCAAGCAACATACCGCCTCCCCACAGGCCTTTCCGTGTCTCTTCACAGATCAAGGGCCAAGTGCCGGCTGCCTCACTCCCAGTGCTGACTAAGGGACACAGGCGTGGGGCCACACCTTCCTCCCCCGGACGGCTCGCAGAGCCTGAGCCCCAGCCAGGAAAACCTACACGGTGTCCCATCCCAAGGCGACAGGTCATTCCTCCCACAGAGACAGCCACCAGGCAAGTCTTCCCAGTGACCTCGAGAGGGGCACCTGGCCATCCTGCCCAGCAGAGATGGGGCCCCCACCTGTGTTTAGAGGCAGCACGAGTCAAGGGCTTTCTGCCCCAAGAACACCTCTTGGTGTTCAGTGCTGGCCACTGACATCCCAGGTTCAACCCACCGGCCCTTCTGAGGGTCCCTCCCACAGTGGCCTGGCTGCTACCTCTTCCCAGAACCCAGCAATAGCTGGGGGTTCCTAACAGCACCTCAGCCCAGCCGTGGGGACCAAGGTGCCCAGCTGCACAGGCCCAGAGGAAGCAGCCACCATCCCTCCACGGAGCCGCGGAAGCCCAGCCCTTCGCACAAGCAGGAAGCGAGGAGCAGAGCTTCCCTGAACTCAGCAACCAGCTGGGCTCAGCCTCACAGAGCAACCGAGAGGCACGGGGCTGACTGTGCATCCAGAGCTCGGGCACTGGTGCAATGTGTGTGTATGTGGGGTGTTTCTGATCCTGACAGTGCCTCCTGCCTGGAGGTGGCTAAGGGCTTGCAGGGATGACCCAACAATCATCACACCTGATGGGGGAAGCAGCCGGACCAGGACAGAGGCCACCAGGAAGCACCTTTGGGAGCAGCAATCCCAGGGCACAGCACTGGCTGTGCCAAGCTCTGGCTGGGGGCACAGGGACTTCTTTCAGAAGGCATGCAGTGTCCCAGGGAAAACACACCCCACGGCCACAAGGTCGACATCTGAAGACATGGGGGACCCGGATGGAGGAGCCCTCATTCAGTAACCCTCCACACTGGGCTCAAGTGACTGAGCTCTCCTGGGGATTACGCTAAAGATGGGCCAAGCACCTGCTCGGGGGCATTGGTTCCCCACAGCAGGGACCGGAGGCCCTGGGAGGGTCTCTCCGAGGCTATGGTGGGGGCCAGGACCCACACCCAGGTCTGTCCAGTGGTCAGACTCCAGCTCCTTCTCCTGAGCCCCAAAAGCAGTGCCCTGAGCAGCTGGCCCAGGCTGGGGACCTGTCCACCAGCCTCACTGACCATCACTCCCATCAGGCAAGGAAGCAAACCTCCCCCTGCCCTTCCCCATTTAGATGGCTGGGAAACCCGGAGTGCAGGCAGCCGGCCAGCTCCAGGTCTTCCGAATGCTGTCAGCTGTCACTCCAGCAAGACTCCGAACTCGGGGAACCCGAGGACCACAGCTAGTGACAGCCTGACAGCCGGATCAGCCGGCGGCTGGGCGGCTGGGCTCAACTGGAGGAGCCAGAGGAGTCGGCGCTGGGTGTGACTTTGCTGCTAACCCTAGCGAGGTGACCTCAGCTAAGTCACACGCAGGGCTGCGAGATTCAGTGTAGGGAGAAGGCAGCGTGGGCAGCGCAAGGTGTCAGGAGGGGAACACCGTCACCGGGTGGAAGGGTCCAGCAGGGAGACAGAGGATCCTGGGGCCAAGATCGAGGTTGCAGAATCGGGGTCAAAGGGCAGGGGGAGGAGGGCCCTGGCCCTGGCCCTGGTCCTGGCAGGTCGGGGTGGGGCTCCGGGTTTGCAGAAGGTGGGGATCTAGGTCAGGCGAAGGCGAGACCAGCGACTACCAACAGGGTACCTTTGGGCTTCTGCCATGGGGAACCCAAGGCGGCACCGTGTCCAAAATATCCCAGGTGAGAGGTCAGAGCCATTAAGATCCCAAAGGGTCGGCCCGATCTAGGTTTGGGGGGCCAGGCCAGGAGCCGGCGGGCCGCCGGGGTCAGAGGCCAGGGGTCGGGGTCGGTCACCTTGAGCAGCACGAAGAACTCGAAGAGGCGGCGGAAGGCAGGCGGGAAGAGCCGCGAGTAGGTTACAGCCATCTTGAAGAACAGCGCGTGAAAGAGCCGGTCGCGCACGTTGATGAGGGGATTGGGGTTCAGGTTGGGGGTGCGCGGTCCGCGCGCGGGGGCCGGGCCGCCGCCGCCACCGCCACCGCCGCCGCCGCCGCCACCGTTGGGCCCGGGCCCCGGGGCTGCGGGCGTCGCGTGCTCTGACATGCCTCCCCGCGTCGCCCTACCGGTCAGCAAGTGCCCGAGACGTGTCCGGGCCGCCGCAGGCCCCGGACACCGCCGCCGCCGCCTTCGCTCGCGTTTCCACCGGGCCCTAAGACACCAGAGAGGCCCGGCCGGCCAGAGCGCCGCCGGTCCGCGGGGCACCCTGGGATGCCCGCGGCCGCCCGCGGAGGCCCCACCCTCTCGTGGGCGGCCTGAGTTGTTGGCTTAGGGGAGGAGGGCGGAGCCACAGTCTCTTTTGCATACGGCATCCCATAAGCCTACGCGGCAGCAAGACTTTTTTAAGTCAAATTAATCAACATCTGAGATTCTTTAGCGTGCTGAGAGACATTCAAAGTAACTATGATTAGAGAAGATATTCTAGGATGAGATGTTACAAAAAAAAAAAGACACAAATCGACCTATCTGTGAAGTAAGTATAATTTTGGTCCTTAAATAGCCAAAGCTCCAAGTTCACGTCTGTGCTCGCTTCGGCAGCACATATACTAAAATTGGAACGATACAGAGAAGATTAGCATGGCCCCTGCGCAAGGATGACACGCAAATTCGTGAAGCGTTCCATATTTTTGAGTACAAACATATCTTGCCAGGGCCCCCTTTGACAGAGGCAGTTGTGAAGCACCTGACGAATGTAAGAAACGCAACTGATGGCCAAGTCAGACACTGGGAAAGACCTCCCAGGTGCCCCTTCTGATACCTTTCCCAGCCCTAACTTGCTTCCTGTTGCACAGAATGTCCTGTATGCAGGAGGTGCTTAATAAATGCACGACTTGGGCCTGGGGATTTAGCTCAGCAGCATAAGCACCTGCCTGAAAGCAGGCAGTCGTGAGTTTGATCCCTGGTACCGATAAAAAAGAAAAAGACAAAAAAAAAAAAAAATAAAATAAAATAAAATAAATGCACGACTTTGACACTGTTATGTACATATGTACCATCCATGGTTAATTTGGGCGGGTGGGTTTCTGTTTGTTCTTAGAGACAGAGTCTATGTAGCCCCAGGCTGGTCTCGAACTCCCAGGGATCCTCCTGCCTCCGCCTCCAGAGCACTGGGAATTACCAGCCTGCCTGCCCATCGCGCCCGGGTGAAACAGCCTTCTTGTTGCTGTCATTTGCTAGCATTATTCCAGTCGGTGGGTGTAGTAATCCGTCCTCACCCGACTCCTCGGGGCCAGACCTCACATGGAGCAGGCTGAGATCTTGCTCGGGGTCTCCAAAACGCTCTTCCCAGCCGTGTCCTTCCAGGGCCCCAAACCTTCCCACGGTGAGACCTGGGAAGACTTGTGACATCCTGGGTGAGGGGTCCAGGTGGTCCAGAGGCCCAGCCCGTTCTTCCCAAAGGAAGCCAAGAAGTCCCTGAGACCCTCCGGGTTCCTGCTGCCCAGCCCGAAATTCCTGAGTTTCTCTGCTCTGCTGATGCAGTCAGCTCTGGGCAGGTGCCTGCCTGGCACTCTGCAAATATTTATCTTTTGCTCTGCTGCGGATGGAGCCCAGGGCCTCATGCATGGTAAGTAAGGGCTCTGCCTCCGAGCCACACTATCACCGCTTTAAAATTTTTTTAATTTTGCCAGGCATGGTGGCACACGCCTGTGATCCCAGCACCTGGGAGGCTGAGGCAGGAGAATTACCACATACATAGCGAGTCCGAGGCTAGCCTGGACTGCACAGTAAAACCCTATGTCAAATAACAATAACAAGTAATAATAACAAAATAATAATTTTAAAACTTTTTTCATTACTGGGGATCAAACTCATGACCTTTCACTTGCCAGGCAGGCACTTGTGCTGCTGAGCTAATTCCCTGACCCAATTTTTAAAAATTTTGAGCCAAGCCTAGTGGTGCACACTTGTAATCCCAGCTCCTGGGAGGTTGAGGCAGGAGGATCTCTGGAATCCCCTGAGCTTCTGTTTAGGGGGCTGTCATGCTGGCAGTTGGCCCCACAGTTGGCTCTGTAGAGATACCCCAGCCCCAGGGCCCACTTGCCAAGACCTCAAAACCAAGACCCAGAAGTGCAAGGATTCACCTAAACCACCCCACTGGGTCTCAAACTCAGAGATGGAATGGGAGAATGACAGGTGCCAAAAGAGGAAACCAATGTTCCGCGAGCAGGGCCTCAGGGAGGAATCATCCCCGGGAAGGTCATCCCCAAGATTTCAAGGAACCCAGCCAACCACTTACCAGAAGTATTAAGTAAGAAGTGTCCTCTTACTTAAGCCTCAAAACCTCACCTCCCATCTCCCCTCTGACAGGAAGGTTTCTTTGAACAGTTTTCAAGCAGGCTCCCTGCTGCAAACTGTCCCAGCAATGCGGCAGTGTTTCTTCCAGCACACAGACAAGGGAACAAACAGAGGATGGCTCCTTTACTCATTTGGCAATTTATTGATCCGCTGATAGATCAATAATAGGCTCAAGCACTTATTAAACGCTCACTGTGTGTCTGGCCCAATGCGACGCCTAACCTAGCCAGAGCTCACTTCCGTTCACAACTTCCACTGGCTCCCAGCTGTCTGCAGCTCTCCGCTCAAAGCCCTTTCCCACACAGCCGCTCTATTTTCCCAGCTGATCGGATCACCACAGCCCTCATGCCATCCTTTCGTGCTGACAAGAAAACACTCCCGTTTGGACTGGCAAACTCCTATACATCCATTAAAGCCCCAGCCCCATCCTCCCCCCTGCAGAGAAGTCTGCCCGTCCCCTTGGCCATCCCCGTGCTGTGAGAGTTCCCGGGGAGGAACGGGCAGATTGGGAGTTGCCTCTGAGTGACACAGAAGGGTTTTCATTGGCACCCCCCAAGGGTCCCACCCAACAAATCCCACGAAGGTACAAAAAAGATAAACTGAGACCCAGATAAAGGTGTGAGGGAGACTCCAGAGCTCCCAGCAGGAAGCACAGGGCGGTGCAGAGCCAAGCCCCAGCCTGCCTCAGTTTCCCGCGGGCGGCGGGGTGGCCCAGCCGGCGGGCGGGGGTCGGCGGTCCCGGAGACTCAGGAAGTCTGCGGCCGCAGGAATTCGGCCCTTCCCGGCCTTATAAGGGCATTTGCGCTCCGAGCCAATCAGCGGCGGGGGGCGGCGCCACCCGGGCCCGCCCCCTCCGCGCCCGCCCGGTCCCGGGCCCGGGTCCCCGTCCAGTCGCTCCGCGTCCTGTCGCCCGCACGTCCCGCCATGAGCTCCACGCAGTTCAACAAGGGTCCCTCGTACGGGCTCTCCGCCGAGGTCAAGAACCGGGTGAGTCCTGGCTCGGACCCGCGCAGCAGCCCTCGGGGACGACGGCTACCAGGGGGTGCAGGGGTACCCCGGCCCTCCCCGACATCTGGGGAGTTGGGGGGCTGCCCTGCGCTCAGGGAGATCTGGGCGCGCCTGGCTCAGAGCCCGAGAAAGCCCCGGGGTCTAGGGGACCCCAGCTGTTCCTTCCTCTTCACTTCTGCTTTTGGGGTGCTCCTCTTTGGGAGGGGAAGGGGCGGGGCTGGTGGCTTTTGGAGAGGGCGTAGGGGGCCCCCAGCGGAATTTCCTGCCGCACACACCTGGGCTGGGGGGCCACGGGGCCCAGATCCCAGCTTGCTCCCCATCGCACGGAGTTGAGGGACAGCGGAGGGGCCCCTCAGTGTGCGCGGAGTTGGTCACCTGGAAACTGGCTGGGGTGGCCCAGGTCTGTCTTCTCAGCGCTCCAGGAGGCTGAGGCAGGAGGATCCTAAGGTCAGTCAGGTCCAGCCTTGGCGGCGCAGCCAGAGCTTTTCCCAGGGTAACAAAGGGGCGGGCGGCCGAGCTCAGTGTGAGGCCCCTGGTGCTGGGTTCGAGTCACTCCCGGTACTAAAACCTAAATAAATACATAAATAAACTAAAATAAAGACAGAAAGCAGTAATTCTGGGCCCGAGTGGGAGCTGGGCGCAGGCGGAGTCGCAGAGCATCTTCCGGCAGGGGAGAGCTGGGGTGGGGGCTTGGGGCAGGGGTGGCTGTCATCACCCACGGGCGATGGAAGGTGATGTCACGGCCGGCCTGTCGGGGCACGCGGAGGACACTGTCCTGCCTGGCCCGGCCCTGCGTCCCTGCCTAGGCCTGCGGGAGCCACCTCTGCAGGGGAGGATGGGGATGCAGGCAGGGTGGCCTACGAGCCGGGTCGCTGTCCCTGAGCAGGGGAGCTTCTCCCTGAGGAACCGGGACCGACGGCCCTGGGGGACAGAGCTGGGTCCCCTGCATTTGTCCAGCCAGATGGGTGGGCGTGGTTTGTGGTGGGCGTGGCGTTGGTGGGCGTGGCGCGGACCGACCCCCGCCTGGGGTCACCTCCAGGTCGCACTCGCTTTGGAAGTGGCCTTTCCTGGGCCTCCAGCGCACAGCCCGAAGGCGTTACAGCCGCTTCAGGCCGGGGCACGCCAGGGACCTCTGGTGAGGCTCGTGCCTCAGTTTCCCCGGAGCACGCTGGCCAGGCCTGGGGAGACAGAGCTGCCGTGCAATGCGCGCTGGGCCGGGGTCCGGGCCTCTGGGAACAGCTGGTCTCAATTTAGCCTCAGAGGCCAGGGCCACATTCCTGGCAGTTTGAGGGCAGCTGGAATGCGCCGAGGGCGGAGGGAGGTGACCGCTGTGGGCGCAGGCGGGGCGGACCTGGGTCTCCCGAGCTGCCACTCCCGGGATGGGACAAGGCCACTGCAGCTTGGGCGGTGGGAACCCAGAGCCCCGGGTGGCCGCCGGTCTGTTGGGTTGTCCCCTTTTGTCCTGTGTCCCTGTGCAGGTGCTAAAATCCCCTGTGGCCTAGTTTAGAGCACAAAGCAGGAAGTGGGGCGCCTGCACGGAGAACCTGATTCCAGGCCGCCCGCGTGCTGTTCCACGGCTGTCATCCGAGGCCTGGGAGGCTGAGGCAGGAAGGTTTCTACTCAGAGCCCAGGCTGGGCAAGGTGGCAACTTAGCAAGACCGCGCTGTGTGGAAATATGGACATAAAGAGAGGCTCAGTGTGCAGACCTTGGGTTCACCCCGTCACACACACACACACACACACACACACACCTGCTGTGCAAATGATTCCGTTGCACAGGGGAGAAACCGAGCAAGACCAGAGGCAGCTGTCACTGGTCATGGGGAGCTGGGCATGGGGGAACCAAACCCAGGAAAGGGCCTCTTGGGTCCCTCTGGTCCCTGGGGAGCTGGGGAGTGAGCAGTGAGGGAAGGGCCCCATCTCTCCATTAAGGAAGGCAGGGGCTCTGTGACCTCGGCGGGTTTCTCCTTGTTTACTTAGTGGTGCAGTACTGGGGTGGCCCCCAGGACTTTCTCATCCCCTGGCATGTTTTTATTATTTCACTTGCTAGGTCCCTCAATTGTCCAGGCTGGACTTCAACTGGAGATCCTCCTGCCTCAGCTTCCCTAGTGCAGGGATTGCAGGAGGATCCCTGTGAATCTGAGGCCAGCCTGGGGCTACATAACCTGAGACCTTGTATCTAAAAATAAAAAAAGAAGACACACAGCATGGGCTCCAAGCACAGGAAACGCCCAGGACAGGTGGACTCAGACAGGAAGTGGCCCTGGGGGTGAGGCAGGGGAGGGGACAGGTGTTTGGGGGTGATGGAACGGAATTCAAGATGGCGCCGCACACCACTGTGAATGTACTGACTGCTGCAGGGTCGCACATGGGATGGGGCCGGGGCCTCCTCGTGCCAGACTCTTCTAATGTCTTCCCTCTGCGCTGGGGTCTCGCTGAGTCGCTAAGTTCTCCGGGCTGGGTGGCATCTTGCCGCTCTCCTGCATCAGCCTCCCCTGGCTCCTCCCGCTGCCTGCTCAGCCCTCGCCCTCCACCCCTGCAGCTCCTGTCCAAGTACAACCCGCAGAAGGAGGCCGAGCTGCGCAGCTGGATCGAGGGCCTCACGGGCCTGGCCATCGGCCCTGACTTCCAGAAGGGCCTGAAGGATGGGGTCATCCTGTGCACGTGAGTGGGCGGGCGCTGGCTTCATAGGCGGGCACTCTCCCCTCAGCCGCCGTGCTTTATTTTATTTTATTTTATTTTATTTTATTTTGAGACAGGGTCTTGCTAAGTTTTCCAGGCAGGACTCAAACGGGAGATCCTCCTGCCTCAGCCTTCTGAGCAGTTGAGATGGCAGATGTGTGACACCTTGCTGGGCTTTTGTCTTTATTGCCCCGTGAGGGGTCTCTGACAGTGAACAATCCCATTACACTGGCCATTTCACGAGATATTCAGACTTCCACAGTTTTGTACATTAAAAACGGTAACAGAGCCTGGCGTGGTGGTACGTGCCTGTAATCCCAGCGCTCGAGAGGCTGAGGCAGGAGGATCACAGATTCCAGCCCAGCCTAGGCAGTTTAGCAACGTGTTGAGTCCCCGTTTCAAAGTAAATAAATTTTTAAAAGGTCTAGGACTGCAACTCAGGGGTGAAGGCCCTGGGATCCATCCACAGTACCATAAGGAAAGATGGTCATTTAGTCAGTCAAGCAGCAAGATTGCCCAGGAGGCCTGCGCTTGGGGGAGTTTTGAGGCTCCTGATGAGTGATGCTCTGCCCCTGTCCCCCCAGACTCATGAACAAGCTGCAGCCAGGCTCGGTACCCAAGATCAACCGGTCCATGCAGAACTGGCACCAGGTAGGGCACGGCTGGAAGGAGGAGGGGCGGCCGTTCGCCCTGGACCCAGTTGGCCGGGGTCCGTTGCTCACCCTGCTCCTGCCTCCTCCCAGCTAGAAAACCTCTCCAACTTCATCAAGGCCATGGTCAGCTACGGCATGAACCCGGTGGACCTGTTTGAGGCCAACGACCTGTTCGAGAGCGGGAACCTGACCCAAGTGCAGGTGTCTCTGCTGGCGCTGGCGGGGAAGGTGAGGCTCGGGGGGACTGCAGCGGCCCAGCATGGTGGTCACACAGCACAGTGGGGGCAGTGCGCGGAGCCCCCTTTCTCTCTCTCTCTCTCTCTCTTTTTTTTTTTTTTTTTGTTTTGTTTTGTTTTTTTGGTCTTTTTCGGTACCAGGGATCGAACTCATGACTGCCTGCTTACAAGGCAGGCGCTTATGCCACTGAGCTAAATCCCAACTTCCCGCCCCCCTTTCCCTTTTTTCTTTTGATTCTTCTGAGAGATGATTTTGCTGCAAAGCCTGGCTGGCCTCCACCACCTGGTGATCTTCCTGCCTCGGCCTCCCGAGCCTTGGGAAGGCAGGCCTGTGCCTGCACACCTGGCTTCCCGTTTGCTTTGGTTTGGTTTCTGTGCTGTTGGTGCCGCCCCTGAGCCGCACCCAAACCCTGGAAGGAGGTCTTGGGTTGTGGAATTGAGCCCCCATCCTGCTCCTTGTGGGAGCCCAGGCTGAGAGACAGGCAGGACTGGGCAGGGTCTGGCCAGGGTGGAGAGAAGGGCTTGGCTCAGGTGAGCCAGAGGAGGTAAAGGCAGCCCTAGAATGCCAGGTCTGGTCAGGTGTTGTGGAGTACGCCTGTCACCCCAGCACTCAGCAGGCTGAGGCAGGAGGATCGCCACAATATTTGTTGAGACGGTGTCTCACTGTGCAGTCCAGGCTGGCCTTGAGCTCACTCGTAGCCCAGGCTGGTCTCGACTCCCAGGGACCCTCCTGCCTCAGCCTCCCGAGTGCTGGGATTGCAGCATGCGCCACCACGCCCGGTTTGGATCTTGCACGTGTGAGAGTCTCCTCCTGTCATGGAGGCTGCATCTTTCTCCTTGGGCCTCCCCAGGCCACACTGCCCACCCAGATCCAGGCTCCCCACCACCCTGCATCCTCCTCACCCCTCTGTTTACCCAGGCCAAGACAAAGGGGCTGCAGAGCGGTGTGGACATCGGGGTCAAGTACTCGGAGAAGCAGGAGCGGAACTTTGACGATGCCACCATGAAGGCTGGCCAGTGTGTCATCGGGCTGCAGGTGACCCTGCCGTGACTCGGGGCCCTGGTGTCCTCCTAGGGCGGCGCCAGGGCCCGCCTGACCCCCCCCTCCCCGCATGTGTGCCTCCCACAGATGGGCACCAACAAGTGTGCCAGCCAGTCAGGCATGACGGCCTATGGCACCCGGCGACACCTCTATGACCCCAAGAACCACATCCTGCCGCCCATGGACCACTCCACCATCAGCCTGCAGATGGGGACCAACAAGTGTGCCAGCCAGGTCGGCCACGGCTGCACTGCCCCCTCTGGGGAAGTCTCTGCACTGCCCTGTGCCTCGGTTTCCCCCAAAAGATCCTAGGAAGCCCGCTCTGGGGGTGCACGTCTCTCAGCCTGGTACACTGGGAGGCTGAGGCAGGAGGATTCCACGTCAAAGCCCAGCCTGGGCAATTTAGTGAGGCCCTGTCTCAAAATTAGAAATGGGCTGGAAAGCAGCTCAGTGTGGAGGCCTTGGGTTCCATTCCTAGTACTGCACAAGAAGAAATGAGAAAAGACCATAAGATCTTCAGATTTTCCACCAAGTTGGGCATAGGTGTCCATGTGATCCAGATTCCCTGGAGGACTGAGCCTCAGCTAAGGAGCTCCCTGTCAGGCAGGGAGAAAGTAGAACAGTCAGGTTTCAAGTTAAAAGGATAGGAGCCCTTGGGGAGCAAAGATCCACACCTCAGTTTGCAGCAAGCCCTGGAAAGACTCCAAGAGATTTTTTTTGATAATGTTTTAAGACAGCATGTCACTGATGTCACTAAGTTGCTGCAGCTATAGTAGATCTGGAGATCCTCCTGCCTCAGCCTCCCAGACTGCTAGGATGACAGGCATAAGCTGCATAGGGATTTTGCATCTGGCTTCCCAGCAGCCGGGGAAACCACCTGGGAACCGTGGGACCCCTTTTCTCTTCCTGCCCTGCTCTGACCCCTCCTGTCTTTCTCCAGGTGGGCATGACGGCTCCGGGCACCCGGCGGCACATCTACGACACCAAGTTGGGGACCGACAAGTGCGATAACTCTTCCATGTCCCTGCAGATGGGGTACACACAGGGCGCCAACCAGAGTGGCCAGGTGTTCGGCCTTGGCCGCCAGATCTACGACCCCAAGTATTGTCCCCAGGGCCCAGCCGACGGGGTCTCCTCAGGGATCAGTGATGGCCCAGGGGACTCCTCCGAGTACCCTCCCTACTACCAGGAGGAGGCCGGCTGCTGAGGCACCCTGCTGACCCCCACCTCATCCCTCCGCCCCGGGTTTTGAGTCTTCTATGTTTTCTTCTTTTCTGTTTAATGTTTTCAGTGGTGCAGGGCTGGGTGGGATGGGGGGGGGGGTGCCGGGAACTTTTCCTCTTTTGTTTTGATTTTTGGGTGTTTTTTTTTTTTTTTTTTTTGAGACAGGGTCTTACTACATATCTTAGGCTGGAACAAACTCACTGTGTAGCCCAGGCTGGCCTCTAGTTTGCAAAGATCCTCCTGCCTCAGCCTCCTGAGCGCCGGGCTGCAGGTGTGCACCAGCACGCTCGGCTCCCCCATCCTCTTTCTGTACCTTTGCAGGACTGAGCCACTAGGTGGGGAAGGAGTTGGCCGCGTTGGGGTGCTGGGGGGTGGGGCAGGGGCTCCAGACCTCAGATTTCCCAGTAGGCTTTGGGCCGAGCTGTATGGGGCAGAAACAGGACCAGGCAGGGGAACCTGGCCCCAGATTCGTGTCGTGTGTCCCCCATCCCCCACCTTAGCGGCTTGTGGGTACCTGACTCAGCCCTAAACTGTGGGAGTCTTCAGGACCCCCGATGGCCCCCACCCCTGCCCCCCACTGTGGCCCTTGGGGATTCTGCTCCCCACCCCAGCCAGCTGTGTTCACCCTGCTGTCCCTGCCCGCACTGCCCCGCTCAGTACTGGACACGGACCCCCGGCCAGGGGCCCCTGGACTATGAGAAAATGTGAAATACCAATGTGGACCAGAGCAATAAAAACCTCCGTTTTTAAGAAAAAAACGCCTGAGCTCGGGGAGTCTCCCCCCAGCACCCCGAGAGACTCTGGTGCGTGTGTGGGCGAGGGTTGCTTTGATCCTTTGCAGGAGGGGCTCTGGGAGGAGAGGCAGCCTGGGGGGGCCGAGGGGGAACAAACACGAAACCTATGAGGTGAATCTGCGCTTAAGCCCAGGACTTGAGTAAGGGAGAGGTTAGGAAGAAAGGAGGGAGCCGGGCCCCAAACTCCCTGCCCTGTGAGCTGTGGCCTGATGCCACACACCAGCTTTCAGCCTCCTGGCCTCCAGCTGATCCTGCCTTCCCAACGAACTCCTATGCATCCTCAAAGCCACCTTCCTCCATGGAGCATCTGCCCCATCCTGACGCTTCCTCTTCCTCAGACGGGCAGAGCTGTGTCTACACGCAGCAGCCTCAGCCTTATCCTGATCTTGTGAAATGTGCCCATTTCTCAGAGTGGGGAACCATCTGGTTTTCCACGAACTCTGCAACCATTGCCACCCAAAACTCTAATCTTAAAACTCTGGGGTTCCCTTCTGTTCTTCCACTATCACATAGCCCTAGTGTGTAAGACCCCAGGGATGTTTGTTGAATGAATGAACGAATGAATGAAAGAATAAAGACTTGGGTCAGAGACAACCACACACACACACACCCGATGCTTTTGTTTTATTTTGCTTTGTTTGGAGATAGGGTCTCTGTAGTCCAGGATGCCCTTGAACTGACTGTGTAGCCCAGGCAGGCCTTGATCTAGTCTCAGTTCTCCTGCCTCAGCCTCCTGAGTGCTGGGAATTTAGGCCTGCAGCACCTCCCCCTTTCAGTTTTGTGGTATTAGGGATTGAATTTAGGGCCTTACCATTGAGTGACATCCCCAGTCCTTTTTTAAATTTTGCATTTTGCTAAATTATAGCCAGGTTGGCCTTCACTTGTCAGTCTCCTGCCTCAGCCTCACAGAGTGCTAGCATCCCAGGTGTGTACAACCACACAAACCCCGTATTACAGAGGGCGAATGGTATCCCTGAATCTGACCCTGGCTAGACTCCAGGTCCCGGGGACAGGGTCTCCCATAGGAGATGGGCTGCAGTATTACCAACATTTATGCAATATGAGGAGCCGTGTGCTAAGGCCCGGGTTAGAGGGGGCAAGATGACACCGAAACGTGTGTGTCCCCTTTAAGAAACCCGGCTCAAGGTGACTGGTGGTAATCCCGCCTTCTCAGGAGCTCTACACAACGGATGGGTCGTTCTGTGAGTGACAGGCGTGAAGGCCAATAGCAGTGGCTGAGGGCGGGGCGCTGCCTCCGGCTCCCGGTAGTGAAGCGCAATCAGCGACCGGGGCATCAAGCCCGCCGGGGTCTCCTTTTAAAGGGGTGGCACCCCCCGGCCGCTGTCCGGCGGAGGGAAAGCGGCTGGAGCTGGGGGGCCGAACGGTGAGAGGAACCCCGAGGAGGAGGACGAAAGAGGGAGACTCGAGCATGCAGAGGTGGTTTTCAGAGATGGCCAGAGGCTAGTTGCCTGGAAATTAGAGGATGCTGGCCGCTCCAACTGACCCTTATTTCCTTTCCGCTAGTATTGAGGGGCCCCTGAATTGATCCATAATACTCAGGAGAGGAGATGGCAGCTGGTCACTTGAAGGACCTGAGCCCGCCTGCACCTGCGAAGCCCCCATGTGACCCCAGATCCTGAATCCAGGGTGTGGAGGTCGGGGCATTGGGGGTGGGGATGGCCGGGCTCTAGTTCCCGCGTGCACGGTTGACCTGCGGCTGCTTATTGGCACTGGGCGTCAGTTTCGTTATCTGTACGACAAAGTAGACCCCGAAAGGTCCCAAGGAAATGCCAGGACGAGGCGTCTAGCTCTGCCCCGCTCCTGACCGTGTCCTGGATCCTGTGGCATTTCGAAGGGTGTATAAAGGGGTGGGCTGACCTGTGATGCACTCGCTCCTTGGGATCCTGGATTTGACTCCACCTTTTCTGGTCTTGGGCATTGAACCCAGGACCTTCGCACTGAAATACATCCCAGCCTTTAAAAAAAAATCATTTATTTATTTATCTATTTATTTGGAGACAAGGTCTCTAAGTTGCTAAATTGCCCAAGCTGGGTTCTAATTTATGATCCTCCTGCCTCAGCCTCCCAGAGTGCTGAGCTCACAGGCCTGCGCCATCAGGCCTGGCTGATTCGTCCTTTCTTGAGCCTCAGTTTCCTATTCTGTAACTGGAGTGATAATCTAGATGGCTCTGCCAGTTCGGCAGTAAATATTCGTAACTGAAAAAAATTCGTTCCTGTTATCGTCATTGGACAGGCGGAACCCTTCATTGAGTGTAGGGTGAGGCCAGGTTGGGAGGCGCCAGACCTGACCCGGTCCCTGGGTGGGACTTGGGAGTGGAACCTGGTGACGGAAGCGTTAAACCGAGGCTCCGCCCCCGGGGATTCGGGGATGGTCTTTAGCGCTGCTTTGTGGGAGCGACAGCCCTGGCAACCAATCAGCTGCGGGAACGGCTTCGGGCAGTGTTTCCATTGGCTCAGTCCACCCGGGTAGAGACTCCCTTTATCAACTGCTTATTGTAAACCTGGCTTTCCTAGAGCTTTGCGGACCCTGCGCGGTGTACCCCTGAGAGGGATGAATTCCGAGAGGGGCAGGGAATTGCCTGCAGCCACACAGCACGACCCTCGCACTGACTCCTGCCTCCTGTCCCCTGCTGCAGCGTCACCATGGGTTTCCGAACCCAGCTGATGCTGCTGCTTTGGAAGAATTTCACATATCGCAGGAGACAGCCGGTAATGGCCCGGGGTGTGGCCCGGTGGGACGGCCACGATCCCCACGATCCCCACGATCTCCGGCCCATTCTGCCCCCAGGTTCAGCTGCTGGTCGAGTTGCTATGGCCTCTCTTCCTCTTCTTCATCCTGGTGGCCGTCCGCCACTCGCACCCCCCGCTGGAGCAGCATGAATGTAAGCCCCGAGGACAGGACAGAGGCTGTGTGTGCGGGGAAGGGCGGCGGGGTCCCCGGCTCACGGCGCACGTCTGCTTCTGTCCGCAGGCCACTTCCCCAACAAGCCCCTGCCGTCCGCGGGCACCATCTCCTGGCTCCAGGGTCTCATCTGCAACGTGAACAACTCCTGCTTCCCGAAGCCCACGCCCGGGGAGGAGCCCGGATCCCTGAGTAACTTCAATGATTCCCTGTGAGAGAGGATGCCCTGTGGCTGGCTGGGGCCCGGGGGGTGGGGTGGGGCGCTGAGAGCCTCCCACTTTGCCTCTGTCCCCAGCGTGTCCCGGCTCCTAGCAGATGCCCACACTGTACTGGGAGGTCCAAGTGCCCGCAGGACGCTGGCCAGCCTGGGTGCACTGATGCCCACGCTCAGAGCTGCCCGCAACGCAGGTGAGGCAGCCAAGGTCTCCCAGTTCCCTGCTGTGCAATGGGGGCCGTGGAGTGGGTACCTCTCTGGCTAATCTTTGCATGGCACTGTTCTGTGCGTTCCACCTGCAGCCTGGCCTCGCCAAGATGACCAGCAGGAGCAACCTTCGCTGACCACTGAGTTCCTGGGGACACTTCTGCGAGGGGTGAGCAGGGCCGAGGGACCAGCTGCTCTCAGAGGGCTCTGATGCCAGGCTCCAGGACCCAAAGGGACATTCCTCTCCTGTGCCTGGACAGGGAGTATCTGGCATGGTGACAAAAACTCCAGCAAGTGGGGCTGGGGATTTAGCTCAGCGGCATAAGTGCCTGCCTTGCAAGCATGCAGTTGTGAGTTCAATCCCCGGTACCGATTAAAAAAAAAAAAAAAAAAAAAAACTCCAGCAAGTATGTGACCTTGAACAAGCCCTTGTATCGCTCAGAGCCTCACTTTCCACATTCGTAAAATGGCAGAAAGACAGCATGGTGGACAGTTAGCGGGTGCTTGATCTAAGGTGACAAGGTGCTTGTCAACCTTGGTATCTTCTCCCCAGGAATCCTTGAGGTCTATCCTGAGCCAAGCGCAGGAGTCCCTGGGCAGCTTTGTGGAGGCCGCTGAGGACCTGGCTCAGGAGGTGAGACTTTCCCCCCAACTTTGATACGGTAGCACTTGTCTGTCATCTTTGTACTCTGAGAGGCTGAGGCAGGAGGATCTCAAATTCCAGCCCAACTGAGGCAACCTATGGAGGCTGTGTCTCAAAATAAAGAGAATAACAAGGACTGGCGATGTAGCTCATTGCAAATGAGCTCAATCCCCATTACTGAAAAGAAAAGAAAAAAATCACACTCAGGATCAAGCTGAGCCAGGAAGCAATAATGAGGTCCTATTGTTTATGCACTTGGAGCAAAAGCTAGGATTAGGAAAAGGGACACGGCGGGGGGGAGGGGTCCCTGCCCTGGTCAGGGCTTGGTGGTGGCTCCAGTGGGGGGCAGACTGCCAGAGCCCCCTGACAACCTCTCCTTAGCTCCTGGCACTGCCCAGCCTGGCAGAGCTCCAAGCTCTGCTGCAGAGACCCTGGGGTACCAGCAGCTCCCTGGAGCTGGTGTCGGAAGCCCTGTGCAGTGCCAAGGGCCCCAGCAGCCCGGGGGGTCTCTCCCTCAACTGGTACGAGAACGGAGACTTGAAGGAGCTGGTGGGCATGGAGCAGGTGCCAGCCGACCTGCCAGCCCATGGCCTGAGTGAGTGGTGGGCTTCAGTATTCCTACTTGGGAAGTGGGGTGGTGGGTGTGGAGCCGGGGCTCATGGCATCTGCACCCCCAGGCCCTGCCTGCTTAGACCTGATGGGCTCACTGGGTGACCACCCACTATCCCGCCTGCTCTGGAGACGCCTGAAGCCCCTGGTCCTCGGGAAGCTGCTCTTTGCTCCTGATACGAATTTTACCCGGCAGATCATGGCCCAGGTGAGTGTGGCCTGATGCTGGGGGAGGTGGGGAGGCCAGAGGGCTGGGGCAGTGTGCTCTGAACAGGTAGGAGTTTAGTGTAGTGGCACAAGCCTGTCATCCCAGCACTTGGGAGGCTGAGTCAAGATGACTGCTGTGAGTTCAAGACCAGCCTGGGCTGCAAAGTGAGTTCAAGGCCAGCCTGAACTGCATAGAGAGACCCTGTCTCAAAAAACCAAATAAATAAATAAATAATAAAGCATATTAAAAAGCCTGGGGAAAAAGTAAAAAATAAAATTTGGTGATAATAAAAAAGACCAGGAATGTAACTAGTGAAAAAGCCATGGGTTCAATGCCCAGTACCAATAAAACAAAACAAAACAGGGGGAGGAGCCCAGGCAAGTGCCCAGGACCCCTCAAAGGGCGGGGTGACAGTGGACAGGCCTGGTCCAGGCAGACCTTGTGGACGCGTTCCTGCAGGTGAATCGGACCTTCGAAGAGCTGGCTCTGCTGAGAGACATCCAGGAAGTCTGGGGCCTGCTGGGACCCCAGCTCTTTGATTTTCTGAACAACAGTGCAAACATGGCCGTGCTGCAGGTAGGGCTGGAGTGGAGGACGGGGAGGGGGAGGCTGGAGCCTGAAGCCTGAGGGCGGTGAACGGGGGCGGGGTTCCTGTGATCCGGCGCCAGAGACCCCCCTCATCTTATACCTCCCCCAGAGTCTCCTGCTAGCGCGGCCACGACCTGGAGGCCGGGCCGGGGCAGAGGCCCTGCGATCTTTCCTGGACCCCAGCAGGGGCGGCTATAGCTGGCGGGACGCGCACGCCGATGTGGACCGCGTGGTGCACAGGCTGGGTGGCGTGATGGAGGTGAGGGCTTGGAGGGAAGCAGAGTCCAACCCGGCGATCCGAGCGTGGAGGATAGCTCTGCCCCAGCAACCCAAAGGGAAGCGGCAGCCTTGTCCTGTGGAAGCCTGAGGGGACAGCTTTGGGTCCTTTGCAGTGCGTGTCTCTGGACAAGCTGGAAGCCACACCCTCGGAGGCCGCCCTGGTGTCTCGGGCTCTTCAGCTACTGGCTGAGCGCCGCCTCTGGGCCGGCATCGTCTTCCTGGACCCAGAGGACACCCCGGACCCTGCAGAAGTGTCAGGGCCAGGACCTAGTCCTGGACACTTGCGAGTCAAGATTCGCATGGACATCGACGATGTCACCAGGACCAATAGGATCATGGACAAGTGAGCCTGGTGGGCGGGCTGAGTCAAGAGTATGGTGATTGGCCAGGCTATTCAGCCTATTAGCGATTGATGGGCAGGGCCTAGGAGCTTCCCATAAAAGGTGTGCTAGGCCGAGCTCATGGAACTTTAAACCAATCGGAATTGAGGTAGGCGTGACCTATGCACTTGAGAGGTGGGCCAAGGCCCTCCTACCAGGTGTATAGGTCTGAAGGCAGCGTAGATGGGCCCAGGGCATTCAGCCTATTGGACGCAGCCATGGCAGAACCTGCCCATTTATGGAATGGTAGGCGGAGCCCCTAGTGCCTTAGACCAATTAGAGTATTAAGGGCCGTGGTCTGGTGGCCAGGGATATAAAAGAAAAATAAGTCTAGGTGGCTTGTATATATGCAGGCCAGGTGCAGGAGATGGTAAAGAGCGCTAAGGCTGTGATGGGCAGGGACTTCTTAGCTTCTCTCCAGTACTGACCACCATGCCCCCGGCCCAGGTTTTGGGACCCTGGCCCGTCTGCGGACCCCCTGTCTGACTTGCGCTATGTGTGGGGCGGCTTCGTGTACCTGCAGGACTTGGTGGAGCGGGCAGCCGTGCGTGTGCTCAGCGGCGCCAACCCCCGCACGGGCCTCTACCTGCAGCAGATGCCCTACCCATGCTATGTGGACGACGTGTGAGCCCCGCACCCACCCCACTCAGCCCTAGCCCCCTGCTCCGAAGCTTAAGGGACAGTCAAGGTTGCACGTCTCGTGACCCCCAGGCAGGGGGAGGAGCCAGGGGTCCTCCAGATGAATCTTGGGGTACAAAGGGAAAGTTGGCTTGTACCGAGCCGGGCGTGGTGGCTCACGCCTGTAATCCCAGCACTCGGGAGGCTGAGGCAGGAGGATCGTTGCGAGTTCGAGACCAGCCTGGGCTACAAAGTGAGCTCAAGGCCAGCCTGAACTGCATAGCGAGACACCGTCACAAAAAAAAAAAAAAAAAGTTGGCTTGTACTGAGGCCTGGACCCCCGAGGCTGCATTGGCCTGAGGCAGGGGAGCCTCGGTGTCCCAGGGCGAGTGGCCACGCCAAGTTGGGGTGGGTGGGGTGGGCGGGCGCAGAGCCCCCATCCGCATTCCCCCACCTTCCTCCTCCCCTCCAGCTTCCTGCGGGTGCTGAGCCGCTCTCTGCCGCTCTTCCTGACGCTGGCCTGGATCTACTCGGTGGCGCTGACAGTGAAGGCCGTGGTGCGAGAGAAGGAGACGCGGCTGCGCGACACGATGCGCGCCATGGGGCTGGGCCGCGCCGTGCTCTGGCTCGGCTGGTTCCTCAGCTGCCTAGCGCCCTTCGTCTTCAGCGCCGCGCTGCTGGTGCTGGTGCTCCAGGTGCGCGCCGGCGCAGGGGCAGGCGGGGCTCAGAGCTTCTGGGGAGCCCCCAAACCCAAGTCCAGGCCCATACCCGGACAGAGCCCTGAGCACCCCCCGCCCCGTCCCCACAGCTTGGGGACATCCTCCCCTACAGCCACCCGGCCGTGCTGCTCCTCTTCCTGGCAACCTTCGCGGTGGCCACCGTGACCCAGAGTTTCCTGCTGAGCACCTTCTTCTCCCGGGCCAACCTGGCTGCCGCCTGCGGAGGCCTCGCCTACTTCGCCCTCTACCTGCCCTACGTGCTGTGCGTGGCCTGGCGGGAGCTGCTCCCCGCGGGGGTCCGCGTGGCTGCGGTGAGGGCCCGGCTGGGGTGACGAGGGAGGGGGGCCATTCCTGGTCACGGCCTCCTGCTGACCCGCCCGCCACACACTGCAGAGTCTGTTATCGCCCGTGGCCTTCGGCTTCGGCTGCGAGACCCTGGCGCTGCTGGAGGAGCAGGGCGAGGGCGCGCAGTGGCACAATCTGGGACGCGCGCCAGGGGCGGACGTCTTCAGCCTAGCGCAGGTCTCGGGCCTCCTGCTGCTGGATGCTGCGCTCTACGCCCTCGCCGTCTGGTACTTGGAAGCCGTGTGCCCAGGTGGGCCTAGGGGGTGGGGCCCTGGGCAGGGACGCGACAGGGTACCGGGGGACTTCTGGTCACTGGTCCTTGGACCCCCAGGTTAGGTTTCCTCTAGGAGAGGGACTGCGGCGCGCCTGTGCCAAAGACACTCTGAACCCGGGGTAGTGGTGCACCCCTGCAATCCTTAGCATTGTGGGAGGCTGAGACAGGAAGTGGCTGTCTCTCAGGGGGCGGGGCTTGGAGCATCGAGCCCAAAACCCGCCCACCTGACTCTGGCTTCTAGAAGCAGAGGCTAGACTTAAGCTCTCCCTTGCAGAGAGCAGGCATCACTGAGCTGCGCTTCCCCTCAGGCCAGTACGGGATCCCTGAACCCTGGAATTTCCCATTCCGGAGGAGCTACTGGTGTGGACCTGCACCCCCCAAGGGTCCTGCTCCAGCCCCTGCTCCGCAGGACCCAAAGGGTGAGACCCCCACAAACCTAACCAGTTTCTTTCCTGTTTTGACTCCCCAGTCCTGCTCATCTTCAAATAAACCAGGTTCCCCATGTCTAGTTCCCCACTCCCGGACCCCAGCTCAGGCTGCAGCCTCCTGGGGGGCTCCTAACTTTATAATTTTCAAATTAATACTGAGAATTGAACCCAGTGCCTTGTCACTAAGCAACACGCCCAGCTCTTCTTGTCTTTTTTGTTCAAGACAGAGTCTTGAGGGGCTGGGGATTTAGCTCAGCGGCATAAGCGCCTGCCTTGCAAGCAGGCAGTCGTGAGTTCGATCCCTGGTACCGGTAAAAACAAAAAAGACAAAAAAAAAAAAAAAAAAAAAAAGACAGAGTCTTGCTAAATTTCCCAAGCTCAGCTCAAACTTGAGATCAGCCTCCCAGAGTGCTGGGTTGCAGGTGCCGCCCATCACCATGCCTGGCTGTTCCCTAACCCCTGCGGACTTCAGGGGTTAGCCTGACCTGATTCCAGTTCCGAGGGGCCCCGGGTGTCGTCGTCATCATCTACACCCAGCTGACTCTGCCTCTTTCTGCAGTGCTGGTGGAAGGGGCACCACCTGGCCTGTGTCCCGGAGTCTCCATCCGGGGCCTGGAGAAGCACTTCCCGGGTTCCCCGCAGCCAGCCCTTCGCGGGCTCAGCCTGGATTTCTACCAAGGCCACATCACTGCCTTCCTGGGCCACAATGGCGCGGGCAAGACCACCACGCTGTGAGCCCCCCAGACATGCTGCTCCTTCCCCTGGACTCAGCTTCCCTGTCTGTCCAGTGGGGAACACATCTAGGGCCAGAAGATTCTGGATTGTAACCTGGGCATGCGATAACATATACCTGTCTTCCCAGCACTCTTGAGAGGCTGAGGCAGGACGATCGAAAGTTCCAACCGAGGCAGGGCAACTGAACAACATAGCAAGACCCTGTCTCAACATTTAAGGACTGGAGACAGAGCTCAGAGCAAAGGCCCTGGGTTCTGGGTTGCAGTGTGGGGTGGCATACAAAGGGCTGGACGAAAGTATTTCCTCCCTATAAAGTGGGGACATAACACCCCTTTGGAGACCGAGTGTGGTGGGTCACACCCATAACCCCAGCATTCGGGAGGCCCAGGCAGGAGAATCGCCACGAGTGTGTGGCCAGCCTGGGCTACATAGAGAGACCCTATCTCCAACAAAAAAAGAGAGAACACACCTTTGGGAAGTGGGATCATAGAGGGGGCGTCCTGTGAGAGGCGCAGCTCTGAGACCCCTGCACCCCCAGGTCCATCCTGAGTGGCCTCTTCCCGCCCAGCGGCGGCTCAGCCTTCGTCCTGGGGCACGATGTCCGGTGCAGCATGGCAGCAGTGCGGCCTCACCTGGGCGTATGCCCACAGCACAACGTCCTGTTCGATATGTGCGTGTACACAGGTGCCGGGGGCGGGGCTCCCTGAGGCCCCGCCCACCACAATGCCGTGGGTCCTTGTCCCCTGCTGCAGGCTGACAGTGGAGGAGCACGTGTGGTTCTACGGCCGCCTCAAGGGCCTGAGCGCAGCCGCCGTGGGCCCCGAACAGGACCGGCTGCTGCGGGACGTGGGACTTCTCTCCAAGCGCTGTGCACAGACGCGCCACCTCTCTGGTGAGCTCAAGGGAAGGTAGGGAAGAAGCCAGGGCAGATCCGGGCACTGCCCTCTGTGTGAGTGGGCAGAGGCGGCTGAGGTCCCCCTGTTACCCTAAGGTGGGATGCAGCGGAAGCTATCAGTGGCTATTGCCTTTGTGGGTGGCTCCCGTGTCGTTATCCTGGACGAACCCACAGCCGGTGTAGACCCTGCTTCCCGTCGTGGCATTTGGGAGCTGCTTCTCAAATACCGAGAAGGTGAGAACATGGGGAAGACTGAGGTTCCCCTGGGATCTTGCTTCTGGGCATCCAGTAAAGATCTCTGGCAAGGCAGTGCCCGGGTGGGGTTTTGAGGGATGAGTAGGAGTTGCCCAGCTGAGATGCTCATTCCATAGTGGAAACCACAGTGTGGGGAAAGCCCTGGTGGCCTAAGATGGCTCACATGGGTTGGATCCCCATGCCCAGGTCGCACACTGATTCTCTCCACCCACCACTTGGATGAGGCTGAGCTACTGGGAGACCGTGTGGCCATGGTGGCAAGTGGTCGCCTGTGCTGCTGTGGCTCCCCACTGTTTCTGCGTCGCCACTTGGGCTCTGGCTACTACCTGACACTGGCAAAGAGTCTGCCATCCCTGGCCACCAGGGAGAAGGTGAGGACTGGGGAGCGCTGACCCCTACCGCTCCATCTGGCCTGGCTGCCATGCTAACTGCTGTCCCTGCCTACAGGGTGACAGTCCCTGGAAGGACAGGCTGGACACTGGACAGGAGCACAAGCCGGGCAGCCAGGACGGCACAGCAGGTGGGAGCTGGCCTGGGCCACCCCAAGGTGTGGTGGTGGGCGCTGTGGCCCCCAAGGGTCAGGCATGCTGTGTGTGCCTGTGATCCTAGCACTCAGGAGGCTGAGGCAGGAGGGTAGTCATGAGTTTGAGGCCAGCCTGGGTGACATAACAAGACCCTGTTTCAAACAAATATTCAGGGAGCCCCAGAATGGACTTCTAAGCCCCAGCATTGGGATACATCTGAACAACGACTGTAGAGTCTAACTTTGATCCTTACATTTATTCCATCTTGTAATCCCAGTACTCTGGGAGGCTGAGGCATGAGGATCTGCTCGTAACTAGTGACTTAGAGAGACCCTGTGTCAAAATAAAAACTCCAAGGGCCTGGGGCTGGGGCTCAGTGTGCAATCCTGTGCCCCATCCCTTCCACAACAAAAACAAAAACAAACCTGAGTGAACCTTAAAGCCAAGTTATCCCTGACCTCTGCCTGCAGGGCCCGGCACGGGAGCCTCGCAGGCCCTGCTGCCCCCAGATGCAGCACAACTCCTGAGCCTGGTGCGGTCCTGGGTGCCAGGGGCACGGCTGGTGGAGGAGCTGCCCCATGAGCTGGTGCTGGCGATGCCCTACGGGGGCGCCCAGGACGGCAGCTTTGCCAGGCTCTTCCAGGAGCTGGACAGACAGCTGGGGGCACTGCAGCTCGCCGGCTATGGAATCTCAGACACCAGCCTGGAGGAGGTGCAAGGGGGCTGTGGGAGAGGCCAGTGTGCGTCCACTGGGGTACACGAGGGCGGCCTGGGGGAGATGGGGCTTTGGAGCATGAACAAGAGTTGGCTTATGAACAGCAGGTGTATTATAGGTAGGGGTTGGGAAGAGGGCTGGGGACTGAAGGGGACAAGGAAGACCTTCCAGGGGTCCCCAGGCTCTCAGCTCCCTGTTTGTGTCCCCAGATTTTCCTGAAGGTGGTAGAAGACAGCAATAGCTCGGACCCAGAACCGATGGGAGTCACCAGGGTTTCCCGGCTCTTGAACCCTGACCCTGGTCCAGAGCCGGATGCGACCTCCGACCGAGTCTCCAGCCCTGGTTGAGTCCATCCCCAGTGCAAAACCCTGGTCCTGATTTCTTTGCCCGTGACCCTTGACCTTGACAATTGACTGACCCCTGACCCCTGCCTGTGACCCCTGTTGAACCCCTCAGATGGTGCCACCTGGCCACACATGCCCACGGGCACCCCGAGGGCCCCAGGACTGCCCGAGGAGAACGGAGAGCCGGGTGAGTGCCGCCCTTGCCCTCCGGGACCCCGGGACCTGCACGGCCTGACCTCTGACCCTCCCGTCCCCCACAGCCGGGCTGGCCTCAGAGACGCAGGCCCTGCAGGGCTCCGGGGTGGACATCGCAGGCCGGGTCCATGGCTGGGCGCTGAGCCAGCAGCAGCTCCGGGCCCTGCTGCTCAGGCGATTCCTGCTGGCCCGGCGCAGCCGCCGTGGCCTCTTCGCACAGGTGAGGGGGCCCAGCCAGCTCGGGCTGGGGTGCCAGGGCCGCGGGCACTGTCCGGGCGCGGTGTCCACCCCACTGTCCCCGCGGTGGCTTCTTGGGACAGTTAGGCCCCCGTGTCCTCACTGAGGACCCTGGGGAGCCGAGGGCAGGGAAGTGGGGGCCCTGACGCGCTGCCCCCCAGGTCGTGCTCCCTGCCCTCTTCGTGGGCCTGGCCCTGGTGTTCAGCCGCATCGCGCCTCCTTTTGGCCACTACCCCGCGCTGCGACTGCAGCCTGCCATGTACGGTGCCCACGTGTCCTTCTTCAGGTGGGCGCGGGGACAGCAGGTGAGTGGGGGGAGGGCGGGGCTAGCGTGAAGCCCTGACCCCCACGCTGCCCCCCAACAGTGACGACGCCCCGGGGGACCCGGACCGGGCCCGCCTGCTCGGGGCGCTGCTGGAGGAAGCCGGCCTGGAGCAGCCGCAAATGCACAACGGCTCCGCCCGGTGCGTCCACCCTCCCTGCCTCGGTTTCCCTCCTGGCTCCCCTGCTTGCCTGGGGTGTCCAGGGCGCCCAGCAACCCCGCCTCCATTCCCACAGGGCCCCCGAGTGCCGATTCTCGGTCCCTGAGGTGCCCACCCACGTGGCCGAGATGTTGGCCACAGGCAACTGGACACGAGGGTCCCCGTCCCCGGCCTGCCGGTGCAGCCAGCCCGGTGCCCGCCGCCTGCTGCCTGACTGCCCCGCTGCGGCGGGGGGACCCCCGCCGCCCCAGGCCCTGAGCAGCTCCGGGGAGGTGGTGCAGAACCTGACTGGCAGGAACCTGTCCGACTTCCTGGTCAAGACCTACCCACGGCTGGTGCGCCAGGGGTGAGCAGGACCCCGGTCAAACCCAAGGCCTTCACACATCCCCGGCCCTTTTCATTTTTAATTTAGACAGGGTCTCGCTGTGTCACTAAATTGCCTAGGCCTGACTCAAACTTGAGATCTTCCTGCCTCAGCCTCCTAGAGTGCTGGGATGACGGGTGTGTGCGTGCTGCCATGCCTGGCCTGGGACAGCAGCCTGGGTGCCAGCTGGGACCCTCCCCTCTGGGTTCCCATTGCGCTCTGAACTCTCAGGCCTGTCTCTTGCCCATCCCTGCCTCTCTGTGCATCTGTCCATCTGTCCATCTGTCCCTCCCACAGCCTGAAGACCAAGAAGTGGGTGAATGAGATCAGGTGAGTGGAGACCTGGCCTGGGTGCTTTCCCAGCATTCTCTCTGCTTTTCCCTGGCTCCCTGGTCCTCACCTGTCACCCTGACCCTGCCTCGATGCCCAGGTATGGGGGCTTCTCACTAGGGGGCCCAGACCCGGGCCTGCCCTCGGGCCGAGAGCTAGGCCGTTCTCTGGACGAGCTGCGGGCGCTGCTGAGCCCTGAGCCTGGCGGGGCCCTGGACCGCATCCTGAACAACCTCACTGCATGGGCGCTTGGCTTGGATGCCCGGAACAGCCTCAAGGTGGGAACTGGGATACAGGTCAGTGTCCCCCCAGCCACCACCTTTATCCTGAAAGCCTGACCCTGTGACCATGACTGCTTTCAGATCTGGTTCAACAACAAAGGCTGGCACGCCATGGTGGCCTTTGTCAACCGAGCCAACAATGCACTCCTACGCACCCAACTGCCCGTGGGCCCTGCCCGCCATGCCCACAGCATCATCACATTCAACCACCCCCTGAATCTGACCAAGGAGCAGCTGTCAGAGGCTGCGCTGTGAGTCTCAGCTCCATGTGCCATCCTCCGCCTCAGTGTCCCTGCTGTTTGGGTGGTGGGGCTGGATTTGAGTTCTGCCACATGCTGGCCACGTGAACAGGCACCCTTGTTCCCAGCATGGCCTCCTCGGTGGATGTCCTGGTCTCCATCTGCGTGGTCTTCGCCATGTCCTTCGTCCCAGCGAGCTTCATCCTGGTCCTCATCGAGGAGCGTGTCTCTCGTGCCAAGCACCTGCAGCTCATCGGGGGGCTGTCGCCCACTCTCTACTGGCTGGGCAACTTCCTCTGGGACATGGTGCGGGTGGGGGCTGCTGGGAAGGGCATGGATTAGTCTGCAGGGCAGAGAGAGACCTCATACACCCCCTCCCCAAAATGCCAGGGTGGTCCAAGCTGGGTGTGTTGGTTGGTGCATGCCTCTTGGCCCAGCTCCCTGGGAGACTGAGGCAGGAGGATCTTTTAAATTCGATCCCGTCCTGGGCAACTTAGTAACTTAATGAGACTCTGTCTCAAAATAAAAAATAAAAAGGGCTGGAGAGGCAGTGTAGTGTGAAGGTGCTAGGTTTGATCCTCATTACTGCAAGAAAATAAAAGTAGCAGAGGAGTTCGGGGCCCGGGCGGGGTGGGGGGCCACTGACCTCGTACCAGCGGGTCCCTCCTGTCTCCGCTGCAGTGTAACTATTTGGTGGCAGCGTGCATTGTGGTCCTCATCTTCCTGGCCTTCCAGCAGAAGGCCTACGTGGCCCCCGAGAACCTGCCTGCACTCCTGCTGTTGCTGCTGCTGTACGGGTGAGGGCCCCACCTGCCGCCGGGAGGGAGACGGGACTTCACTGCAGCTCCTGAGAGCGGAGGGGATCCCGGGTGCACTACCTCAGGGCTACGCTAATGTGGCCTTAAAAGCTCACCATCAGCCGAGCACACAGATGCCTGTATTCTCACCGCTCTGGGAGGCTGAGACAGGAAGATCTCACGTGTGAGCCCAGCCTGAGGATAGTCACTCTGGCCTTGTCATCCCCACAGCTGGTCGATCACACCACTCATGTACCCGGCCTCCTTCTTCTTCTCTGTGCCCAGCACGGCCTACGTGGTGCTCACTTGCATTAACCTGTTTATTGGCATTAATGGCAGCATGGCCACCTTTGTCCTGGAGCTCTTGTCTGACCAGGTGGGGCTCTATGAGGTGGCTGGGCTTGGGATGGGTTTGGGGCCTCAGCTCTGAATGACACTTTTCTTCTGGCTTCCTGAGCAGAACCTCCAGGCTGTCAGCCGAATCTTAAGACGGGTCTTCCTGATCTTTCCCCATTTCTGCCTGGGCCGAGGGCTCATTGACATGGTGCGGAACCAAGCCATGGCTGATGCCTTCGAGCGCTTCGGTAAGGACTTCCTGTCCTGTGGGGTGAAGGTCAAGGGGGTAGGGGAACAAATGGCCCCAGGGAGAGAACCAAACACTTTAGACACCCCAAAGACTGGGCTAATTTAGAGGTACAAACTGCAATATGCAGTTGTAAAAGCTATTTTTTTTTTGTCTTTTTCGTTTTTATCGGTACCAGGGATCAAATTCACGACTGCCTGCTTGCAAGGCAGGTGCTTATGCCACTGAGCTAAATCCCCAGCCCCTTGTTTTGTAGTTTTGAGACAAGCCTTCACTATGTCATTCAAGATGGCCTGGAACTTGCTTTATGAGGCCTACCTGGCCTCAAACTTACGGTGATCTTCCTGCCTCAGCCTCCCAAGTGCTAACATAACAGGCATGCACACCATCCCAGGCCATACATCTTATTTTCTCTGCAAATTAGATCCCATCTGAGCATCGTAGCAGAACTGGGTCCTTTCTCCCAAGAATCCAGGGTGAGCTGGATAGGGTGCCGGTCCTCCAGGGACCTTTCTTCCTGTCCCCACAGGAGACAGCCAATTCCAGTCGCCCCTGCGCTGGGAGGTGGTTGGCAAGAACCTCTTGGCCATGACAGTACAGGGCCCCCTCTTCCTCCTCTTCACCCTTTTGCTGCAGCACCGAATCTACCTCCTGCCACGGTCAGTGGGGCCCAGGGGAGGGTGGCAGGGCCCAGGGACCTAAATGGTTACAGCTCACTCAGCTCACTCATCCTTAGCCCAAAGCTAGGGCTGCTGCCACCCCTGGGGGAGGAGGACGAGGACGTGGCCCGGGAACGGGAACGGGTGACCAAAGGAGCCACCCAGGGAGACCTGTTGGTGCTCAGGGACCTGACGAAGGTAGCCACAGCTGGGCAGAGAGCTGGGCTGGGGGCCCCTCTGGCCCCCTTCCTTTCTCAGTGCGTGACCTGTGTCCCTTCCAGGTGTACCGGGGGCAAAGGACACCAGCTGTGGACCGCCTGTGCCTGGGGGTCCCCCCCGGAGAGGTGAGGGGACTGGGGGCTGTGGCTTTGGAAGTCTGTGCTGAGCACACTTTACTAAACACTGTGAGAAGTACTGTGTATCCAGCACCCTCCTGAGTGCCTGTGTTTGAGGCCACATTATCAAACCCTCATGAAGCGTGTATGGCAGGCTTGACAGAGGGGTGCACACCTGTAATCCCGGCACTCTCGGAGGCTGAGGTAGGAGGACCCCAAGTTCAAGCCCAGCCTGGGCAACAGAGCAAGACCCCGACTCAAAATAAAAACACAAAAGGTTGGGGGTGCAGCCTAGTGTTCCATCCCCAGGACATGTAGAAAAAAAAGCACCTAATGCATGCTCACATGTGTTGTGATTTTTTGTTTTGGTCGTGGTTTTTTGAGACAGGGTCTCACTATGCAGTTCAGGCTGACCTTGAGCTCACTTTGTAGCCCATACTGGACTCAAACTCGCTATGATCCTCCTGCCTCAGCCTCCCGAGTGCTACAGCCAGGTCCAGCTCGGTTCCCAGTCTCCAGCCAGTCATCCACGACGGGCTCCACCCGGCCCCAGCCCCCATAAGGAACCCCAGCCAGGTGGAAACAGGGCCTCACTGATGCCTTCTGTGTGTGTCCCAGTGTTTCGGACTTCTGGGGGTGAATGGAGCAGGAAAAACATCCACTTTTCGAATGGTGTCGGGGGACACACTGCCTAGTGGAGGCGAGGCCGTGCTGGCAGGCCACAGGTGAGGGGACTCTGGGGAGGTGACTGAGCCAGAGCCCCATACCCGCTGTGCGTGGACCAGGCCCCGAGGCACTGGGCCGAGGATGCGTGGAGGCCACGAGCTTGGTGTGCGGCTCCAGTATGGCCACTTCCCCAAGCCTCCTGTCCCCTGCTTCCCAGTGTGGCCCAGGAACCGGCCGCCGCACACCGCCGGATGGGCTACTGCCCCCAGTCCGATGCCATCTTCGAGCTGCTTACTGGGCGTGAGCACCTGGAACTGTTCGCTCGCCTGCGTGGAGTTCCCGAAGCACAGGTAGCTCAGGTGAGCTGCCCCGCCCCCGCCCCCCATGGAACACGCCCCAAGCTGTGAGCCACGCCCCAGGCCCTGTTTCTCCCCCCGGCCCCCTCTCCCCGTCCCCATCCCCTGCACTAGGTCTGATTCGGGCCCTCCTGGCCACACCCACCTGCTGTGGCCCTATCAGGGCTCCAGCTCTTGGCCCCGCCCCAGATCCCTCTTGCTGGCCCCAGCCCCTCCTCCGGCCACGCCTTGCGCCTTCATCCCCGCTACCCCATGCGCCTCCGGCTGTGGGTTCAATTTAATGCTTCGCATCTTTCACTTAAGGACCCCTTCTGGCTCCCTCTTGCCGCTCAGCTTGCCTCCTCACTGGCCACACTTTACTTTCTGACCCTGCTCTGTGTGCGCTGTGGTCCTTAAGGTGACTCCATTCCCTGCTCATCCTAGCTCTACCCGTCCTTCTGCCCAGCACCCGCTGTGGCCCAGCTCCATCTCCAGGAACTTCGCCACATCCGCTCTGCCTCCAAACCCTGCTCATTCTGCTCTAGCCCTGGGTCAGCCTGGCCCCACTCTCTAGCCAGTCCAACGCTCATCATGGCCCCGCCCACTTCCACTATGGCCCCGCCCCTTTCTCTTTCTGGCCCGTACTGTGCGAGGCATGACCCGCCCCACTTCCAGTGTGACTTCTCCCTTTTCTCTGGCTCGCCGGGCTTTCACTGTGGCCCCGCCCCTCACCACCTGACCCCGCCTATTGCGCATTCTGCCCCGCCCCCAAACCACTTTGTCCTTTCCCACTTCCTCTCTGTGCCCGCCCCTTGCACGCCATAGCCCGTCCCACTTCCAGTGTGGTCCCGCCCCTCACTCACTGGCCCCGCCCACCTCATTCTGCCCATTCTCACCCTGGCCCCGCCTCTTGCTCTAACCACACCCCTGTCCACGTTGGCCGCCCCCCGCAGACCGCCAGCTCAGGCCTGGCGAGGCTGGGGCTCCTGCGCTATGCAGACAGACCCGCAGGCACCTACAGCGGGGGCAACAAGCGGAAGCTGGCGACCGCAGTGGCTTTGGTGGGGGACCCGGCAGTGGTGTTTCTGGTGCGTGAGTGGGGCGGGGCCCTGACGGGGCGGGGTCTGGGAGGGGTGAGGAGGGAGGCGGGACTCCATTCAGTGCCTCCCGCTCTCTGTCCCAGGACGAGCCCACCACGGGCATGGACCCCAGCTCGCGGCGCTTCCTCTGGAACAGCCTCCTGGCTGTGGTGCGGGAGGGCCGCGCCGTGGTGCTCACCTCGCACAGGTGGGCCCTGCGCTTCCACCGCACACCCGGGGCGGAGTCGGGGAGGTCCAGGCTGGGCCCAGGTCTAGGTGCATGGGGAGGTTCTGACCCCTCTGGGTTGGGGTGGGGTGAAGGTCCCGCGCCGAGGAGCCAGAGCATCTGGGTCCGGCGGGAATCCCAGAGTAGCGGGTGCCCGCGGCCGCCGGCTCATGGTATGGGGCTTCCGTAGCATGGAGGAGTGCGAGGCGCTCTGCACGCGCCTGGCCATCATGGTGAACGGGCGGTTCCGCTGCCTGGGCAGCGCGCAGCACCTCAAGAGCAGGTGAGCACCCCTGGTGAGAGGTGTCCAGGCAGGTGCGGGGGTTGTGGGCGGGGCAGAGAGCCCAGGTCTGGTACCGGAGGCCACTGACAGGGGATTGGGTCAGAGATTGACAGGCAGCAGCAGGACAGAGGCGTGATCTGATTGGTGCGGGGGAGGCTGTGGGTGAGCCTATGGGTGGGGTTACAGGGAGGTTGGCGAGTGAGCGGGGCCTGCAGGTGGTGACCTCCTAGGAAAGCGGTGGTGGAGCAAGTTTAGGCCGTCCGGTGGAGCCACATGTGTAGGGAAGGGGGTCAGAGAGGCTCGTGGCTAGGTCTTAGCTTGGGGTCATTTGTAGAGATGGGAGGGTCAGAGACTAGTAGGGGGTGAGGGTTGTGAACAGCCTCAGAGAACGGGTCTCTAGGTTGGTGGTTGTGGTTTGAAGAGGTCAGGAGCCCCCCGCCTCCGAGGAAGTAGGCGTGATCGAGTGGGCGGGGCTTTTGAGTGGGTGTGGATGGATGGAGGTCCAATTCAGATACAGGGTAAGGCGGTGTCAGGTGGGCGTGGCCAAAGAACCCTGGGATGGTGTGGGCGGGACCCGGGTCGCGGTGGGTAGTGAGCAAGCTTGATCCCCGCCCCCCCCCCCCCCGCACTGTCCACTCCAGGTTCGGGGCTGGCCACACGCTGACCCTGAGGGTGCCTGCGGACCGACCAGAGCAGGCGGCGGCTTTTGTGACGGCCGAGTTCCCTGGGGCCGAGCTGCGGGAAGCGCATGGGAGCCGCCTTCGCTTCCAGCTGCCGCCCGGCGGGCGCTGCGCCCTGGCGCGAGTGTTTGGGGAGCTGGCGGCGCACGGCCCCTCGCACGGCGTGGAAGATTTCTCCGTGAGCCAGACCACGCTGGAGGAGGTGACCGAGATGCCAGCCGGGGCTGGAGGACATCTGGGGCCAGCGCCCTGGGCTCATTATCCATCCTTCCGTCCCTTCTGTCTGGGCCAGGTTTTCCTGTACTTCTCCAAAGACCAGGGGAAAGATGAGGCCGAGGAGGAGAAGGAGGAGCCAGAGGTGGGGTTGGACACCACACCAGGCCTGCAGTACCCCAAACGCACCTCAAGCTGTTTTCTCGATGAACCCAGCACTATGGAGACTGTGCTCTGAACCTCCTTGTCCTGGGGGCAAGTGGGAGCCCCTTGACGCCAGAACAAACAATGGCCAGGTGGCCTGGCGCGATGGCACATGCCGGTCTTCTCAGTACTCAGGAAGCTGAGGCAGGAGGATCGCTGGGAGAGGGAGCCCAAAGTGGGCTACGTAGTGAGTTCAAGGGCAGCACGGGCTGTGTACATTGCAAGACCCTGTCTCACAACAAACAACCCAAAAGGGACATGAACCTAACTCCCGGTGTCCCTGAGATGCCAGAAGAATAAAGAGAAGGCTGCAAAGATGTGGTGTGGACACTGTGTGTCTTTGGCAGGCATGTGGGGCCCCCTGGGGTCTAGTGTCCTGTGCCGAGGTCCCTGTGTACCCACATGGGCCTGGCACCTAAGGGTGGCAGCTGGGAGTGCTCCGGGACCGTGAAGTGGGCATGAGGTCAGCGCTGTGGAATGTCCCAGGCACCTTAACGGAGTCCGGAGCACCTGCCTGCCCACCAGCCAGGAGCCCTCCGCCCGCTGCTGGCCTTTCCAGTCCGCGTCCCTCAGCAATGAGCACACAGCAGATGGCCTTCAAGGGGCTACTGGGCTGGGTGTGTGGTTGGAGCAAAGCCTGGAGAGCTGGGCTTGGGACAGGGGGCTGTGGGCTTCCTGGCCTGTGCCCCAGAGAGGCCCCCCTTCCTCCAAAGGTCAGTGTGCATAGTTGGGGGTGGTTGGGAGGGTGAAGTGTTTTTCTCTCTGTTGGTTTTTGTTCCTTTTTGGTGGGGAGTTTGAGAGAGGGTCTCACTATGCAGTTCAGGCTAGACTTGAGCTCACACCATAGCCCAGGCTGGTCTGGACTTTGCACAGATCCTACTGCCTCAGCCTCCCGAGTGCTGGGGTGACAGGCATGTGCCACTACGACTGGCTGTCAGCTCTTTTTTATTTTATTTCATTTTTTTTTAATTTTTGAAACTGGGAATCAAACCCAGGACGTTGCACTTGCCAGGTAGGCACTGTGCTGCTGGGCTGTATCCCCAGTCTATGTTTTTATTTATCCAGGTAGGGGATCAAACTCTCAACCTTGCACTTGCCAGGCAGACACTTATGCCACTGAGCTAAACCCCTAGCTGTTTTTAGAGACAAAATCTTGCTAAGTTGCTAAATTGCTCAGACTGGGCTTCAATTTGCAATCCTCTTGCCTCAGCCTCCCAGACAGACTGCTGGGATGAGGGGTGCACACCAAGCCCAGATCTGGGTTTTCAAATCACAGGATGGAGTGGAGGGGTGGGTGGCTCAGTGGTAGGACTGCAAAAGACAAAAAACAAACAAAAACCTTAGCTCAGGGCCCTAAGTGCCTGCTTGGCAAACTCGAGGTCATGAGTTCAATCCCCGGTACCCCCCCCCCAAAAAAAAACCACCCGATAATAAAAAAAACAGCTAATGACAGATAATCACATGATGACTCATAGGACAGGCTGAAACTGGGGTAGGAAAGAAGTCGCTGCCAAGAGGACACTTTTGGGGAGGGGTCAGCACAGCCGGCAGCTGCCGGGCTCTGACCCCGCGGGTCCCACGGTGTGCGCAGCCTTCTCTGTGCTCTCCTGCGGGCCCAGTGCCCGCCCGGAGGCACCGCCGCGCCCCTGGGAAGCACACGGGAGAAGGCGGTGGGCAGTGCGGCCAGCCGGGGTGGGTGCTGGACAGCGAGCAGGCGGTGTGTGGGGGTAGACGCCGCTCACGCCCTCCCTGCGGTGGCCCTCGGGTCGGCGCGGAGCTGCCCGGAGGCAGGCACATGGCCGGGGCTGCAGGGCGGAGCTTGACCACTGTGAGACCGGAGCAGTTCAGCACGCCGCGTCCACAAGTGTGTGCCAATGCGCGTCCCCGTGGTCCCTATCTGAACGCGGGTCTTTGATCTGATCCGAGCTCAGCTCTTCCTCTTCTCCTCCTTCTTCGGTCTCGCCGTGCAGTTCAGGCCCGACTTCCAGTCACCACCTAGCTCCAGCCTGAACTTGCAGCGATGCTCCTGCCTCAGCCTCCCAAGCGCGGGGGCGAAGGCGGGGTTGTGCGCTCCCAGCTGCTCCGGGGTGGTGGCGTCCCCCCCCCACCCGAGGGCGCGCGTGCCGGCCACGACGCGCCTCCCGCCTGCTCCCCCACCGCGCGGGCGCGCAGCTGGGGAAAGCGGAAGCCGGGGCGGGGCGAGGGGCGGGGGCGGGTCTTTGGAGACCTACGTTCGCGCCCACACTGCGGAGCGACAAATTGAGGCCGGGAGGGCGGAGTTGGGCCTGGGCGCCGCCTCCGGAGCCCTGTCCTGCTCCGGGTCGGGGACAGGCGGGGCGGGTCACGTGGGCGTGACAGCTGGGAGGGGCGGCCCGCGGCAATGTGGTCGGGAGGCGGCGGCCCGCGCCCCGAGCCCCGGCGCTGAGGACCCCGGCACCCCCCCGCCGGAGCCCGGCGCCCACCCCTGCCCAGCCCAGCGCAGCCCCCGGCCGCCGGGCCGGCCGCACCATGTTTTCCAAGAAGAAACGGGAGCTCATAAAAACCCCGTCCATCTCCAAAAAGAACCGCGCGGGAAGCCCCAGCCCGCAGCCGTCGGGGGTGAGTGGGGCGCAGAGCGCAGGGCGCAGGGCGTAGAGCGCAGGGCGCGGGGCGCGGAGCTGGCGACGCGGACCGCGAGGGGGACTGCACCCTGCCACCATGCTGGGTCGGCGACCGGGGTCCCGCACCAGCTACAGCCCGCAACGGGCGGGCCAGCGGGGACCGCCGAGGGGAGCGGGGCCCTCGGGAGTCCAGCTGAAGGTATGGGGGACCGAGCTGGTGCCTAAGCTGACCACCTTAGAAACCTGGAGAGCGGGGAGGGGAGGAAGGGGAGCTCGGGGTGGGTCTGTGGGGGACTGCGCGGTGGTCGGCGAGGGCTTGGCCCTTTTGGGGTTCCAGGAGCCGTTGGGGAGTTCTAGCCAGTGTGGGGGCTGACCCTGGGCTAAAGGCTCTCAGGGGATCGGTTAATGGATGCAGTGGGCCCAGGGTGTTTCTGGGCCTGGGTGTGTCTGCCAGGCTTAGGGGCGTCCACGAAGTTTGGGGAGCCTTTTCGGTTTGGGACGCAGGTAAAGAGGCGGGTGGGGGGGGCACCCACAGAACTCTGGGCCCCCCCGGACGGACGCCGAGGGTACAGGGATCCTGAGTGTCGCCTTTCCCGGGGAAGCGAGCTGGTTTGCAGGACACTGTGCCAGGGCCTGGACCCCCCCCCCCGCCCCTTCCCCTCCCCCACGCCCGCGCAGGCCCCGCCCCGCCTGCGGTTTGGGCAGGGACCGTTGTTTGTGAAAGAAGAGGATGTTGGGTAACAGGTAGGGGGGTGCGGCCCCAAATCTCGGCCCCCCCAGGGCTTTGATCCTGTGGGGTGGGGCCGAAGATCCTCTGGGACCCCGCGGTCTTTCTGAGGAAACTAAGGCAGCGTGTCACCCCTTTCACTGACCCCTCCGCCCCCCCTCCCCCAGGAGCTGTCCAGGAAAGATGGGGCTGATTCCGTGTTCCCTGGACTTAGCCTGGACGTCCCAGCGTCGTCCTCGGGTGTCAAGACCTCGGCCACCTTGAAGCGGCCCACCAGCCTCAGCCGCCATGCCAGCGCTGCAGGCTTCCCGCTCTCGGGCTCGGGCTCCTGGACCCTAGGCCGGGGCTACCGAAGCCCCTTGATGGCTGCCAGCCCTGCAGAACCCTCTGCTGAGGGTCTAGGCCCTGAGACCACTGAGGATATCTCCAGCCTGCTGGCTGATGTGTCCCGCTTAGCAGATGGTCTGGTAAAACTCAAGGAGTGTGTGTCAAACGATGGTGAGCTGCCTGGGTGGGTGGAAGGCAGGGCCAGATGCACAAAGTACTAAGAACAGGATTTGGGTTGCAGAGAGAACTCTCTGGACCAGGGCATTCTAGCTAAGGTTTGGAAGGATGTATAGGAGTTGGGTGGTGAGGGGAGAAGCCTGGATCTCATACATGGCCAGTAGGGAACCATAAGAGGTGTTAGAGAAAAGGACTGCGGGGTCCTTCTGCATTCAGAGACACGTGAACTGGAGGCGGCCTGAGGTCTGCGGCGAGAACACCAGGAGCGCATGTACCAGGCAGGAGGTGCTGGGAGCAAGTGGCCTGAGATAGATAGTTCCGTTTTCTCCTCCACGCGGCTGCGACGGCCCGGCTTCCTGCCGGGTTATTTTCATCTGCTTCCTGTTTGTCCCTGGCAGCCCGGGCGGGCACCTCAAGCTGAGGCAGGCACAGCGTCTCATGTGGCATCTTTGGGCCCCCACCAGCTGATTCCGGAAACCACAGTGCCAAGTGCTCTGATGGCTGCCCTCAGCCACCTGTTCCACAGATGGGGAAACTGAGGCCCAGCAGCCCCACCCTGCCTGCAGGGTGCTGGGGGTGGTTCTGCAGCTCTGGTGGGAGGGCAGGAGACCCCTGGTTATCTGGTCCCAGGGCGGAGGCCCGTTTCCTGGGGAAACCCTAATCTCCATTCCTTTCCGATCCTGGGTTTCCTTGGGGGCCTGGCCTAGGCCAGGGGTGTCCTGTGGGCGGGCAGTCTGGATGGGTCTGGGGGTCTCTGTCTCAGGAAGGGCCATGGGATGTGGGTTAGGTAGAGTCCCAGGCTGCCCAGTGCCACTGCCCTGCCTGGCATGAGATGGCCTGGGACTCAGGGGTGGCCCATGGCTGACATCCCAGCACTCTGGGAGGCTGAGGCAGGAAGACTGCAAGTTCCAGCCCTGCCTGAGGGGCTGAGCCTGAGGATCTGAGGTCTCAGGGCCAGAGACTTAGCTCAGCAGCACAAGCGCCTGCCTGGCAAGCTCGAGGTCATGAGTTTGATCCCCGGCACCAAAAAAACAAAAAACAAGACTGTGTCTCAAAATAAAGGGGTAGTGTGTACCCCTCAATGGAAGAACACCTCTGGGTTCAATCCGCAGGACCACACAAGCAAAAAGAGAAAAGAAAGAGTCAGGTGTGGTGGTGCACAACTGTAGTCTCAGCACTCGGGAGGCTGAGGCAGGAGGATTGTTGTGAGCTCGAGACCAGCCTGGGCTACATAGTGAGCTCAAGGCCAGCCTGGACTGCTTGGCAAGACCCTGTGTCAAAAAAGACAGAAAAAGAAAAGAAAAAAGAAATAGGGCAGTGACCACAGGCTCTGCAGCATTGGTGTGCAGGTCACCAGGTGGCCAAAGGACACTGAGGTTGTTTCCAGTCTTGCCCAGCAGGTGGGCACAGCAGGTGGGCACAGCAGGCGGGTGTGGTCTGCAAGGCCCTGTCCCTTAGCCAAGCCTTCCAACGCTTTGGGCTTCAATTCTGGGCCTCAGTTTCCCCATGCATCTTCCATTCCCCCTGACTCAGAATAGCACTGCTTCAGCCAGGATTCTTTCCTGTCGAGAGCTGCAGGAGCCCAAGCCATGGGGATGCCGGGGTGGGCTGTGGCTCACAGTTTGTCCTCAGTGGACACCAATCCCTGCCATGTGTGTCAGTGGCACCGTGTACCCCGTACTGGACAGCAGCCCAGGTACTGCTGGGCACGGCCCCCAGGTGAGGGGACCTGCAGTTCGGGTCCCCAGCATGACTTGGCCCAATGCAGTGTAGTTTCCCCCCGAGCCCCGGCCAGTTCTGGGTTCTGAGCCTCCCAGACTCTTGCAGTGGCTGGGCCACCTGTCCTGGTGGTGTTCAGCAGGGGTCCAACCCACTCCTGGGTCTCCCTGTCTTTGGTCATCCTGGCCTCTCCCATAAACTCCTGTGATGTGGCTTCCACTAGACACTCCGTTTCTATTTTGTGGTTGTTTTGAGACAGCGTCTGGCTATGTATCCCAGATTGACCTTGAACTGGCCGAGATCTTCCTGCCTCAGCCTCCCGAGTTCTGGCATGACAGGCGTGCGCTGCCACCATGCCCGCCTAGGCGGATACTCCATTTCTTTCTTCCTTTCTTTCTTTCTTTCTTTCTTTCTTTCTTTCTTTCTTTCTTTCTTTCTTTTTGTACTGGGAATTGAACTCAGGACCTTGCACTTATCTGGCAGGTGCTTATGCCACTGAACTATATTCCCAGATAGATACCCCATTTCTTTTTTATCGGTACCGGGGATCGAACTCACGACTGTCTGCTTGCAAGGCAGGTGCTTATGCCGCTGAGCTAAATCCCCAGCCCCGATACTCCATTTCTTTAAAAAATTTCTTCCAGGGGCTGAGAGCATAGCTCAGCAGCATAGCGCCTGCCTGGCAAGCATGAGACCCTGGATTCGAGTCCCAGTTCTGGGGAAAAAAATCTTCCAATTTAGAGAATTTAGGGCATTTAAAATTCTGTTCGACCAGGAAGATGCGGCCACAGCCCTGCTTGGCTACCTGGAGCCGGAGTAGGGAGGCCCCGCACCCTGGCCAGCGGAGATAGGAGGCTGTGTGCTGTTAAAGGATCTCTCCTGTAACCCTCAGCAAAGGGGGGCTCGGATAATCCGGGCTTCTCAGTGAGTGTGCTGCCAGGAGGGCCTGGGCGGGGCTGCCAGGGCCCTAGGCTGCCCCCAGGAGGCAGCCCATGGGGATTTGCTCCCTGAGGGGCTGGGAAGTGCTCTGAGAGAAACCACTGTCCAGGCTGAGCTTTTGTGGATCTCACCAGGAGCCCAGAGGGAGACAGTGACCTCCCCTGGCTTCCCTGCCCTTCCTACCTCTTCCTCAGTTTCCCTACTGGGGAGCAGCAGCTTAGAGCAGCCAGGGAGATATTACCTGGGACAGGAAGCTTGTTTCCCTGCTCACACCCACTCGGCCCCACAGAGCTCCTGGAGGCCCGGAGGCCGAAGGCCCATGAGCGCCTGGGGGAGGCCCTGCGTGTGCTACATCAGGTCATCTGCAAGTACCCAATGCTGAACACCTTGGAGACACTGACTGCCGCGGGCAAGCTCATCGCCAAGGTTAAAGGTCAGCAGAGGCAGCTAGGCTTGGAAGGGTTTCCTGGAAGAGGGGGTATCTAAACTGGGTTTTGAAGGATGAATAGGAGTTCAGTAGGCCAACCGCGTGTCTATGTCTCTGACTTCCAGCCTTCCATTTTGAATGTAACCTTGACTCAGACAAAAGGGAATTTGAGAAAGCCCTGGAGACCATGGCAGTGTCCTTCAGCAGTAGGTGAGTGGGTTGTCTGTGAAACCAGGGATGGAGGCTGAGGTGCCAGGGCTCCCCAGACACTAAGCCCCCATCCCGGCCCCGCAGTGTGTCGGAGTTCTTTATGGGTGAGGTGGATAGCAGCACACTCCTGGCCGTGCCTCTTGGGGACCCCAGCCAGGTGAGCAGAGGTATACGGGGTGAGGGCCGGGGACACAAGGTGCAGCGGGGCAGGGAAGTCAGAGTGTCCCCGTTCGAGCAGGCCATGGAGAACCTTTACTCAGGCAGCGAGGGCTCCCCAGCCGGCGCCGAGGACTGCGAGGAAGGTGAGTGGCCGTGTCCCTGGGTCACAGAGCATGGGGTGGGGGGCGGCGTCTCCCCCCAATCCCGCTGGCCCGGGAGCTGAGCACGCACCCTGCAGGCTGCCTGCCCCCGGAGGAGGTGGACCTACTTCTGCAGCGCTGTGAGGGCGGCGTGGACGTGGCCCTGCAGTATGCCAAGAACATGGCCAAGTACATGAAAGACCTCATTGGCTACCTGGAGAAGCGGATGGCGCTGGGTGAGCGCATGCGCAGGAGGTCTGGTGGGAAGGGCGGGGAGGGATCCGCCCTCTCCTGCCTGACCACGCCCCCTGTCCGCCCCCTCCCCCAGAGATGGAGTTCGCTAAGGGTCTGCTGAAAATCATCCACGGCTGCCGACAGAGCGTGATTCAAGAGGTGGGCTCCACGTGGGCACGGGATAGCCCGGGGGCTGCCACCCCGGCTCTCCGGGAGGCTGAGGCAGGGGGAGCAAAAGTTTCAGAAGGCAACCTAGTGACTGAGAAAGATTCTGTTTCAAATAAATGGAAAAAAACTGAAAATATAGCTCAATGGTAGAAGGCTCCTGGGCTCTAGCAAAGAAAAGAAGCTGGGCGTGATGGTGCATACCTGGACTCTCCCAGCATCAGGAGGCTGAGGCAGGAGGACCTAGGATTTCGAGGCCAGCCTGGGCTACAAAATGAGTTCAAAGTCAGTCTGGACTTTATATAGACCGTTTAAAAAAAAAGTCACAATTCATTCTGTGTGTGATGGTACACCTTATCATTCCAGCACTCTGGGAAGCTGAGGCAGGAGGATTCCAAGTTTGAGACCAGCCTGGGGAACTTAGTGACTTAGCAAGACCTCGTCCTGAAATAAAAAAGGCTGAGGATGTAGCTCAGTGCAAAGGCCCTGGGTTCAATTCCCGGTACCGTTTCTTAAAATGCTGCAGTATTTTCTGCCAGTACAGCACAAATCCAGGGAGGGAGGTGGCCGCCGGGAACGCTGGGGCCACCGCGGCCCCAGCCTCCCTGACCTAGCACCTGCCCCGCAGCCCCACATGCCCCTGATGTCCATCTACTCGCTGGCCCTGGAACAGGACATGGAGTTCAGCCACAGTATTGTGCAGGCAGCGACCACGCTGCAGGCGCAGACCTTCATACAGGTGGGCTGCGGGGCGCGGAGGGCGGCCGGGGGTGCCTCCCCAGGTCCCCACTCATGTCCCCTCTCGCCCAGCCCCTCACCCACCGGCGGCTGGAGCATGAGAGGCGCAGGAAGGAAATCAAGGAGTCCTGGCAACGTGCACAGCGGAAGCTGGTAGGAGCCGGGGTGGGGCAAGGGGACACGGAAGAGGGGTGTGGGGTGCGCGCGCGCGCGTGTGTATGTGTGTGTGTGTGGTGTGTGTATAAAAAAACACACAGGATGGCTGCGCATGCGCAGTGTCTTGCACAGGTGTGGGACACCTGGACTGCGCATGCGCCCTCGTTGGTTCCTGCAAAGATCTCAGATCTATCTGCCCTAGTTCAAAGATTCACTGTCCAGAGGCCCCCAGAGCACGAGGGTTCCCAGGTTGGAGAGAACCTGGGGGTCACTAGCTTAAGTAGGGGGCTCCGGGAAAGTAGTCTCTTCTTGATTCTCTCTGTGATGCTTCAAAGGCCCTGCAGAAGATGGGCGTGGTGGCCACAGCCTCTATGTGACCCCAGTGCTCCTGTGGCTGAGACAGGAGGGTCACAGGGAGTTCCAGGCTAGAATGGGCTGCAGAGTGAGTTGAATAGCAGCGGGAACCTCACAGTAAGGCTCAGTCTCTCAAAAAATAAAAATAAAACCAAAAACACTTTGCACTAAGTGGCCCAGTCTGTACTCGAACTTGTGTCCCTCCTGCATCAGCCTCCCTGGAGGGTGCTGGGAGGCCAGGGTGTGTGCCACCGGGGGCAGCCTTCTTTCTTTTTTTTTTTTTTTAACAGCCTTTTGGGTGACTCATCCGAAAAGGCCTTCCCCTCATCAGGGTTGTTTATCACCGTTATGGTCCTAATTGTATTAGTTCTTTTTGGGGTGGGGTGTTGAACCCAGAGCAAGTACAAGCTGCACCTGAGCACAATCTATTCTTTTCTGAACCTCATCGTTTCTGCAGTCCCCATCCGCCCCCCAGTTTCTGGCCAAGCGCTTCCTGAGGAGCCCCAGGGCTGTTGACTTCCTGTCTAGGCCCCCCCACATTTCATCTCTTGGAAGGAAGTGAAATCAGCTGAGATGTGAGGCGCCAGCCGCGTCTGCCGGGGCGCTGGCTGATCGCTGGTGCTTCTGTGGGGAGCCTCAGCCTCCTCACCTGAGCAATGGGCACCCATGCTGCCAGCCGCAGTGGGCCGTGGGTCTCCAGGAAGCAAACACTGGTGGAGCAGGGTCAGAGCCCATCTCCCCGTTCCCACACCCACAGCAAGAAGCTGAAAACAACCTGAAAAAGGCCAAGGCGAGCTACGTGCAGCGCTCTGAGGACCATGACAAGGCCCGGTTTCAAGTGGCCAAGGAAGAGCAGGGCGCCACCCCACCTGGGGTGGGCAGTGCAGCTTCCAAGACACTGGACAAGAGGCGACGGCTGGAGGAGGAAGCCAAGAACAAGGTCAGGGTATGGGGATGAGACCGGGGGTGCAGATTTCGCCTCCAGGCTTCGACTCAGACCCCAGCTCCTCTTGAGAATACCCTTCCCGGTGGCACCTGTGGTGGTGCACAGCTGTCATTCCAGCACTGTGGGTGGCTGAGGCAGAAGGATCTCAAATTCTAGCCCAGCCTGGACCACTTTAGCAAGACCTTCTCTCAAAAAGTAAAAAAACAAAACCCAAAAAATCAGACTGGGAATGTAGCTCATGTAAAGGCCCAAGATTCCATTCCTAGGACCACAAAATAAACACACAATTTAAAAAATGCCCCTCCCACCTTCTCCTGCCTGGCTCCTCCAGAGAATTTTTGTTTTATTTGACTAATTATTTTTGATCTTAGGAACGTCTTTATTCTTAATCAAAGGGCAACACTTTTCTCCAGTCAGCATCAAATCTATTTTACAGGGTACTATTTTTGTTAACCACAAAACCTTTCAGAAGGCAGCTTTAATTGAAAGTTTAAAATTTGCACTTTCACACTAGAAGACCATTAGTTTTATGGATTCAGTGGTTAAGAAGGCAAAAGTCCCATAAAGGCTTCAGAGCAAGTGGAATCTAAATGGAATTCAGGATCAGTTAGTATAGTGTATCAAACCGGCACCTTCCCTTGTATCAAAACCAGGTCAGTAGCGATTATTTGTGGTCAACTCAACTGCACAAGCATGCAACCAAATCTGAAACCAGCTCCGCCTCCACGTTACTGTAATTAATTTATGTTCGAGGCAGAGTCTCACTATGCAATTCAGGCTGGCCTTGAATTTATAATGTAGCCCAGGCTGGCCTCGAACTCCTGGTGATCCTCCTGCCTCAGCCTCCCAAGCCCTGGGATGCTAGGCATGCAGCACCAAGCCGGCTCTCGGGAGGTTTCCCTGTCAGGCCTGACCAGTAACAGACTGGCTGAGGCCTGAGCCCCTGGGCTGAGCCTCCCGGCCCATCCTGACCCCCTTACACACACCCCAGGCGGAGGAAGCCTTGGCCACCTACCGCACGTGCGTGGCAGATGCCAAGACTCAGAAGCAGGAGCTGGAGGACACGAAAGTGACCGCGCTGCGGCAGATCCAGGAGATCATCCGCCAAAGCGACCAGACCATCAAGTCGGTGGGTGGCGGCCGTGCTGCGCGCCCGCTTGGCGGGGGGTGGGGAGGGGGAGTGGCGGGGGACTGGGGAGAAGGGTGGGGGAGGGGAGGTTTTAACCGTCAGCAGCCACGGCCCAGTGCCTGACCGGTCCCCACCCGCCTTCCGCAGGCCACCATCTCCTACTACCAGCTCATGCACATGCAGACAGCGCCGCTGCCCGTGCACTTCCAGATGCTGTGCGAGAGCACGAAGCTCTACGACCCTGGCCGGCAGTACGCGTCGCATGTGCGGCAGCTGCAGCGCGAGGAGGAGCCCGACGTGCGCTATGACTTTGAGCCGCACGTGTCCACCAACTCTTGGTACCGCTCCAGGCCCGCCCCGCCCATAGCCCCGCCCCGCACCACCCAAGGCCCGCCCAGAGCCCCTCCCCTCCCCGCCCAAGGCCCGCCCTCCTGTCCAGAGCCCCGCCCCTCACCACCCAAGGCCCACCCTCCCGTCCAGAGCCCCGCCCCAGAGCCCCACCCCCACTCCCACCGGCTGCCCGCGTGACCTCCCGCTCCACCCGGGTACCCGCCAGGTCCCCCGTCATGCGTACCCGGAAAAGCAGTTTCAATGTTGGCGACACTTTGGGGACTGAGACCACCACAACCAGCAGCAGCAGCCCCCCGGAGGAAGGCGGACCCAGTGAGGGTACATCAGCCAAGGAGCACAGGGGTAAGCACTGGCAGAGGCCCCGAGTGGGCACCGGCTCCCGGCAGCCCCCAGCCCAGCTCCGCACAGGACTTGCCCCTTTCTGCTTCCCCAGGAGGACGGGGACACCAGGTACACAAGTCGTGGCCAAGCGCCGTCTCGGACTCGGACAGCAGCGTGGACCCAGGCACGGGCTCAGGTGAGGTGGCCGCTGCCCCGTCCTCCCTCCTGCCCAGGGGACGGCGGTCGTGTCCCGCCGGCTGTGGGTCTGGGTCACGCTGGGACTCTGACAACCCCGTGTCCTGGCCAGGGGACTTTAAGAAGTTCCAGCGGATGTCATCCAGTGGCACTGCGTCGTCCAGTGAGGAGCTGGTGGACCAGGAGGGCGGAGCCGGGACGGAGGAGGTGGAGCAGGGTGAGGGGACCTGAGCCTGGCAGAGGATGGGACACGGGTCGGGAGAGGGCTCTGGGCACCTGGGCCTGTCCCCTTCCTGCCTCAATGACACGGACTCCTCATTCTGCCCCCCAGATGACATCAATAGCATGGCCCCCCAGCTGCCAGTGGCCGTGCCCAGCGGGCCCTTCCGCCATGTCGGGCTGTCCAAGGCGGCCCGCACCCACCGGCTCCGAAAACTCCGCACGCCGGCCAAGTGCCGCGAGTGTAACAGCTACGTCTACTTCCACGGGGCTGAGTGTGAGGAGGTGCGTGGGGTGCACGCCTGGCAGCCGGCACTCTGGGAGGCTGAGCCAGGCCAGGAGGTCAGGAGTATGAGCCCAGCCATACTCTGGACAACTGTGCGAAATGCTGTTCTCAAAAAAAAAAAAAAAAGAAAGAAAAGAAAAGAAAAGGGAGCTGGAGGTTTAGCTCAGCAGCATAAGCACCTGCCTTGCAAGCAGGCAGTCGTGAGTTCGATCCCCGGTACTGATAAAAAGGAAAAAGAAAAAAAAAAAAGTTGAAAGGGATAGGGATGTAGCTTAAAGTGAAGGTTCTAGATAGTACAGGGGCGAGGGGAGCAGCAAAGAAAGGGCAAGTGGGGCTCTTTTTAGGGTTGGGTCTCCTAGGAGGAGAGGCTAGGGGTGAACAGGGTGTCTGAGGTGGAGGCAAGGACAGCCAACGCAAAGGCCCTGGGGGCAGGGAGAACAAGCAGTACCAGATGGATGTAGTGGCGCATGCCTGTCATCTCAGCACTCGGGAGGCTGAGGCAGGAGGATCGTTGCAAGTGTAAGATTAGCCTGTGCTACCAAGTGAGCTCAAGGCCAGCCTGAACTGCATATTGAGACCCTGTCTCAGAGAAAGCCTGTGATTTTTCAGGTACCAGGGGGGTCATGAGGGCTCTGGGGAGAGGGGAGGTGGATCTGGGTGTGCACAGGGCCGGGCTGCTGGGCTCACTTCCTGGCGTCCCCAGTGCTGCCTGGCGTGCCACAAGAAATGCCTGGAGACCCTGGCCATCCAGTGTGGCCACAAGAAGCTACAGGGCCGCCTTCAGCTCTTTGGACAGGACTTCGGGCGCGCGGCCTCGGGCACCCCGGACGGCATCCCATTCATTGTGAAGAAGTGCGTGTGTGAGATCGAGCACCGCGCTCTGCACACCAAGGTGCCCGGGGGAGCTGGCGGGGGTTAGGGTTAGGGTTGGGGGGGGCTGGTGGGCGGGGACTCACCGCCTCCCCGCAGGGCATCTACCGAGTCAATGGGGTGAAGACCCGTGTGGAGAAGCTGTGCCAGGCCTTTGAGACTGCCAAAGAACTGGTGGAGCTGTCACAGGCCCCTCCCCATGACATCAGCAATGTCCTCAAACTCTACCTGCGTCAGGTGTGGGGTTGTTGTTGGCCTGGGGGCGGGGCCAGAGCTAGGTGGAGCCAGAGGCTGGGAGGGGCGTGGTCTTGGCAGGAGCTGGTCCCATACTGAGCTGGGGGTGTGACCAGATGCTGTGGTGGGTGTGGCCTAGTTGATTGGGCGTGGCTAGAGCTTTGTTGGGGCGTGGCTCTGGCGGGCTGTCAAGGTCATATCTCAGAGTGGGTGGAGCCTTGGATGGGGCGCGGCCAGGGCTCAGCAGGGGCGTGGCCTTGGTAGGTGTGCTGTCCCCCCAGCCTGATCTCCCCGACCATATCCTTTCCCATCGTCCTGCAGCTGCCGGAGCCTCTCATCTCCTTCCGCCTCTACCACGAACTGGTGGGTCTGGCCAAGGACAACCTGAAGGCTGAGGCCGAGGCCAAGGCCGCATCCCGCGGAGCCCGGCAGGATAGGTCCCAGAGTGAGGCCGCAGCCGTGGCCATGGCGGGCCGCCTGCGGGAGCTGCTGCAGGACCTGCCCTGGGAGAACCGGGCCACACTGCAGTACCTGCTGCGGCACCTGCGCAGGTCAGGGCCGCTGGGCGGGGATCTGGGGTGGGAGAGGGGGAGGGGGTCTCCTGGGGCCACTCACACACTTCGGTCCTTCCCCACCCACAGGGTCGTGGAGGTAGAACAGGACAACAAGATGACCCCGGGAAACCTAGGCATTGTGTTCGGGCCCACACTGCTGCGGCCGCGGCCCACTGACGCCACTGTCTCCCTGTCCTCGCTGGTAGACTACCCCCACCAGGCCCGGGTTATTGAGACCCTCATCACCCAGTACAGCCTGGTCTTTGGGGACGAGCCAGAGGAGGGGCTGCGGACACAGGTGGGTCTGAGCCAGGGCTGTGCGTGGAGGATGGAGACACCACCTTGTGAGGGCTTTGGTTTGGACAGGGCAGCTGCTGGGTGGTGTCTTCCTAGCAGAGAACTGGGTAAGATAGCCCTGGCATGTGCAAAGGCCCTGTGGGCCCCACACCCTCCTTTGGAACTCATATCAGACTCTCCATGATCAGCACAGATCCACAGTTGGGTTCTGTTTGTTTCTGCTTTTTGACACACGGTCTCACTATACAGTTTAGCCTGACCTTGAACTCACTAGAAGCTGTGTTCAGAGCTGGGCATGGTGAGCACACTCATAGGCCTTGAGAGCCAGGGAGCTGAGTAGGATGCAGCCTCAGCACAGAGACTCCTGTGCAGGCATCGGGGCCAGGCTTGGTCTCCCTAATCAAAGTACTTATCCCTGACATAGGAGCCATTGGGGTTAGCAGATGTCCAGAGTGGATAGGGAATCATAAAAGTGAACTTTCACAAGCAGGTGTGTTGGCACAAAGGTGTCATCCCAGCACTCAGGAGGCTGAGGCAGGAGGATCATTGCAAGTTCGAGACCAGCCTGGGCTACAAAGTGAGCTCAAGGCCAGCCTGAACTGCATAGGAGACCCTGTCTCAAAAAGACCAGCCACCCCCCAAAAAAAACTTTCGGCTGGGTTTGGTACACATCTGTCATCCCAGCACTTTGGGAGGCTGAGGCAGGAGGATTTTGTTTGAAGCTAGCCTAGGCAACTTAGCAACTTACTGAGATACTGCCTCTAATTTTGTTTTTGTTTTTTTGTTTTTGTCTTTTTCCTTTTTATTGGTACTGGGGATCGAACTCACGACTGCCAGCTTGCAAGGCAGGCGCTTATGCCGCTGAGCTAAATCCCCAGCCCCACTGCTTCTAATTTTGAAAAAAAAATTTTTTAAACATATTTGAAGTACTGTGGACATGTAGGAGCTCGGTGGCAGAGTGCTTGCTAAGTGTCACTGCTGCGGACTCTCTGGGGCTTAGCAGCAGCCAGTTCATCCTTTAGGGATCTGGTTGTGATTTTCTTAACACTCCCCGCCATCCCGTCCCTTAGGAGGAGCCGAGCAGCCAGTGCTCAGAGGTGGTGATACCGGTGGTGACCTGTCTGGAGGCCAGTGAGGACACCACCTACGTCCTGCAGGACGACGGGGGCCGAGGTGAGCAGTGGGCAAGATGGGGCCCCGGACCCTGTGCAGCAGGTGTGGGAGGTGGAATGTGGTGTCCAAGAGATGCAGCAGGACACAGACATGGTTGCACATGCCTGTCATCGCAGCAGTCTGGGAGGATGAAGCAGGAGGATCCCAAGTTAGAGCTCAGACTAGACAACTCTGGCAACTTGCCGATATGTTTGTCTCAAGACGAAAAATACTGTAAAGATCAGGCTGGGGTTCGGAGGGAAGCTCTGGGTTCAGTCCCCCATATTGGAGGGAGAGACATAGACACAGCCCCGAAGCAGGGGCTGGAATGGGACAGCCTGTTTCTGGCAGCCAGGGGACACCTGTTTTTTATTTTTATTTTTTTTTTTTCGTTTTTATCAGTACCAGGGATGAAACTCACGACTGTCTGCTTGCAAGGCAGGTGCTTATGCCGCTAAGCTAAATCCCCAGCCCCTGGAACACCTGTTCCATTCTCTGCCTGGTTTTCCCAGAATCCCGAGTGGCATCCAACGATTCTGACTCAGAGCTGGAGGAGCCCTTGGACCCCCTGTCCCTGTCGGACTCGAGTGCCATACACCGCTTCAGCTTCCTGGAGAAGCAGGAGGGCGAAGCCAGCGCCGAGGAGGCTCCCCGGAGCCGCAGTGGCAGCGGGGAGCAGCTGGGGGAGGAGGATGAGGAGGGCCCGGCCCCGTCGATGTCCACCTACAACACCAACCAGTCCAACAACACAGCGCTGGTCAGGCTGCCGCCCGTGAGACAGTCACAGCAGGTGGCTGTGGGGACAGGTGGCCGGAATTCACCTGGGCCAGGTGGCAGCGTCGTACTGCTGCTCTCCTGATCCCCCGGAGGGTCCTGGCTCTGTCCTGGGTCACCACCAAGGATGCCCAGGCTTGGACAATGCTCACAGCTCCAAGACCACACTGGCTGCCTCTCCAGGGACTGCAGGGCCTGGGGTCCACCCTGTGTCTGACTCTTGGGCAGGCCTGGCTCAGTCCAGCTGGGGTCCCCATCTTTGGGGACATCGCCTCCCACCTGTCAGGGCACCCCGGGCTTGGAGGACTATACAGCCCTGTCCCTCACAAGCCTGTCCTACAGCCCTGGCATCCCTGTGACTCGGGCCTACCTGGACCTCGCCCTGCTGCCATCCAAGCTTAAACAGGCCCTGGGGAATGCTGCTGCCAGCCCCGGCCACCCCAACCCTGGGGGAACTATGGCTGCAGGAAGCTGTCACTTTTGTGTAAAGCTGGAGTTGGACAGCTGGGCTTAGGTACACAGTGGAGTCCCTCACAGGCCTTGGTGTCCTTGCAAACCCAAGCTTCTGTTTTGCTTAAAATAAAACTTTTAATCTAGTGGGTTTGGTTTGTTTATTATTGTGGTCTGGAAATTGAACTCAGGACCTTAGCATTGAACTATATCCCTGACTTTAAATTTGGGTGGTTCTTTTGGTATTTTCTGGACACAGGGTCTTGGCATGTAATCTAGGATGACCTTGAAGTAATTACATAGCCCGGGCTGGCCTGGTACTCATGGCAACCTTCCTGCCTCAGCCTTCCCAGTGCCGGGATTATAGGTATGCACCTCCACACCCATGTTTAGTTTTGATTTTTTTTTTTTTTGTCTTTTTTAAATTTTTATCGGTACCGGGGGTCGAATTAGTTTTGATTTTGAGACAGTTCCTTCCTAAGGTCACTGAGTAAGATACCCAAGCTGGGCTTTCCTTTGCAATTCTGCCTCGGCCTCCCAGGGTGCTGGGATCGGTGCACCCCTGCGCCCCGCCTGCCTGGTGTCTTCTGTGAGAGCAGCACCCCCGCAGAGGATCTAGGGTGGGGACACAGAGGTCCTGCAGCGCTGTCCCTGGCTCCCTCGAGGTGGACATGGGCAAGCCTTTTGGGTGGCTGACAGCTCAGAGCCACGCAGTGGGTGCTGGGCCCACAAGGCTCTTCCCTGCTGCAAGGTCCCACGCCGAACGTGTGACTCCCACGAGCTGCGAGTGTGGCCCGCGGGTTTGTAGATGGACAAGCTGCATCTGCAAGTTGTTTATTCACTTATTGTTTGGTGGGCACCTGGGACTGAACTCGGGGCCTTGTGCTGGCCAGGCAGGTCCTGTGCCGCTGAGCTACATCCCTGGCCCCTACTGCAGACAACGTGGATTTCAAGTCAGGACTGAGTAAGAGACTAAGTCACCACATCTGTTCTTCCAGGCTTGTGATTGACGGGCTGGCCTTTGCATGTGACTTTTTTTTTTTTTAAAGTCTGAGACAGGGTCTCGCTGTATAGTCCAGGCTGGCCTTGAGCTCACTTTGTAACCCAGGCTGGTCTCGAACTCACAACGATCCTCCTGCCTCAGCCTCCCGAGTGCCAGGATGACAGGCGTGCGCCACCATGACCAGCCCTACAGATTTTAATATTCTGGTCCTGTGCTAAATTTCTGGAGTCCTATCACACGCCTTGCTGGGTTTTTTAATCGTGGCTAACTCTGCCTCTTATCTCTGGGGCACAAGCCTTTTCCCTGCAGAGGACGTTGTCCCCCCCGCCTCTGAGAAGCGGCTGTATCCATGTGTACCCTCCTCAGGGCCACCCTGTCACTCTGCGTTACCTAGCAGCTATGGGTCACTTCCTGTGGCTCCCTGCGGTGTGAAGAAGCCTCTCTGCGCATGAGTAGCTGTGAGACTGTCACCTGAGGCTCCGTCCTCACAATGGTGCCCGGCTGCGGACCTCGCCAGCGGGACTGTGTCCAGGCGCCTGCTTCACCGATTCCGCTTCCTCCTATGTGGGCGCTGGGGCTGCCGGCATTTGCCTGAGCCCCGCAGCCGCAAAGCGGGAGTCCCAGCGTGGTCACCTTCTCACAGTTACCTGGGAAACCGTTTGCTCAGAGCCTCACGGCCTGCTCTGTGACAGCCCTCACACCGGCCCACCTCAGCGCCCGGTTTGCCCACGGGGAGCTGCTTTTGTGCTCCGGCTGGCTTCGGGGTTTTTGAGTCTGTTTGAAGATCCCACCGCCTGAATCTCCTGCGGGGACACGCTGCAGCCTGTGTGTGTGGCAGGTCCCTGGCCCCCGCCCACAGGATTTTCTGACACCCTGCGGCGACCTCAGGCCCGGTGCAGTGGGAAGATCAGCTGGTGAAAACAAGTATGCCTCTGCCCAAAGCGGGCAGTCAGCAGTGACACCACCACCAACACAGCGCAGAAGAGGACACCCTGAGGTGACCATCGATTCCCCACCGAAGACCCTCTGCACTAGATTCCTGGTTAGAGTGCAAAATCTAAGACAAACCAGAAAACTGCAGGCAGTAGGTGGGCCCTCAGGGACGAAAATTTACAAGAGCTTAGGGAAAAAATGCAGACACAGAAGAGGTGGGAGAGATCAGAAGCAAGGCTGGGGGACAGGGGAGGACCAGGAAAACTGTACAGAAGACTAACCCTAGAAAACCTGGTACAGACGACTAGGGGAGAGAGAGAAAATAAAAGAAGAGAACCACAAAAAATTAGAAACCCTGTCCACACATGAAAAACCAAGATCAAGCCATGAAAAAAAAACACACAACAAAAACCTAAACAAAAAGGAACCAGCCGCTCCAGGGCCTCCCGCCTGCACTGGGGTCCCGAGGGCCGGCCCAGCAGGCTAGCGGCGGCTCTGCAGGGCAGCCGTCATCCCCGGGGCCAGCACCTTTACTCCCCCAAGTGGGGGCTGGCTTTGGCGGCATGGCTGGAACCAGACCGTGTCTCAGCTGGTGGCACTCAGCACCCTCTGCCGGCCCGACTCCTTGCGACCCCCAGCAGCGCGGTCCAGAAAGTCAGACTGGGTAACCCCAAGAAGTGACAGGTGAGGGACGCACACAGCTTCTCCAAGGATGCCACCCGAGCAGGGCAGGGGCAGGAGAAGGCCACATTGGGAGAAGTGAACCTGAGCCAGGCAACCCCTTCCCACCACCTGGACAGCTGCGACCCAAGAGCCGCCCGGCTGGAGGCCGAGGGGGCCTCGCACCGCACCACACCACACAGGGTGAACACATGAGACAGTGCAGCCACGTGTGACCTGGCCTGGGGCCCCAGCTCCCCTAGGTCACCACCCGCCTCGGACACCTCAAGGACTGCAGCACAGAACAAACAGCTCTCTGCACGAGACCCTGTGCTTGCAGCAGCGCGGCTCACGAGGGCCTCAACATGGAAGCGAACGCCAGCAACGCAGGGCCCCGAGTTCGATTCCTGGAAACAGACACACTGAACAACTTGGAACAGAAACGCACAGTCATGCTCTGGCCCCACTTGGCCAGGCCAGGAGGGTGACAGGACACACTCAGTGAGAGAGGGGACAAGAAACACACACTATTGGTTCCAAGGACAGCAAACACGCAGGGTGAGCAAAACCAGAGACAGGAAGTGGCGGTGTGGGTGCTGGGTGGTGGGGAGGGGATGCGACTGCGCACGGGGACAGGGCTTCCCTCTGGGGTAACAGCATCCTGGCTTTAGGGAGGGCCAAGGCTGCAGCACCTTAAGAGAAATGAACCCCACAGAGTGAGCCCCTGCCTAGAAGTCACCCACACAACAGAGGTGACCGCGGCCGGCAGTGCAGCCTGGGGGTGAGCACCCTGCCTGTCAGGTCCCTGGATGGACCCTCAGAATGAAAGCAACCAAATACAACAGAAAGTGCTCCCCAGCACAGACGAGACCTCCGAGCACCACGCTAGAGAGCGTCAGACAGGCTGACCCGGGAGAGGCAGGGGGCTCAGCAAGCCCCTTCAAGGTGCCCCCCCCTCCCCCCGCACAGCGGGCCCGCCACCCAGAAGCCGGACTCAGCCTGGTGTTGGGGAGTTTATTCACGAAGAGCAGCTTCGTTTCCCACACGCTCCATGTCCCTTGGCAACTGAGAACTTGATCGGGCTGGGACCTCAGAGCCTGGGTCGCAGTGTGCTTGTTGGGGACGGTCCGAGTGGGGACAGGCCACAGGCACACTGGGCAGCCCACACCAGGGGACCAGGAGCTCCACTCCGGGTGCTCATCTGTTGTCACCGGTGGCTGCCTAAGCCAGCACCATGTCCTTTCCGAGGCTTCAGCCAGACACAGCAGCTGGAACCCGCACCTTGACGAGGTACCCTGGGCATCGGCAGCAAATAGGCTGGGCGGGTCTCCACACGGAAGAGACCCAGACATGCCCACGTCCCTCTGTCTCTAGCCACAGAAGCCAGGCAGATGCCAACAGGACAGGGCCATGCGCAGTGCTGACCCCCAAGGAGACTGAAGCCTCGCCACCGCTCTGGCTACTGCACCAGCCGGTAGGTGATGTACCTGCCCGCCGTCTCGCTGGGCCGGATGATCTTCACCACCTGCAAGGGCACGGGGCAGTGCGGAGGCTGAGAGCCAGCTGGGGACCCTGGGCGCTGCCCTCCGGGTCCTGGTGGCCCGAGTGGAAGGGGATCGCAGGGCTCTCCCAGGGGCCGCTCACCTGTCCTCGCTTTATCCCGAAGTAGCGGGCCACAGGGTCGCCCGCCTGGATGCGGGGCAGCTGGTTCTCCCGGAGCTTACTGGGCAGTAGTCAGGGAAAAGCCAGCTGGCTGTGGGCAGGAATTCAACAGGCCCAGAGATCCCCAGTCCTGGCTGTCTCCCCTCCCTCCACAAAGAGCAGCAGCCTCTGCCTAGAGGAAGGGGAGACAGCCAGGACCAGGGGAGGCGGGCACGGGAAGCCCAGGCCTGAAAGGATACTATCGGGCCAGCAGCTCTGTCACCTCCTCCTTGGTCATGACCACGTGCTCAGGGACCAGCTGTCGGGACAAACATGCCAATCAGAGCTCATTGACGCTGCAGTGAGCCCTGGGCTGCCCCTGCCGCCCTCCACCCGGGGCCTACCTCGTGCTCGGTAATGTTGATCAGCAGCTCCTGCTGCAGGAACTGCTCCAGGATGTACTTGGGCGCCATGTCCACCAGAGACTGCAGGGACACAGGTGTCAGGAGGGCTGGCAGCCTGGGCCCTGTCCCCCACGCCCAGCACTGACTGCAAAGGGAGAACCCGGCTGCTCAGCCTCCAGTGTGATGCCCTCCTGTCACTGCCAGGCCCCCCTCCCCCGGGACTTTCATGGCCTTGGGGCGGGGGCGGCATGGGGTCTCAGCACCCTTCACCTGTGGGACTGCCCTGCGGCACAGAGACCCTTCCCTGAGAAGGTGGCACCACCACGCGTGACCACAGGGCCCTCTGTCCTCAGGAGGTTGGGCACAGAGCCCAACAGCCCGGCTTTGTCTCAGTGTCAGAGAAGCAACATTGACACGTGCCCAGGGATACAGCCCTGCTCTGGCCACAAGGCAGAGGGAAGAGAGACCTGGACCCACCTGCTTGGCGGAGGGCGTCATGCCCTGCTGCACCACAATGAGCGCGCGGGTGATGTTCTCCTCCTGCATGCGCTGGCAGTACACCTTGATGGTCTTGATGCCCACCTTGGGCTCCTCTGGGGACAGACACATGCTGACACACCACCCCCGGGACCCGGCACCAGATGGAGGGCAGCCTCGCTTTGGACCACCTAGGGGCCTCAGGTTTCCTTGCTGAGCAGCAGAGGCCCTGGATGGGGCTGGATGCCTGAATGGCCCCAGGGGGAAGGGAGCTGGGGCAAGGGGGGCCCTGGGGAGCCGGAGCCGGCTGAGCCCTGAGGGAGGCAGAGCCCACAGCCCAGGGGCTGGAGCTGCAGGCTCCGGCAGGGACCCCACTCCTCCTCAGCCTCAGGTCCCTACCCTGCCCATCGCAGATGTGTGCAGCTCCGGCCCAGGCTCCCCAAGTGTGAGCGCACCTGCAGACAGTGCTCAAAAGGCGGGCAAGGGCTGGTCAGGCCTAGAAGGAAGTCTGAGCAACTCAAACTCAGGGCAAGAGCCTCTCTCAAAAAACCCCAATACATAAACAAGGTGATTAAGGGACCAGGCCTGGTGACACCTCTCATCAGTTTCTCAGGAGGATCACAAGTTCAAGGCCAGCCTGGACAACGTAGGGAGACTTTATCTCAGAAATATAAGTAATAGGGGCTGGGGATTTAGTTCAGCGGCGTAAGTGCCTGCCTTGCAAGCAGGCAGTCGTGGGTTCGATCCCTGGTACCGATAAAAAGGAAAACAACCAAAAAAAAAAAAAAAAAGAAATATAAATAATAAGGCTGGGTGTGGTGGAACAGGTCTGTCATTCCAGCACTCAGGGATGCTGAGACAGGAGGATCCCTGGGAGTTTGAAGCCAACCAGGGCTACAAAGTGAGCTCTAGGACAGCGTGAGCTGCATAGCAAGACCCTGTCTCAAAAGGATAAAAAAAAAACACAAAAAGCCAAGGACACAACTCAGGGGTGGCACAGTGGCAGGATCAGGTGTGTAATTCCCTGCACACAAGTTGGAAAAAAAAATGTAAGATACCATGAAGGTCACAAACTGATAACACTGAGAAGATGCAGAGAGAAGGTGCTCTCTCCCAGCCAAGGGGACAGCAGGGTCAGGAGGAGATGTGGACAGAGGGGGAGACTGCCACAGAGTGAGCCACCTCAGTATGACATACAGAACCAGGACCCCTGGGACAGAGACGGGCTCTCACCTGGGAAGAAGACGAACATCTGGTCTGTGGGATCATCGTTGTGGGCCACCAGCACGGTCAAGTCAGTGCGCCGTGGACGCCCTTCACTTGGCTTGTCCCCAAATTGGGCTTTGAACTCTTCCAAGGTCTGATCCAGCTCATCCTGGGTCACCAGGTAGCCCCGGTCGTGGCATAACTGTGGAGGGAAACAGGTAGGAGAGCCTGGGACACAAAACCTCGGGAGCTAAGGGCTCAGCCAGGCGTAGCTGTTCATGCCTGTAATCTCAGTACTCTGGGAGCTGAGGCAGGAAGAGCACGGGAATGAATCTCCTAGACAACTTGGCCAGACCCCATTTCACAAACAAGAAATGTAAAGGGCTACGGATACAGCTCACCTGAAAGCCCCTGGCTCACTTTCCAGGACTGAAAACAAACAAACAAGGTGGCAAAGGCCTGTCATGCCCGCTACTCAGGAGGCCAAGGCAGCAGGATAGTGAGGTCACACCCACCTGGGCAATTTAGCAACAGCCTATCTCAAAATTAAAAAACAGGCTCGATGGCCGGGCATGTTGGCTCACATCTGTAATCCCAGCACTCAAGAGGCGGAGGCGGGGGGATCGTTGCAAGTTCAAGACCAGCCTGGGTTACAAAGTCAGCTGAAGGCCTGCCCAAACTGCATAGAGACCCTGTCTCAAAAACAACAACAACAACAAAAAACAGGCTAGGTGTGGTGGCGCAGGCCTGTAATCCCAGGACTCAGGAGGCTGAAGCAGGAGATCACTGAGTTCCAGGCCAGCCTGAGCTACATAGAGTCTAGGATCAGTCTGAAGTACATAGGAAACAAAAACAAATACAAAATCCCGGGAAGAATATATTAGGAGCACATGACTGATCCACTATCACCCCATAGGATAAGACCAATACAGTCTCAGAAACCCACAAAGACCCTGGCCTCAACCAAGATCAGCCAGCCTAGCAGGGATCCGGCTGGGACTAAACCCACACAGCTGTGGCCAATCCTACAGCCATGCAGAGCTGCCTTGGACAGGAACAAGAAACAAGTGTGACCTTCCACTGCTGGTGCTGGGACCCCAGAATCAGGGCACAGGGGGCTTCACCCATTAAAGGGCTCTTAGTCAGATGCCTGTAATCCCAGCACTTGGGAGGCTGAAACAGCAGGATTGCCACGAACAGGACCTAAAAGGCCAGTCTGCCTCAAAAAACACCAAAATAAATAAATAAGGCTCTGTCTTCTTCCTCCACGGGGGTCGCTTTTTGGCCACCTACTCGATAACCTCTCTCGTTTTTTTCTTCTTTTTTTTTTTACGTTGAGGCATGGTCTCGCTAACTTGCTGAGACTAGGCTCAAGGCTGAAATCCTTCTGCCTCAGACTCCCTGAATGTGGAGGTTATAAGCGTGTGCTACATGTCTGGCTTCTTCATTTCGTTTTCTTCAGTGCTGGGGTTGGAACCTGCCTGCGAGACAAGCGCTCAACACTGAGTTCCACAGGCAGCCTAAGAGCCCTGACTGTTTTATCTTTTTTCTCTTCTCTTCTTTTTTTTTTTTTTTTTTTTTTTTGTGAGACAGGGTCTCCCCACGCAGTTCAGCCTCGCTCGGAAATCAGTTTTTAGTCCAGGTTGGCCTCGAACACACGGCGAACCTCCCGCTACAGCCTCCCGAGTCCTAGTGGTCATACGTGCGCACCCGCGCCAGGGGAGGGACCCCACTTCGGAGCCAAGGCTCAGGACGCCCGGCCCTCAATCTTGGCCTGGTTTCCGAACCATCAACCGAGCGCCAGGCCCCGGGAAACCACTTTAACCCCACCGTGGCCGCCCCCTCTGAAACGCCTCCCTCCCCAGATTTGGAAAGAAGCAAGACGCGCAGAGGGCCAGAGGTGCGGAAGACGCGCCCGCTCCTTGTCCTCGCTTGTCCCGTCTTTCTTCTCAAGGCACAACCTCCACGCCCACTTACCTGCATGATGGTCTTGCGGATTTTCCAGAGCCGATAGGTCTCCTCCTCGTCGTCCATGGCGCCGCTGTTCGCACACCACCACGCACGCGCCACTCAGGACCTGTGCGCACTGCGCTTGCGTCGAAGTGCGATCAGCGGCCACCCCTTTGACCCCGCTCTGCGCGGACTGTTCTCGGCAAACGCCTGAATAAGGCGACGTCCCGGATTGAGTTTGGCGAGAGCAGAGGTTAGTCTCGCGAGACCTCGTGATTTTGCAATTATCGCGTGATTTTGACCGCACGGTCTTTCGGGAGTGGTAGTTATTGTTCAATTCTCGCTTGCTCTGCGGCAATGTAAAATCACACGAGACCCGGAGTGGTGGTGTGCACCTGTTATCCCCGCATTCGGGTACTGAGGCAGGAACACAGGCGCGAGTTCGAGGCCAGCGTATCAGACTTTATTTATCTTTTATTTTTGTCTTTTTTGAGACGGGGTTTCGCTATGCAGTTCAGGCTGGCCTTGAGCTCACTTGTAGCCCAGGCTGGTCTCGAACTCGCAATGATCCTCCCACCTCAGCCTCCCCAGTGATGTGTACCACCACCCCAGTCCCTATTTTTTTTTTTTTTTTTTTTGGTCTTTTTCCTTTTTATCGGTACCGGGGGTCGAACTCACGACTGCCAGCTTGCAAGGCAGGCGCTTATGCCACTGAGCTAAATCCCCAGCCCCTTAGTTTCCACTTTTGTGTCCAGGTCTCGCTGTGAGATTCAGGCTGGCTTTGAACTCATTATGTAGCCCAGACTGGCACTGAACTCTCAGAGATCCTCCCACCTCAGCCTCCTGCATGCTGGGATCACAGGTGGCTGACAGCATACCTGGCCTGTGTCTTGTTTCTCTGTTTCTGTGGGTGGGGAGTGACAGGGGCAGGGAAGGAGGGCTGCAGCCTTCTTATCTCAAGGTGTTGGGACAGGAGGAGAGTTCAGGGGAGGCCCCGGGGTCCCAAGGGGAAAGACTTCAGGGTGTCATCAGTCCCTGGCACTGGGTGCAATTCGAGCCAACTCCTGGGGGAGGACCCAGGACACATCGTCTGGGCCCTGAGCCCAGTTGGCCAGGTCCAGAGCCTGGAGCACTGATAGCCATAGTTTGAGATAAGAACAGCTCACCACCCACAGCCACAAGTTCACCCCCAGAACCCTGGAGAGGTGCCCGGCTCCTCCCATGCCACCTCCCTGTGCCTTGTGACAGAGCCAGGAGCATCACCTGCCTCTCAGGTAACCCGCTGACAACCCCAGCTCACTCTGAATGCCTGAGTTGCATAATGTTTCCAGGAATAGATTTGAGGGCAGGAGGCTCCCAGGTGTCCTGGACACCAGATGGACCAGGTGTCAGGAGACAAGAGAGAGCATCACCAGCTACCTGGGTGCAGGCCAGGATGGAGGACCAAGCCTTGGGTCAGGCAAGTAGATGGCACCATGACACGGAAGAGACTCATAGTGGGGTTGAGCTTTTGAGCCTCCTGCTTCAGCATCCGGGCCTCCCTGGGTGACCAAGTCTGCACTGTCCAATGTGGCTTCTCTTTCAAGTCTTTTTATCTTAAAGACGTGCTCAGTTGCCCAGGGTGGCCACCAACTTGAGATCCTCCTGCCTCAGCCTCCTGAGTAGCTAAGACAGGCATGAGCCACTGTGGCTGACGAGGAGGAGGGCTTTTAAATGGGAGAAGGAGGGAAATCAGGATGATCGTGGAGGCCAATTGAGCCCTGGCGACCTGTTCCAGGGAAGGCAGCCATGGGCAGGACAGCAGGGGCACTGGGGTGGCCATGGCTTGCTGTTACTCCGTACTGCAAAATTTCTGGGAGACTGGAGAGACTGGGCGGGATTGCAGGGGGATTTTCTTGGCACATGACTCAGCCATGAGAAATGATTTCGGCTGGCCTGGGCCTGGGGCCAAGGAGAGGTTCCCTTTTCTACAGTTTGTGACATCAAGCAAGTAGGGACACGGAAGTGAAACAAAGGCCGTCATCCACCACCGCAGCAGCCAGCCCCTCCTTCCCCTTGAAGGAAAGCACATCTGGGTGCTGGGAAGCCAGTTTAGAGCCCGGTTAGTTTTCTCAGAGATGGTGCCCATGTGACCCCTGTAACTCAGGAGAGTCCCCTGGACAGGACAGTTTAATGTCTCCCTCTTCAGGAGTAAGAAAAGCACAGGCCCGAGGGAGGAAGGGCGGAGGCAGGTGCCCATGCCAGCTGCAGGGCTTGCTCCCAGGGCTGCCTGCCCGGCCAGGGACCTCACAGAGCTGGAGAGGCGCTGAGCTGCTCTCTGAACTCTGCTTTCTGGGGCCATGGAGTCACTGTGGGTGCAGTGGAGGAGGAGGTCATGAGCCTGGGGACCCCTGCATGCTGGCAGGGCCCAGCCAGCCTGCTGGGTCAGAGTCCAGCGGGTGACCCTAGACCTCAGTGGCAGTTCTGGGGACTGGGCCATTGGCTTCACACCCGCCACTCCCACTGCCTGGCAGAGCCAGAGGCTGGGAAATCAGGCCAAGGGCCACGAACATGGCAGGCTGAAAGTGTCAGGTGCCAGCCAGGTGTGGTAGCGCGTGCCTGTCATCCCAGCTCTTGGGAGGCTGAGGCAGGAGGATTGCTGGGAGTTCCAGGCCAGCCTGAACTGCAAGAAAGACTCTGTGTCAAAAGGACAAAGAAAGAAAGAAAGAGGGAGGGAAGGAAAGTCAGGTGCCACAGCTGCTCGCAAAATGTCTTTTCTCACTGTTGAGACAAAATACCCAATGCCCCGAGTTAAAGGAGAAAGGGTTATTTCAGCTCACAGTTCGCAGAAGTTTTAGTACAGCTGGCCCACGGCAAAGGGCAGTGCAGAGGGCAAACGGCTCATGGCAAAGCAGGGCAGAAGCAGCCGCCCTCCTGCTCTGTATCCCTTCCGGGGCACACAAGGTTCCACTGGGGCTGCCATACCAGGTGGAGTGCCCTTAATCCCAGCATGGCACACTTGAGCCGAGCAACACACAGCCTAGACCTAGACACCTCCAAAAAGGCTCTCCTGACACCGCATGAAGCTTAGCGGGGAACAACTAGATACAAGTCTCAACCCAAGGCATTCTGGTAACTCTTCAAACAGGGTTCTCTAAGACCCAGCAGTCCCACCCCAGGTAAATGAAAACACAGGGTCACACAAAAACTCCTACAGCGCTGCAAAATCCAACGGTGAAAACCACTCCTGTCTATCAAATAAGGAACAGGCACACACGGGGAAGTGCATCCCGGTGTGGAATATTAGGAAAAGGAATGGGGCTGTGATACTCACCGTAGTGTGGACAGACCTCAAGGACAGTGCGTTCAAGGAGAGACATCAGACACAGAGGACGCACACCGAGGACTCTACAGACAGGAAAATGCAGCGGCAGCAAGCTGACCTGTGGGAGCTGAGGCCGGGGAGGGGGAGATGACCACTATGGGGAGGCAGAGGGCTTCTTTGTGGGGTGATGGAAAGATCAGAATTAGAGGAGATAAGGGTCTGGGATGTAGCTCGGCCAACCTGCCCGGCAAGCGTCAGGTCGTGAGTTTAATCCTTGGCAGACAAAAAATAAATAAATTAGAGGTGACAGTTGTGTGACATTGTGAATGTGCTAAAAATCCTGCACTGCACCTTTCCAAAAGTCACAATGATGAATTTCTGCATCCTACCTTTTATCTTAATGTCAGAAGCTGTGTTTTGTCAAGCATGGTGGTACATGCCTGTCATTCTAGCATTCTGAAGGCTGAGGCAGGAAGATCGCCTGAAGTTGAAACCAGCCTGGGTTACAGAGAGAGAGAGACAAAGAAAGACAGAGAGGCTTTTCCTCTGTAATCAAACTTTACTGAGAAACAACAGTTGGGCAGGGCGGCGCAGGCCTCTAAGCTCGGCACTCAGCAGCCTGGGGCAGGAGGGTTACTGTAAGTTTAGGGCCAGCCTGGCTTGAGCACCCTGGCTTGGGCAGGGCTTTGCTTCCCGGTGCCTGGCACTGTGTCCTGAACACCTACACAAAGAGTCTCTGTTCCAAACAGGCTGGAGGCCAGGGCGTCTTGTGTCAGTCTGAACACGTGTTACAAAGTAAAAACTGGGGCTTTGAACAAAAATTTTTTTCCAGTAAACTCTGCGCTTTTGCCGAGATGACAAGTGTTCACCATCACCCCCGGCTACAAATTCATCTTTAAAAGGGAACAAAAATCAGTTAGGGCATGATGGTGCACACTTGTCATCTCAGAGCTCAGTGACTTCGAGCTGGAGGCCAGCCTGAACTACTTGGTGAGTCCTTCTCAAACTACAGAATATAAAAAGCTGGGCGTAGTGGTGCACACCTGTGATCCCAGCACTTGGGAGACTGAGGCAGGAGGATTGTTGGGAATTCGAGACCGGCCTGGGCTACACAGTGAGCTCAAGGGATCAGAAAAAGAAAAAGATCTCAGGACATAGTGGGCTTCTCTGGACCAGCACAACTCAGGGATCCTCCCTGAGCCCCACAAAACTCCACTTCCCGCTTTAGGAATGGGGTTCACCGAAGAGTAGTTGGGGTCCCTCGCAGGGAGCAGCCGCATGCAGCTCCAGCCCCCAGTCAATTCCCTGCCCTTGTGACAGCCTACACCACATCCCAGGTGGTTTTGGAGGGCGTCACCCTGAGATGGTTTTCTGGAAGCCTTGAAATAAACAATCATTTCGGGTAAGGTTTCTACCAAGGTGACGGTAAACAGGAGAAAGCTGCCAGGCAGGTGTGGTGGCGCACACCTGTGACCCCAGCATCCCAGAGACTGACGCAGGAAGATTCCTACAAGTTCCAAGCTGGCCTGAGATATGTAGCAAGGCTGGATCTAAAAAAGACAATGAAAACTCCAGTCCAGAAAACAAAATTGGAAGCGGCCGTCTCTGGCCACAGTGCCCTATCACCAAGCACGGTCCCTGGGAGACAGGAAACGGAGGTGGGGGCTTCCTGAGGAGCAACTGTGATAAGCAGAGCTCTCCACCAACAGCCTCCCAGATCCTCTTCCCTCGGGAGCAGAATTGAGAAAACATTGTGCAAGACGGGAACTGTTGCACCCTGGAGCCCTGCGTCACCCGCCACCTCCACACTCAGGGTCCCGCAGAGGAGGGGGCTCCCCTCATGGGCCCAGCCAGGGACCCTATCTCCAGCTGCCTGTGGGGAAGTGGGTTCTGGGAGTCTGTAGAAGCAGTGACACCCAATCCCAGCCCCCAGCAGGCCCCAGGTCTGAGTTCCAATGTGGGGGTGGACACAGGAATTCCATGACTCAGTTCTCAGGAATGTGTGGGTCTCTGGGTACAGTGGTGGCCAAGACCAGGGTGCTCCGACAGAGCACGAGGTGTGGGGAGGGTGCAGCCATGAGAGTCATCCGCAGTTCCCGAGAGAATCCAACTCTGGACCTCGTCACCCTGTCTCTGGGGTGGACCTAGGAACTTACCAGCTCTGATGCCTCCAGGGCCACCTGCTACCCCATGAGCAGTTTAAGGGACAAAGGATTCCCAGGGGCAAGATGCACCTGCGTTGGGCCTGGTGGAGGAGGTGGAGACCCATGTCTTTGTGCTCTGGGAGTCTGGCAGGAGGCTCTCAGGCTTAAGCCCAGCCTGGGTAACTTAGTCCCTTAGGGAGACCTTGTCTCAATAAATAAATAAATAAAAAGTAGAACAAGAGACATTATGGCAGCCATGTTGATTTTCTTATTGTCTGGTTTTGAAGGCCTGTAATGCCTTTATCACTCTGTTCTGATCAGTTTAATACTATTTGTTTTGTATGAATACACTGTGTGTGAAGATACGGACAGCTATTTAGAAGAAAAGAAAAGACATTATGGTAGCCAGGGATGATCTCCTGTTGTCTTGCTTTGAAATCTGCCTCATTTGCATTGTTTTCTTTTGATCTGCTTTGTTCTGTTCTGTTTAGTTTTACTCTCTTTAAAATATAAATAAATAAAGGGCTGGATATAGAGTTTAGGGTGAAGGATCTGGGTTTAATCCCTACTACTGCAAAAAAAAAAAAAAAAGAGGAAAAGTCAAACTTCCATATTTAAAAGTTGTGTTTGTGTGTGTGGAGAGAGAGAGAGAGAGAGAGAGAGAGACACGTGCTATGCAGTTCACGTGGTCTTGAACTCACTTTGTAGCCCAGGCTGGTCTGGAACTTGCAGCGACTCTCCTGCCTCAGCCTCCTGAGTGCTGCGATTGCAGGAGTGCTCCACCACGCCCAGTTCAAAAGGCTTTTTTTTTTTTTCCTCTGCGGGAGAGTCTTGTCCAGCTATGTTCAGCCTATGCCCCAGGTTTCCAAAGAGATTCCCAGCCAGGTGTGGTGGCGCACTCCTGCAATCTCAGCGCTCGGGAGGGAGGCTGAGGCAGGCAGGAGGACTGCTGACAGTTGGCGGCCAGCCTGGGCTACACCGTGAATTCAAGGCCAGCCTGATCTGTGTAGTGAGACCCTGTCTCAAAATAAACAAAAAACAAAACCAAAGGTATTAGGATTCACAAAGAGCCCCCCACCCCCACCCACAGGCAGCAGTCCGCATAACAGTCCGCAGCCAACCGGCGCTCAGACTGCATGGACACGCCCCCCGCTCCCGGCTGGCCCCCACTCGGCTCACCAACCTTCGAGGAGCATGCGCAGTCACTGACGACAACAAACCTGCGGGCCGCTCCCCGCCCCGTCTGCCCTTGTTCCCACCTCCGATTGGCTAGCATCGCCGCGTATACTCATGACGGCGAGATTGACCAATGGAAACGTGGGTGGGCGTGACCGAGGGCGGGCTGGCGAGGCAAGACGACTCGTGTCCATTGGCCGGCAGGGCGAGGGGAGGAGCCGCTGGCTCTAGTAGCCGCTATGTTTCTAAATCGCTTGAGCCGCCTGCTGAAGCCGGCGCTTGTGTGCGGAGCTTTGGCTACCCCTGGCTTGATCGGAACCATGGTGAGCGCTGCCCGTCGCCCGCCGCTCCCCGTTCCTCGCCTGCCCGCCGGGGCCGTTGGAGGCGTCAGCGCCCCCACCGCTCCCGGCCCGACATGGCCACGCGGACGAGGTGACCGTGCCTGGAAGCTGCTTCCGGCGCGGCCTGGCCGGGGTCGGGGATCGCGACGGTGACCGGGGTCAGGTGACGGTGTCCGGGATGGTGGGCGGGCCAGGCTGGGGTCAGCTGGGGTAGGACGCGGTCGGCTGGGGTCGGGGAGGGGTGACAGTGTCCAGGACTCTGCGTCCCAGCTACTCGAGAAGCTGAGGCAGGAGGATCTCAAGTTCGAGCTAGGTCGGGCAACCTAGCGAGCCTGTGTCGCAAAATAAAAATATAATGAAGGTGCTGGGAGGTTGCTCAGGACCGTGGGCAGAGGTCGGGGATGGAGGCCAGGATGGAGGTGGCGGTGACTGAAGGGTGCGGATCGTGACCACGGCAACCGGCGCCGCGGTGCTTGCGGCGTTCCTGGGGCCTGGAAGGCGGGTCACGCTGTTCCCGACCCGCGCTTGCGTCACAGTGGAGGCTGGCGCTCGGCTACGGCCCTTTGTCCCGAAACAGCGCTCGCGGCCCAGACGGGGGCATGGGCCGTGCAGCCGCGAGTTGCCCCGGTCGCGGCAGGGCCCGGGGCCGGGGCCGGGGCCGGGGCCGGGGCCGCGGCTGCGGAGGCCGACGGCGCCCGCGCCCTAGGCGGCGCCAACCCCGCACGCGCCGGCGCAGGAGAGCGCGCCCGCGTCCCAGCAGCTCGGGGCGGGCGGCCCAGGAGAGCCCAGAGAACTGCTGCTCCGAGCTGCTGGACCCTGTGCGCGCTGAGTTCCAGCACCCCTGCCCGTTCCGGCGCCCTTTGGGATCCCCAGCTATCAGCCAACCTTGGAGCCTCCAGTGGGGGGCGTGTGCACCTGGGGACGACACCCATTTCCCTTGTGCCCAGATCCTGGGGTCTGCCAGCCTGTGGACCCCCCACCCCCACGCCAGCACCTTGTGGGTCGCGCGTCACCCCGTCTCAACCACCGCCACTCAGCGCCCCGTGTTTTGCAGTGCGCGTCCCGGGACGACTGGCGCTGTGCGCGCTCCATGCACGAGTTCTCCGCCAAGGACATTGACGGGCACATGGTCTGCCTGGATAAATACAAGTGAATGCCTGGCCGTGGGGGTGCCGGGAGAGTAGGGGTTGGGTTGACCTGGTCTTCCTAACTGCCACCCACCCCTCTGCCCCTAGGGACTTCGTGTGCATTGTCACCAATGTGGCCTCGCAATGAGGCAAAACCGAAGTAAACTACACTCAGCTTGTCGATCTGCACGCGCGGTACGCTGAGTGTGGTCTGCGCATCCTGGCCTTCCCCTGCAACCAGTTCGGGAAGCAGGTGCGAGCTCAAGGCTGAGGCGGGGCCGCCGGGCGGGCCGGGGACCAGGGGTCCGCTGCCACCCACCCACACACCTTTGTCCTTCCGCGCCTTGGTCTCCTAGGAGCCAGGGACCAATGAGGAGATCAAGGAGTTCGCTGAAAGCTACAACGTCAAGTTTGATATGTTCAGCAAGGTCTGCGTGAATGGAGATGACGCCCACCCGCTGTGGAAGTGGATGAAAGTTCAGCCCAAGGGGAAGGGGATGCTGGGGAAGTGAGTGCCCAGGGCTGGGGGCTGGGGGCTGGGGGCCGGGACCAGGCTGTGTAGCCGGTGGTTTTGCGCGGCAGCAGCTTGCTCAGACTCGGTTTGTGTTACAGCGCCATCAAATGGAACTTCACCAAGGTAAGGGCTGGCAGGCATGGGAGGTGGGGATGCAGGGTCCCCATCTCTCCCAGGAACCTCTGCCCCTCCACTAATACATCCCCCCTTCCCCACAGTTTCTCATCGACAAGAATGGCTGTGTGGTGAAACGCTATGGCCCCATGGAGGAGCCCCTGGTAGGTTCCTCCCAGAGAGGATAGGGGCCCTGGGGAGAGGACAACCCCTGACACCCCTTCTCCCTGCAGGTGATCGAGAAGGACTTGCCCTGCTACCTGTAGCCCCATGGTTGCGCCCCGTTGAGACCCTGGCCGCCCCGAGTCTCCTACCCGGTGCCATGACGGCCTGCCTGCAAACCAGCGTGCTGGTGGGGCAGACCCGAGGATGCGTGCACTGCCGGAGGGAGACTTGGCCACGGCCTGGGCTTGGCGCCCACCTCCACCACCTTGTGGGAATAAAGCATAGAAGTGGGCAGTGTGTCCCCCTCTTCCTTGGAGTGGGAGGGGGTTCCCTGGGGTGGGAGGGCCGTGTGTCCCGTGCCTGGCGGATCTGGGTCAGCTGTACTGATCCCACAGCCTTGGGCAGGCAGAGGGGATAATGCAGTAAGCGGCTGACGCTGTGCCAGGCCAGGCCTGGGGAGTAGCTGCAGGGGCCTGGGAGCCTCCGTCCTTCCCAGTTCTCCAGACAGTGACAAGAGTGTGTTGGGTGCTGAGTCTCTTGGTGTTTAGGGGGGACCATTGTCCACATGGCTTTGGGTTTTTTTGAGACAGGGTCTCACTATAACAGGTAGACCAAGCTGGCTTTGAACTCTCTTTGTAGACCGGGCTGGCCTGGAATTCGCAGCAATCCTCCTGCCTCGGAGCACTGGGGTTATGGGCATGTACCACCACCCCTGGCCAGATCATCTCCTAAGCGGGGGAGGGGTAGACAGTGGGGGGGGTCTGCAGAGCTGAGCCCAGCTGCTCCTCAATGCACCAATTTGCAGTATCCCCAGGAAGACCACAAGCTGGGTGGGGGAACCTCTGTGCCAGGGGAGGGTCGCCAGAACTGCCTCCGAGTTCTGATCCACGGAGTCTTCTGTCGCTTCTGCTTCTAGACACCTGTGATCCTGGAACCTCTGGGTAAAGTGGCCCCTGGAATTTTGGGCCAGAGGTCAGTAGTGCCACAGTGCTGTGGCACACATGGTACCCAGGTTCCTGTTGTGGTTTTTGTTTGGATCCCCCCACCCCCCTAAACCTCAGGCTCATAGGTGGGGCGCCCCAGGTGGTCCAGCACAGCATGACTAAATCCCTCCACTGATTGGTCTGGCGCATTCTGGAGCTCCCCACCGCAAGGCATGCAGCTTGGGTAGAGCAGGAGGGCGGAAATGGCCTGTGCCCCCCCCCCCGTGATACCCCCTACCCTGTGCCCTCCTGTTAGCCAGGCAGGTATGAGCCGAAATCTCAGAACTGAGCCACCGTAAACCCCTCCTATACTCTCGGGTGCTACCCCTGCCCCCGCTGGAAGCGGGGGTGCTCTGGGGAAGCAGGCAGAGCACCCCAGACCTAGCCCTCTCTGTTGCAGAGAGGGGTGCGTTCCTGGGCCACCCACAGGTGCGGCCTCAGCAGATGGGGGGCCGCCACCCCCAGGTCCTGGATGTGAGTGCAGACTGGGAAGTAGGCAAAAGGCTCCTGTATTTAAAAAGATCTCTTTACATATATACACTGGGGTTCCTTATAAATACAGATTTCGGCCACCCGCCGCTGGTTGGGGAGGAGGAGGTGGGCGGGCAATAATTTAGGGCGCAGGGTGGGGATTGCATATATTAATGGGGTCTGCCCCCCCCTCCCCCGTGGAGCCCCGGAGGCGGGACCTGAGCACCGGGGTTTCCTGAGTGAGCAGCTCGGCGCCAGCTCCGGGGCAGCCCGGGGACGGCGCCCCGCACCCCGGCAGCCAGCCCAGCACGGGCCGGGCAGGGTCTGCGGGGAAAGGCACTGCGGAGCGGCGCCCTGTCCGTCTGTCCGTTGGGGAAAGGTGCGGGCCGCCGGGCACGGCCTAGGAGTTGGGGAAGGGCGGGCTGAAGTGGATCACGCTCTGCCGCTCAGGGCCCGTGCCTGCGCCCATCAGCGGCCCCGGGGGCTCGGCGGGCGCTGCGTGCAGCGAGCGCAGCATGTCCTCCAGCACCTCCTTGAAGTTGATGTCGCAGCCCTGGTGCGCCAGCGCCGCGGGATCCGGGGGCGGCTGCGGGAAGGCGAAGTGTGGCGGCGGGGGCGGCAAGGCTGACGGCGGGAAGGCCTCAGCCGGGGGGCTGTAGGTCAGGTCCAGCACCTCGCCGGGTCCGAAGGGCAGCGCCAGCGGGAGCCGTGGGGCAGGCGGCGGCGCGGGGCGGCGGCGGCGCTGCACCTCGGCGTCCATCTGCCGCAGCTCCTGCAGCACTCGGTGCACACAGCCCTCGGGGATCTTGATGCCTGCGTGCGGGGGCAGCTGGGTCAGACCCCCAGACCCTGCCCTGGCACCCCAGCGCCCAGGTGCAGCCCACGTGCCCACCCACTCACCCACTTGCTTCTTCCCGTCCTTGGTCTTGAGGCGCACGATCTGCAGGTAGCTGCTGCTGCTGACCTCGGCCATGACGTTGGCCACGCGGCCCCACACACGCAGCAGCGCCCCACACAGCACGTAGTGGTGTCGCAGCCGTAGCCCCTGCACGCAGTCCCTGCCCTCCTGGGCCGCCCGGCACTGCTGGTTCCTGCGGGCGCGGGGGCGGGCATCGGTATGGGAGCCGGGGTCCCTCTGCTACCCCTCCCTCCGCACGCCCCTTGGTCCGCGGCTCACCAGGCCATGTGGCTGCAGTGTGTCAGCGAGTAAGCATAGCTGCTCTGCCAGTGCTCCTGGGCCTCCTCCGCAGAGACCTGCACAGAGGGGAGCAGAGTGAGCCCGGCCCGTCCTGCCCCGGCCCCGTGCCCCCACCCTGGTCCCCGTGCTGCCCAGGCCCTGCCTTCTGGAACTTGCGCAGCAGGCCGTCCAGTGTCTCGGGCTGGCTCTGCCGGCCGATGTTGGGCTTGTACACCGTGAAGTGTTTGGCGCTGCTTTGCTCGGCCAGCAGGCAGCTGAGCTTCTTGCCTCGCACCTGCCGAGGCGAGTTCGAGGCTGGCACCAGGTCCCGGGGGACAGGGATCCGTGCCCTGCCCACCCCCAGGTGCCCAAGCCAGAGCGCACCTTGTAGGAGAGGTAAAAGCCATCGTAGTGGCCCTCAAACCCTAGCGACTTGCTGAAGGCCTGTTCCCACTTCAGTCCGCGATCCACAGTGACCTGCAGGGACGTGGGATGTCAGGGGCGGGCAGACTAGCAGGGCCAAGGCAGGTAGGCGGGCCGAGGGCTGGGGCAGAGGCTGCTCACCTTGTAGAAGACCACCTGGCCATCCCGAGGGTGCCCAGGGGCCAGGAACACCTGCTGGTTTTCCTCATAGATCTCGTCAACTCCAGGAGCAAGATCTGCGGGCAAGCGGGAGGTGAGGGGGGCACCTGGTGCCTGGCTGGGTCCCTGCTCCCACTTTTTCTCTTTTTTGGCTGATAATGGGGACAGATCTCTGCACCCCAGTCCTTTTCAGGTCTGAGACAGGATCTTGCTAAGGTGCCAGGCTGGGCATGAACTTGGTTGGGGGCCTCTTAACAGGGGCAGGGTTACCTGTCCCCTGATACAGGCCTCTGTGTTTTCCCCTGTGGTGCTGGGGACCGAGCCCAGGGGCTGCCACTGACAGTACCTGGGCTCTGGGCTGCACTGTGCCATCCCTGGATCCCACAGCTTTGGGGGTGCCCCAGGGCTCAGTGGGGCAGAGACAGCCTGGCCCAGACACATCTGGGCTGCCTATGTTCACCCCAGGAAGGCGCTGCCTGGCTTAGCGGCCTGATCTGAACAGCCCTGGTCTCGGGAGGAGCCTGGTGAGCAGTGTCTGTCTGTGTGTATTTTCTTTTACAGTGCTGGGCATTGAACCGAGGACCCCACACGTATTCAGCAAACACCCAACACAGAGCCACACCCCAGCCCTTATCTTTCATTTTGAAACCGGGTCTTGATAAGCTGTCCATACTGGTCTTGAACAAGTGATCCTCCTGCCTCAGCCTCCTAAGTAGCTGGGAGATGCGAGAGTGTACGCCTGCTTGGTTTGTTTTTATAAATAAGAATGAAAAAAAAATTTCTTTTTTTGCCACATTGGGGAGTAAACCTGGGGCCTTCCCACTGAGCTCCATCCCCAGCCCTTTTTATTTTTATTTTGACACAGGATCTTGGTAAATCACTTAAGTTGCTAAGGGAAAAGGTCACTGTCCCAGCAAGGGGAGGTTGGACTGTACACCAGGGCGCCCTCTGCTGGCGCTGCAGCTGCTTAGACCGCAGTCCAGGCCACTTGGTCACGCAGGGCTGAGGAGCTTGCGCCCGGGCTGTGCCTGCCGCTCACCCAGGATGCCCATGTCGTATCTGCCCTCCTTCTTGTCCATGGCAATGAGATGGTCGAAGGTGTCTGAGAAGTACTGGAACAGTGCGTTCTGCTTGTGGACCTCCAGCCCCAGGATGCGGTTCAGAAACTTGGTGATGGAGCAGTCTGGGGTGCCAGAGGAGACCACGTCACAGGCCATGGCAGGTGGCCCGTCGCCCCCCACCCCTGCCCGGGTCTCAGGACTTACCTTTCTCCACGTCCAGTCCGCCGGACCGTGACTCCCGCCCGCCAATGCCAACCGACAGCAGCCCCTGCTTCATGTCTGTGAGGAAGGGGCCACACCTGAGCCGCGGGACCCCTGGAGCCTCCCTCATCTGCCCTGGCTCTACCCCGCACCAGGGAGTCTTTGTGGGCCCTGGGGTGCGGCTGCTGGGCAGGGGGAGGCAGGGTGAAGCCCTTTATCCTGACTTCCAGGAGTGAGACCAGCATCCTCAGGAATAGGCCGAGACCTCACACATCCTAGCCAGGAACCCTCCCCAGGGACCCCTGGGGTGGTAGCGCCCCCTCTGGCAGGTCCACTGCCCGCTGTGTGTATGGCTGGGGTGGGGTGGGGGTGGGGAGCTCCTTTCGGTACTGGGCTTGAACCCAGGGCCTTCACACCAACCTCACCCCCAGCCCTTGTGTTTTCCCGTTGGACGGGGATCTCTCAAGCCACTCACTTGCCCAGATTGGGCTCCCACTTCTCCATCCTCCTGCCTCAGCCTCCCAGAATGCCTAGCTATGGTACAGTCTTTCCATTGGACCCCAGTCTACAAACTCGGGCGCCCCAAACTCTAACCTGCTGCTCTGCTTGCTTTTACCCCAGACAGACACCAGGGCGCCCCTCAGCTCACCCCGGAAGAAGGCGGCGTCCCCTCCAGGGTAGCCCTGAGGCAGAGGCACCTGGTTCTCCGTGTGGCTCAGGATGGTGTTCAGGACACAGCTGAGGGCCCGAGTGCCATACTGGGGGGCAGGGAGAGTGAGTGGGGGGTGCCAGGTGGGTCCTTACATCCCAGCCCCTGACCCCCAGCCCTGGGCACCTTGTTCTCGAAGTTGTACTTGCTGAGGTCTCGGGACTCAGTGGCGCGGCGGTCCCCATGTGTCAGGGCACCCTGGAGGGGCGGGAGGCCGTTGGTGGGGGGCCCAGCAGCAGACTCCACCCTGCACTGGGGGGCCCACCCAGCCCCCGGCTCACCAGGCTCTCCAGCCGTTTGGCCACAATGGATGCGAAGCGCCGCTCCCCAGCCAGCTCAGAGATGAGGAAGATGTACTCGGGTGCCGACACCTGGTTGGAGCGGTGCGTGCGTCCTGGGGGCACAGCGAGGGGACCGCTCAGGGGTGGCCCTGAGTTGGGGGGCCGGGAAGGAGGGGGGTGCTGGGGCTGGCACTCACCGAACTGCTGGATGGCACGGTCGGCGCTCCAGGGCAGCTCCAGTGTCATGTGCACCCGGCGGCGCTGGTTGCGCACGCGGCGGTCGGCTTGCAGGGAGACGCCAGAGCTGGAGGCCTCGGAGATGATGGCCACGAGCTGCAGGCGCGGGAGGGCGGCTCAGCTCCCAAGGCACCCACCCCGGGAACCGGGACACAGGACACAGGAGAAGCCAGCCCCGCCCGGAGCCCCACCCCCACCTTCTCGCCGCTCATGAACCGCTGCTTCTCCCTGAGGTTCACGTGGTCGATGGACAGGCCCTGCTCTGCCCGCGATTCGAAGGTCACTGTGCCGTCAGGCCTGGACACGACTCGGCCTTTCCTGCCCGTCATCTGTGGCAGGAGTCACGGTCAGCAGTTGGCTGCCCGAGGGCTGGGCCGGGTGGGGGGCTGGACGGGAGCTTGGGGTCCGAGTCCCGCCTTGGGACTGCAGACCGTGAGACCTGGCTTGGCCAGGCCAGACTGGGGGTCTGGAGGCTCTGAAGGCTGAGACAGGAAAGCTTTCTAAAGCAGCCTGGTCTCTGCTTCTCATAAACTCTGACAGTCAGGGTGGAGGTTGGGGGTGACAGTGACACAGGTGATCAGCAGGGACACCAGAGCTTACCTCAGCCACATGCTCTGGGCCCCCAAGCTGGTCTATGAGCTGGTCCAGGGTGTTGACGGGCAGCTCGCGGCCCAGCGCCCGCACCTTAGCCAGCAGGTCCTGCTTCAGCCGCTCCACGCGCTCCAGGACAGCGGGGCCGTGCAGGTCCCTCTGTGGGGGGATCAGGGGGACTGGGGGGGCAGGGCAAGGTCAGGCCCACGAGGGAAACCCGCTCCCGCTGCACTCTCCCGGAGACCAGGGGACTGGGGTTCTGGACCCTGATGTCACTGCTTTGGGCCTCAGGCAGCTAGAACTGAGACTGAGGGCGAGAGGCCGGCTGCTCACCCCGGTCATCCACAGGAAGCCCGGCGGCCTCCACAATGACCACGTCGTCGTCCACCAGGGACTCGGGGGAGGAGTTGAAGTCGCTGTCCAGGCCAGCGTCCGAGTCGGTGCTGCTGTCATCGCTGATGCGGATCACGCCTGTCCCCTCAGGCGCCAGCCTGAGTGCCTTGGTCCTTCGGCCACACGGCCGCCCTACAAGAGGAGCCAAGATCGCAGCTGGGACAGCGCTGCAGCGGGTGGCGGGCGGGAGCGGAGGCGGAAGCTCTGAATGGGAGAGGCCCGTGGATGCCAAGCTGGGCGCGGCACAGCTAGGGGAAGGAGCCCTGAGGAAGGAGCCAGGACCCCCAGGCCCCTCTTAGTACCCGAGCTGCATCCCCAGCCCGTTTTCTTATTTCCAGACAATGTTTTGCTAAGTCACTGCACAGCCTGTGCTGAGTTGGTATTTGTGATCTTTCTGCCTCAGCCTCCCAGAGTGCTGGGACTGCAGGCATTGTGTGTCACTGCATCAGACTCTCCCAGAGTCCTGAGTCCATCTGCTGCGAATGGCCATGGCTTCAGGCAGCTTTCGGCCACTTTCCTGGGCTTCCTTCTCAAAAATGCTGCACCCTAAAGGCCTGGCCTGGGGATGGCGGAAGGCCTGGCTGTGGCCCCGGGCACGTTCTTCAGCCTGTGAGCCTGGCTTTCCACTGTGCACAGTCTGGCCTTGGGACTCTTTGTGGGTGGCCCCAGCCCCGTCCACACCCCAGTGAGTTCCAGGCCCACTTTGATCTGGGAAGCACTGGCCATTGTTGGGGTGACGGCCCCTCGCCTCCCTGCTGAGGCTGGGGCCCAGCTGCGTGTTCCATGTGGCCACCGGGACAGTCCTGGAGGCCTGGGCGGTGGCACCCTGCCTGGCTAGCATGGATAGGCCGAGTCAGGCTGAATCCTTGCAGGGCAGGGAGTGCGGGTGTGGGGGCGGCCTGGTGCTTGCAGAAAGCGCAGGGAGCAGCAGGCAGGCAGCGGCAGACTTACGCCTCCTCTTACTGCCGGCTCCTCTGTCCCGCTTCCTTCTGGTGGAAGGAAAGTGCTTCTGGATTAGCGACAGGAAGACGCCTCTGGAAGGAGAAGACAGCTCGAGCCCTGCAGCTGCCCTCTGCTCTCCAGGGCAGGCGGGCCCCTGTGGTCCCAGGGGTGGAAGCTAGGGTCTCCCCCTTGGTTCTATCCCCAGTTCCCTCATTTACTGCTCTGTTGAGAAGGGGCCTTGCTAAGTCAACTGAGCTGCCCAGGCCGGGCTCTAAGTTGCAGTCCTCCTGCCTCAGCCTCCCAGGGTCCTGGGAAGACAGACATGGGCCACCATGCCTGGCTGGAACAAAGTGGAGTGCGACAGGGCCTGGCTGGGAGCTGCCTCTGAGCTCCCAACCTGCCAGCCTTGTGCCCGGCTCTGCCCACACAGCTGCTGGGCTCCGGGGAATGAGGGACACACAGATCCCCAGGGCTAAGAGCGGGAAGCGTATGAGTGGCCTGGCCCTGAGAAGGAGCAGGAGGGTGCTGGGATGGGTCCTGGGGCTGGGTGAACTCCAGAAGGGACTGGGGGGGGGGGTGCGGGAGGTCATAATGGCTAGTTCTGAAAAGCCACAGACTCCTATTGACACAGCGCTGGGCCCATATGGGGTCGGACTCCCTGCACCTGCTTCAGAGACCCAAGGGGCCTGGTGGGCCTGGCCCACACTGCCGGAGCCAGGGCCCCCACTTTGGCTGGGTGGCCCTGGCTCTGGGGTCCTGGGGTGGCTTCTGAGGTGCCCTGGCTGCCCATCCTTCTGCCCTGCTCTGTCCTGGCACAGTCACTCACTCAGCAGCCGAGACGAAGCAGTCCAGGCGGCCCTCGTTCTCGTCCAACACCTCCCGTGTCCTCGCCTCGCCCGTGGACTGCAGCCCAATGACCACGCACTGTGGACAGAGGCAGCTCGAAGACGGCTCCAGCGACTGTCCCCTCAGGCCGGGGACATGGCCCACTGGTGGCCACTTCCTGCTTCTGCCGCAGCCTCACTGTCCCTTCCCGCGGAGACCCCAGCTGCCTGTCTGCCCCGGTCGCCATGCTGAGCCCACGAGAGGCTGCGGCGTGGACCTGGGTGCCATGGTTCCTCTTCTCCGTGAAGAACCCTGACATGTCAGTGTCACTAGATTGAGAAGCACCTAGCTGGTCAGTAAAGCAGGCTCTCGGATGCGTCCTGCTGGGTTGCAGAGGCGGGAACCTGGGGTCTGTGTCTGCGTCCTACTTTCTTTGTTTTGGTTTTGGAAAACAGGGTCTCCGATACAGCTCAGCCTGGCCTCGAGCTCTCAACGGTCACCCTGCCTCAGCCTCCCAAATGCTGAGCTTACAGGGGAGCATCAGCACGGCCAGCTCCACTCCCTAACCTCTTGTGCTGTGGCTCTGACCCTGCTCTGCTCCCCGCCACCCTGAGGTGCGCTGCTTGCCTGCCAGGCCCCCAGCGCTGGGGCGCAGCCGCCCTCTCACCTTGTTGCAGGCCAGTTCCTTTCGGGCCAGCTCCACCAGCCGCCGAACCTTGGCGGCGATGCACAGGTACTTGAAGAAGCGCTGGTGCGCTGACCAGAACTGGCCCCACAGCGACTTGCGCGACTCCAGGCCGATCCAGTCGGCCGCCTGCTGGAACACGCCCAGGGCCTCGGCCCACTGCAAGAACAACGCGTGGTGAGCCCAGCCAAGTAGTCAGGCTCAGGGGCATCGAGGGGCAGGGAGGGGCGTCTCAGAGCCCAGCAGGGACACCGAGAACCAAGGCGTGGCCAGGTTCCATCCTGGGCACTGAGCGCGCAAGCAGGGACCGGTATGAACGCGACCTATGGTGACAGTGACCCTAAGCACAGCCACCAGCTCAGGGCCAGGGAAGGAGGCCAGGGTCCAGGCAGACCACACGCCCACTGTATCAGCCACACAAGGACCTCAGGCCAGGGCAGTGGGGGTGCAGCCTGGAATCCTGCCTGAGACCATGGCCAGGACAAGGTGGCGTCTACCTGTTTGTTTTCTTTTTTGAGGTGCTGGGCACTGAACCCAGGGATTTCACACTGAGCCTCCCCCTTGGCCCTTCTGATTTGTGTGCTGAGCCAGGGTGTCACTTGGTCATTGAACAGTACAGGAAGAGCTTGAGATCCTCCTGCCTCAACCTCTCAAGCACTGGGATGACCACCACACCTGATTCTACTTAAAGAGTACTTTGGCAAACATCTGTGGCATCTTACGGGCAAGACTCTTGCAGACAACAAGTGTGATCGCAAGGGCAGTCTGCTGGGGTCCTGGAGGTGGGCCTCTGCCACCCGTGCCCACAGAGGGCCCCGGCTCACCAGCAGCGCTGCCCGGTTGTAAATGCGCTCGAAGTCTGGGGGTAGTGGGATCTCCTCAATGCGGAAGGTGACGCCGGAGAAGCTGAGCTGGCGGGCGATGTACATGCCACTGACCTTCATGTCCATGGCCACGATCTCCATGGCGCCCACACCCCTATAAGCAGGATAGGGGACCCAGGTGAGAGAGACAGCTGTGCAGACGGTGTGCGCTGACTCCTGCTGCTGGGTCAGGGGAGTGCTCACCTCTTCTCCACGGCGTGCAGAAACTCCTCGAATGTCCGGAAGGACGTGCCCTCGCCCCATATGCCCAGGCGGCTCATGTAGATCATGTTCCGAGGCTCAGAGGCACCTGGGCAGCAGGGGTGGAGGTGCTGTCAGCGCTTCCTGACTCAGCCAGGTGACAGTTGCACAGAGTTCACAGAGCATAGGTGACAGAAACCCCAGGGCTGTGAGGGGGTGGGCTAGGTGGGGAGGCCTGAAGCTCTGGGCGACATAGCCAGGCCAGGGAGCACCTGCTGAGCTTGGCTGAAGCCAGCTGGTGCTCACTCTTGTGTTTGTCCAGGTCCCGAGAAGCACACGGCTCATAGATGCACCTGCCCCAGGCTGTGCTGAGGCAGACATTGGTAATGGATGCTGCACATGTAACCCAGGCTACCCCATGGCCATCAGGTATGCGGCATCACTAATGGATGCTGCACAAGCAATCCAGCCACCTGCTGCTCTCAAGAGCCCAGCTGAGGCCCCTGTAAACCCCCACCTGTGGCACTGGCGTAGACCACCCTGGCCAGGGGCAGCTTATTCTGCAGGTCCAGCACGGCCTTGCCCATCTTAGTGGAGCTGGCGTTCTTGGCTTTGTGGCACTCATCAAACACGATCTGGGGTGGGTCAGTTAAGGAAAGTTCCACGAGAGAGATGCCCCGATCCCTGGAAAGTGAAGGCTGTACTTGGTGGCATCTGCCAACCAGGGAGCGGCCCAGCCCCCCGCTGTGTGACAGGGTTTGCTGCCTTCGGGCAGCAGTGGAAGCAGCCTCCGCTCTGGGGTGGCTCAGCAGTAAGCCCCTGCCCACTGTGCCCTAGTCAGGGCTTCGGGCCTTAGCACTGCACAGACACATAAAAAACAGAAACTGCCTGGACGCAGATGCTCACACAGAGGAGCGTGAAGGAGGGGGCCCTGCATCATGGGGGTCTGTGGTGAACCCCACACCTGTACTGTATCAGTCCCAGTTCCTCATGGATGTGGACATTGGGTAGCAGTTAGTACCAACTCAGGGTCTTGATTTCACTGTCTGAAACTACACGGAGACCTAACATAACACCTTTAAAAACACTGAGGAAGAGAACGGAAGATGTTAATATTTTAAGCAGCACCTGTGATCCCCTCATTCTCAAAGGCTGAGGCAGGAGGATCACAAATTTAAGCCTGGCCTGAGCAACTCAGATGACTTATCGAGACTGTCTCAAAATAAAAATTAAGCGGCCGGGTATTTAGCTCAGCGGCACAAGTGCCTGCCTGGCAAGTGCGAAGTTGTGAGTTCGATCCCCTGGAACTGAATAAAAATAAGGCCTCAGTGCCAAGGTCGTAAGTTCAACTGCCACTAAGGTGGTGGAGGGAGAAGGTTAGAGCAGTTAAAAGCTCGAATGTGTTGCAATGCACGCAGCTTGCCAAGAGCGCAAAGCTGGTATTTTCTGTAAGACAGCTGTGCAGAGATGCCGTCTGGGGGCTAGGGATGCAGGAGCAGACCCCACTGGCTCGTTCTTGTTTTGGTTTGGTGTGAACCTGCAGCCTCCAAAGCGCTGGGATTAAGGCAGACGTGCGCCCCTGTGCGGGATGAGACCGGCCGGAAGGCACCCTCTTGGGGGGTGAGGCACACGGGCCACCAGCCTTCCTCTTCCCTGTCCTTGTCTGCGGCTCAGGAAGCACACCCGTCTTGGCCCAGCCCCCACTTCTGGGGATGGGGAGGTGGCAGTGAGGCTATGGGTGACACGGGGCCAGCGTGCAGGCAAGTCACGACGCAGTGAGGGGGCAGAGCCCGAGTGGGGCCCAGGGACAGCACTGCACAGGCCTCGCTGGCCCAGGGCGCCCCCCACCCCGTCCGCAGCATGGAGCACACCTGGGTGCGCGTGCACCTGCTGCAGAGGCTGGGAGCCCTGGCGGGCGGGGACAGCAACAGCCTTGGCAGAGGGATCTGGTGACTCTCCAGCTCTGGGCCGCCGAGATAGGAGGGCTTCACCGGGTAGCCCAGAGTGGAGAACCCAGAGCAAATAGCACCAGGAGCGTAGTGCATGAAAGGCCAGACAGCTACAGTGCGGTAGACACGGCCTGTTTCTTAGAAGTTTAAGAAGAAATGAAGCACGGCCTCTGAGCTTTCTGCCCCAGCAAAGCAACCGCTTGCATGGGTGTCCCCAGAACCCCTGGTCCATGCCCTGGGTGTGGAAACCTGTGCAGTGCAGACTGCAGTGCAGACTCCCAGGCAGTCAGAGCCCCCAGAGCGGACTGGGGAGGGGGGCGGGCCGCACAGGATCAGGAGGGCCAGGGAACCTAGTAACTTAGGCTGGGCCCCTGTGAGACTCCAGCATTGCACAGCCTTGGCCCCGCCCCTCGGCATAACCACGCCCACCAAATTGGCCCCGCCCAGCCACGGATACGACGCCGTCGAAGGCCTCCCCGCACCACTGCAGAATCTGCCGCAGGCGCGTGCGGTGCTGCCCACCGGCCTGGCTCTCCCCGATCAGGGCTGAGTAGGTGGCGAAGAGGACTCCCTCTGAGGTAGTGTTGTCGCCGTATTTGATCTGTGGACGCAGGGCAGGCCTCAGCCTCTCCGTGGGGGGACAGCTGGGCATCCCTGGGCCGCTCCCGCAACCCCTGGCTGCCAGCTCACCTTGCTGAGCGCGTGCACCGCGATGCCCGGGGCCTCGATGTCCCTTAGGTCACGCTCAGCGTCGTACTTGAGGTCATTGGACACGCTGAACCTGGGGGCGGCCACTGGGTCAGGGGTGCCCCCGGCCCCCTCCCTTGCCCAGCTGGGACCCTGCACTCACCACAGGGCCTTCTTCCTGCCGCGCACGTAGTTCTCCACGATGATGCCAGCCACAGTGCGGCCCTTGCCCACGCCGGCCCCATCGCCAATGAGGAAGCCCGCGCGCTGACCACTGGGCAACAGGATCTCATGTTGCTGTGGCCAGAAGGGGCAGTCAGGCCAGGGCTGCCGCTCCCCCGGCCTTGGGCGGGATGGGGCTCGGCTCGGCTCGGCTAGGGTCGGGGCAGTCACCTGGCAGGCATAGGTGATGGCTTCCAGCTGCAAGGCGGACAGGGCCATGCTGTCCGAGGTGGGCCGTGCAAGGGTGTAGGTGATGTCCGGCGGGGGGACGCTGGACAGAGTGCTAGTCTCCACTACGCGGTCCGGATGCTGCTTCCCGATCTTGGCTGGAGAGACAGAGGGCTCCATCAGGGAGTAGGCGGGGCCAGGGGGTCTCTCCAGGGGACCAGGGAGACCATCTGGCTGCTTTTCTCGAGTCTGTGGACCTCAGCTTTGCTGATAGAGGAACTGACCCCCAGGGACTTAGGGACCCCAGCTCTCAATGGGTCTTAGTGGAGGGTGGTCCTGGGGGGGTCTCAGGAGATGTGGAGTCTCCTGGCCAGTAGGGGCCACTCACACTTGGAAGGCACATAGTCAGCATAGGTCTCGGCGTGGCCTAGCTCCTCCGCCTCTTCCTCTTCCTCATCCTCCACCTCATCCTCGGGCTGGCTCTGGGACTGCAGGGCACATTGATCCAGGTGTCAGTCCCATCCTGTGGGGACCTGGCGGCCTGGAGACCCCTGAGGCTTCTATGGGACTGTGGTTTCCCCATCATGGAAAAAGAGGAGCTCCCTACTTCCGGGTACCCAGGCCCTGGCATGCTGGAGGTCCTCAGCTTCTGGGACCCCTCCTGGGCTGCAGGGTACATTGGCCCAGGATAGGCTCACCTGATAGCTGACGAGAAGGGAGGTGCTGGGCAGAGAGGTCACAGGGTCCTCGAGGACTGGGAATGGTCTGCTGGGCAGGAATAGCTGAGGGGTGGGCAGGACATCAGCTGAAGTGGGCAGGTATGCCATATTTTTCTTTTTTTTTGAGACAAGGTCTTACTATGTAGCCCAGGCTGGCATTAAACTTGCCATGACCCTCCTGCCTCAGCCTCCTGAGTAGTGGGATGACCAGTATGCACTACCATACCCGACTATTGCTCGATAATTCTGACAGATAGCAGTGCCCATCCTCAGGTCCAGCTGGAGTGACACAGACAGGATGGACTGGACCTGGCTCTGGAAGCAGTCTGCATGCCACTGGGGCATAGGGGGACACAGAGTCCGTGGGTTGGGCATGCACAGGACCTGAACCCTGCCAACCCCTGAGCAGTGCGGTCATCAATGCACAGAGCACAGTGCTGAGGCCAGGCAGGCCCAGGTCCCACGGTGAGGACACAGGGGTCCCCGGACAGGATCTGGGATTCCAAGCATATATGTTCTTTCAACAAATCTTGGGCATGGCAGAGCTTACCTGTAATCCCAGCCTTCTGAGAGGCTGAGGCAGGACTAAAAATTCAAACCCAGCTTGGGCAGGTTAGAAACTTAGAGGGACCCTGTCTCAAAATAAATGGTGGGAGCAGGGTTAGGGTGTAGCTCAGAGCAAAGGCCCTGAGTTCAGTCCTTAGTACAAACCACAGCCAACCAGAGACAGGAGAGTGGTCCCAAAACAGGACCTGCCCTGGGACCCCTCCAGAGTCCAAGTGGGTTCCCCATAGGAGCTTTTGGAGCCACAGGCTGAGGACCCTGGTGTCTGGCCCTGTGATGACAAGGGTCCCCAGAGGTTCTGTCGAAGGCTGACCAGCTCTCAGGACTCGTTTTTGTCCTCCTTAGGAACCCGGGAGGGATTCTGGGAGCCAGGCCCAGGGAGGTTACAAGTCCCTGCAACCCTCCTGTTCTGGCTTTTTTTTTTTTTTTAAAACAAAATCCAAACAGAGGCGGCAATTCCTGGAAGGCTGAGTCACGTTCCCGGCCAGGCTGGGCAGCTCTGGGCATTGAGTTTCAGATGCCCTTATGCTGCCCAGGATGGACAGCTGGGCTGTGGGCGGGGCTGGCAGTGCCCTACTGGGCCTGGACTTCAAGGTGCATGGGCTTAGTGGTCCCCGAGAAGGTACAGAGGGCGGTGTCAGCACCCAGCGCTCTAGGCAACACCTCCCACACTGAACCCAGCCCCAGCTGCAATCTGTACCTCTGCTGTCCAGGATGGGGGCACTGGGAGCCTCCCCAGGTGAGTCCTTATTGACAGGGGGAGACTGTGTGTCCTCACCCTGCTGGTTCCCCAGATATACTCCCAACGTACACCCCAATTCTTCTTTGGAGAGGTGTGGATGTGGTCCCTTCCTCCCCAATGCTGAAATCAGGTACCTCAGCGAGGTAGGGGATAAACACCTTGTCATACCAGCACTCAGGGAGGCTGAGGCAGGAGGATCTCTGTGAGTTCAGGGCCAGTCTGGGCTACATAGTAAGATCCTGTCTCAAAAAAACAAACCAGAAACCCAAGCCAAAAACAAGGGAACCCGACTGTTCTCTGGGGCATCGCACTGGCACTGAAGGGGTGGGCAGCACCTCTGCTTCTACTAGCTCCATGCCCAGAGCTCTGCCAGCACCCAGCACACAGCTCCCCAAACACTGCACAATGTGTGGGGGCTGGACAGCCTGGGGGAGCATTTATCATCCAAACTGCTTTTACGGCGGGCAGAGGGGAAGTGAGACAGGGTCTCGCTATGTAGCCAGGCCGGCCTTGGACTTGTGTGGCCCTCCTGCCTCAGCCTCCTGAGTGCTGGCATTACAGGCGTGCGTGACCACACTGCCCAGCTCTAAAATGGATATGTGCTCCGCAGGGTGAACCTGATTCTCAGCAGAGAGGGCCATTCAGTAGTTGGGGGCGACATGGACCTCGAGGGACTTGGGACACAGGAACACAGAAGTCTGGGGGCACCTGGGGCGGCTCCGCATGGAACGTCTGCTCACTAACCTTGTCATGGGTGGACGAGGCAGTGCTCACGTCCCAGATGGTGGGCACCTTGGTGAGGCTGTCTGCTGAGAGGAAGTCAGGTGTATCCACGATGTCTGACAGGGAGTCCACCGACGAGGAGAAGATGGAGGTGTTGGACAGGTCCTCAGAGTAGTCCTGCAAGAGAGGCCCTGGTGAGGAGGTGCCCTGTGTGCGGGGTGGGAGGGCAGTAAGCAGCACTGAAGTCTATCCCCATGCTGGAATATTACTCAGCCAAGAAAAGGGGTGGGCCATGCCACTCCCCACAGCACGGACGGACCCTGAAGACGCCATGCCCAGTGAGAAACGCCAGACATGGAGGACACACAGCGTGGGCTCCACAGATGAGAGATCCAGAGACAGGAAGTGGATCTGTGGGTTCTGGTGCTGGGATGGGATGGGGGAGATGGCTCATGGGAACCTCAGAGTCAGTGATGAATGTTTGTTGTGCAGTATGAACACATGGAAATCACTGGGTTACATGCTTTAAACAGATGATCACGTGTACACAAATGATGTCCCACTCAAAAAGGGAAAAAAGCTGGGCTGCTGCTCAGCCACACAGTACCTGCCTGGCAAGTACAAGGCTTCGAGTTTGATTGCCGGCCTGGCCCACTCAAAGGGCAAGTTCTGACTGCCACACCCTCAGCCCAGCCCCAGGGCTATCCCTGCCCTACTGCTCCCCACTGCCAGCCTGGATGTCCCTGGGTCAGCATCCATCCCCAGGCCTCTAGTAGGAAAGTCCCTGGACAGACAGCCAGACAGCCAGACAGCCAGACAGGCCTCGGTGAGGGCTGGGTGGCTGCCAGCAGGCCAGGTGGTGGGATGGGAGGCAGGCAGGGCACCCCACACCATCCTGCAGGCTGAGGAGTGTGTCTCAGGGAAACTGAGGTTCTGTGGTCTGACCCAGGTTGGGGTGCCAGTTATGCCAAGCCCTCCCAGGACTACAAAGGGTGGCCCCACCCCCGAGGGCCCTGCCAGGAACCGTCCCTAGGAGAACTCAGTGCAGTGCCACCCCGGGGGGACCCCAGTCAGAGTGTGGTTCAGGAAGTGGACACGGCTGCCCAGGGAAGATTCTATGGGTGTCACGGACGCTGATGGGACCCAAGCAGATGGCCCAGGACCTTTGCGTCCTCCCCCAAAGTCCAAGGGACACTTTGGACAGCCTCATGGAGGGGTAGCTGAGGCCCGGAATGTCCCAGAGATGGATCCGCCCAGAAGCCTGAGGAGGGGAGATGAGAGATGGGGGCAGGACCAGGGTGCTGGGACTCCGGAGTGCGAGGATGGGACATGGCTGCCCTGGCCCCCGCCAAGGACATCACACCCTGGGCACCTGCAGGGCACCTGACCCTGCAGCTCTCCTGCAGGTCCAGGCAGAGTCCTAGGTGCTGGGGTCCAGCGGGCCCCTGCCCCGCGCTGCCTCCCCTGTCCTTTCTGTTCTCAGGGTGAGCTCACTGTGGTGCTCTACCCTCCCAGAGGCTGGGGTGACAGGTGTGCCCGGCCAAGGTCAAGTAAAGAAGGCCCTGTGGCCAGCTCTCCTGCTCTGTCCCAGGCTCTGTGGGCAGCGTCCCCAGACCACATGTGGTCCGATCCCTGCCCTGAGTGGACACCCCAGGTGCACAAGGCACAGGCCCTCAGCTGTTGAGGTGACAGATGTGAGGCTCTATGGACCCCATAACACCCATCCCCGCCTGCCCTGCATGCAGAGGGGTGGCTGTGAGGGGACCAGCACAGACCCCTTCCCAGCAGCACCTAAGTGACAGTTTGGTGGGTCACACCATGTGGCATTGCAGCTCCCCACCTCTGAGGGTCGCCTCAGGGCCTGTGCTGTGCCCCCGACTGCCTGCTCCCCTGGGGACCCCGACTCTGTCCAGTGCCCATGCTAGCACCCCACCTTTTGCACGCTGCTGCCCCTGCGGCTGCCAAGACCCAGGAGTGGAGGCCGAGGGAAGCGGCCGGCCACACCCAACTGCGCTGGGGCTTGGGGGCCGCAGTGGGTTCCTCAGAGCAAAATGACACCCCCTCCAGCCCTGGAAGCTGAGTCCTGAGGAGCCCCAGCCCCAGACAGGTAATTCTGTCCCCTGCTCTGGCTGGACCCACAGGTGTCCCAAGGAAGATGGGGACCTGTCCCTGCCTGCCCGGGTGGAGTTCTGTCCTGGCCCACGGGGTTCAGCTTTGAATCCCCCCTGCATCCCTGGGGCTGAGAGGCAGGGGATACCACTGTAGGGGGCGCACAAACTGCACTCCCGACAGCCTAGCTACCAGCCTGGCTGCGGAGGACCTATTCCCCTGTGTGCCTGGCTTCACGGCTGTCACCCCAGCCACCAGAGTCCCCTGTTTGCTCCCACCTTGGAAAATCCCCGACGATTCCCTTTGGCTGCCAAAAAAACCAAAACAAAACAAAACAAAAACCAAACCCAGAGGCGGTGCGGGGCTGCAGACAGACCCTGCCCAGCCCCCTGACTGTTGTCCCCAGCTGTCCCTGAGGCGCCTGACCTGTCCTGCGCTCTCCCTGGGGCGGGCCGGTAGGGTTTTGTCCCGGTTACCTTGCTGAGCGCTGCAAACTGCAGCCAGAAGCGCAGCTGGGACATGGTGCCGCCGGGTCCCCCTGCCAGAGCCGCCCCGGGGCGCATGCCTCACGACCGCGGCCACGGCCACGGCGGCATCGTGGGTCCCGGTCGGCAGAGGGGAGGGACGGGAGGCGCTCAGGCCGGCCGCATTTGCATGTGGGGTTAGTCACGGCCTCCGCTGACTTCCTCTAAGGCCCGCTGACTTTCAGGAAATGATGCTCGGCGGCTAAGTCAGGGCGATTCCTGGCAGGGCGCGGAGAATTACCGGACGGGGCGGAATCCAGCCCCAGCCCCAGCGGGCGGGTGGGCAGGCAGGCGGGCGCTGTCAACAACCAGGGCTGCGCCCGTGCAGGGCCAGCCGGGTTCCTCCTGGGGCGCTGCGGGGGGAGGGGTGTGGGGGCTCAGCCTCAGTCCCCCTTTGCCGAGGCTGTGGGCTCTATTCCATCCTGCCCTGGGCCAGGCAGGTGCCAGCTGCAGCTCTGCTGCACCCACCCAGTATGACAGGCATGAGGAGAGTGGGGAAACCGAGGCAGCCCCTTCGCGCCCCGCAAGAGGAGATCGCTACTTATCCCTCGGGTTGCAATTCTGATCCCACCCCCAGTGCTCCCCAGGACACTCTGCTCCTGGGGTTTTAGCTGGGACCAGGCACCGGCCCCTCCCTCTCCCGCCCCAGGTGGCCCTGTTCTTCCCCAGCCCAGGAGGGCAAGGCAAGGCTGGGCCATGCAGGAACCGGCCCCAGGGGAAGGGCGGCTCCTCGGGCAGAAGATCACTGGGAAAGGGCACCAGGCTGGGAACAGCCTGTCCTGCTCAGTGGTAATGCTGGCCCCTGAGCATCACGGTGTCTGTCCTGCCCCTGCTCCAGAGCTGCAGGTGGCCACTTCTGGTGCCCACAGAGAGCTGGGCTGCTGGGGAGACCCAGGCCAGAGGGGGTAATCTCAAAGGGGCGCCCCTAGCAGGAGAGGTGCAGGGCACAGGGGTCCCACAGGGATGGAATCCGCACCCCGTAAGTCCTAAGACCCCGCTGCCAGGCACCGTTCAGGGCCTGGGGAGCAGCTGAAGTAGCCCCTCGACCAGCTGTGTCACCCGGTCTCCAGAATCCCCACACTGGGGTCCCCAGCAGCAGGACAGGCACAGACCTGCCCCTCCCCTGGGGCTACCATGGCTGCCACCCTTTGCTTGAAGCCAGAGTAGGTGACGGTGGACCCAACACGGCAGGGCAGGTAGGGAAGGGCCGCACGAATGGGGAGATGCCACCCCAAATTATGTGAGACACCCAACACAGTGGGCCACAGGGACAGCTGGGGCAGCGCTGCAGTGATGGCTTGGGGAGATGTGGAAGGAAGGGCTGGCAGGCTGGGAGGAATGCGAGAGGGCACAGCTACTGGCATGCAAGAGGGCACAGCTACCGGCGGTTCCTCAAACGGCTAACGTCAGAGTGAACCCTTCACCAGGGAACAAGGCTCCTCTGGGGGCAGCCGCCACTAGCAGGGTGCGCGTCCACATGGATGCTCACCGTAGCACCGAGCACGACAGGCAAAAAGGTGGGACACCACAAGGCCACAAACAGACGGATACACACGCCATGGACCACCGTGCAGCCAGGAAAAGGAGTGAGCGGTGATTCCTGCCAGCCTGGTCAGACCTAGGACACTGCGCTCAGCAGTGCCAGACACAGAAGGACACACGGCATGGCTCCACGGACAGGAAACGCCCAAGGAGGACCCAGAGACAGGAAGTGGACTCGGGTCTGTTGGGGCTGGTGAGGAGATGGGATGGGGACTTGCTTTGGGCTGGCAGAACATTCTGGAACAAGACACAGTAGTGACTGCACAAATCTATGAGTGTGCTTTTTTGTTTGTCTTTCTGAGACACAGCCTCACTGTGCAGCTCAGGCTGGCCTTGAGCTCACAAGGATCCTCCTGCCTCAGCCTCCTGCTGGGATGACAGGCATGTGCCACCTTGCCCTGTGACTGTACTTTAAAAGGATGGATTTGGGGTTGTGTGATTTTGTCCCCACTTCCTGGGAAGCTGCTGAGAACATAGGGCCACAGGTTTTAGAACCAGGTTAACCATGCACGACAGCTGTGACATCTGTTCTGGTCCCCGGACGCCTCCTATCTGGCAGGGCAGCCCCAGGTGCATCCCCAGGAGACAGCACCTGAGATATCAGAGGAAGCAGGGGGTCCTTTGTCCACGGGGCCCATGGCCGCCCACCCTCCACCCCCACTGCCCAGGCTCGCAGGGAGCCACTGGCATCACCTGGAGGACACACACGCCCTAGCCCTAGGGACAGTCAGGGACGGTGGCCACCCTGGGGGTGAGGAGAAGGGCTCTGTGGCACAGGGCTGGAGGACAAGTCCAGCAGTCACTGGCGCACGGCAGCCAGGACGAGGTGATGGGCCAGGCCCCAGGGCCGTCCAGTCACCAACAGGTGGGGTGCAGTTGGCTCTCTCCCCACCCAGCTGCGTTGCTGAGCTGGGCCTCCCTGCTGCCCCCTGGGCTCAGCCCTGCTGCCCAGCCCTGGGATTCCTCCCCCTGCTGCCTGTCACTTCTGTCCCTTGTCCTTCACCGCTAAAAGGCTCTGGCAAGCCTGCCTGCACCTGCTGACATCCCCGTGTCGAACAGAAGACCCGACAGGCTGTGGTTGGTCCCCCCGAAGTGGGGGAAGGGAACAGCACAGCCTCAGGAGACTTCTGAGCTGAGAAAGGTGGCACCCACCTGTCATCTGAGCACTGGGGAAGCTGAGGCGGGAGGATCACTGTGATTTTGAGACCAGCCTTGGCTATCTAGCAAGACTGTCTCAAAAGACAGAAACAAACAATAAAAATAAAAATGAAAAAATAAAGAGGGCTGGAAATGTAGCTCAGTGACCGTCTCGAGCTCAGTTCCCAGTACAGGGAGGAGACACAGCCGAGGCTTCCAGGGAGAACCCGGCGAGCCCCCGCAGCCACAGGAGCGGTGCACGGTGTAGCTGAGCACGAGGGCGCGGCACTCGGGGGCGGGGAGGAGGTGGAGGACTGGGCCTCTGCCTGGCTCAGGGCTCCTGTCCGAGGACCCTGGATCCCAGAAGGCCAAATTAGGCCCTGACCCTGGAGACCTGGAAGCGGGGTGAGGAGGGGCCGCGTCCACAGGGGTCACAGGGTCAGAGAGGCCTTTGTCCAGCACCGGGGTCCTGGTGGGACAGGGGACGCAAAGGAAGGGCGGCTGTAAGCGCGGGGCCGCAGGAGTGCAGGAGGAGGGCACTCTGCCCCCCTCCGCAGGCCAGCAGCGATGCCCCCCAAAGGGCTTCCTGGAAGCAGCTGTCCGGCCCGGCCCTGCCGGGAACGGCAGGGTGCTGGCGGCCAGACCGCTGCTGCCTGCTGCCCGGCACAGCTGAGGGGCAGTCGATGGGGGTGGCGGGTTCCCGGCTCCCTGTGCCCACTGCCAGGCAGAACAGCACCATTCCCGGACAGCTGGATGGACAGACGCCCTCCAGATGTGCTGCAGCCCCGATCAGAAAGGGGCTCTGGGAGCCCTGCAGGCTGCGCTCCCAGCACCAAGGGACAACGGGGGCAGTGTGTGCAAAGCGGGGACCATGCCTGGATGTGAGCAGCCTCGGAGGGTGCTGGGCACTGCGGCAGTGACCCAGGGTGGGGGGCTGTGGCTCAGACCCTTGGGGCATAGCTAGGCGGACCATGGGAGGGCACAGCGGGGCTGGGGAGCCCCGAGAAGTGCGGAACGGCCCTGGGTGAGGGCTCAGGACAGGGCAGGAACAAACCAGGGTGGCAGAGGGAGGAGGACGGTCAGCACGGGAGCCACTGTCACGCCCAGCCTCGAGCCTCATGTGTTCCCGAAAGCACCCTCAATAAGACCCAGCCACACGGGCAGCAGCAGCCCTCTTGGAAGCCCGTCCCCTTCACCACCCCGTGACACCCTGCACGGGAGCACGAACACCTGCTGTTCCCCAGGCAGCAGGAGCAGCAGCCCGGGTCAGTGACGGCGCCAAGTCCACCAATGGGTGGACACACAAGGAGGTTCAGCAACACCCTGGGCGTCACTCAGCCAGGACAGGCATGCAGCTGTGACACTCCACGGCATTGACAGATCCTGAGGACGCCGTGCACAGAGAGAGATGCCAGACACAAAGGACGCACAGTGTGGGCCCTATGGACAGGAAATGCTCAGGACAGACGAGGCCAGGTACAGGAGGTGGCCTGGTGTCAGGCTGCAGGGGTCAGTGAGCACTCATGGGGATGGCGCTGGTGGAATGATGGTCATGTTCTAGGGTCAGTCCGATGGCCATGCAGCTCGGCTATTTTGTGAGGCACCCAGAGCCATGCACTTTGAGATGGTGGCTTTGCTGTTACATGACTCACATCTTAGTTCAAAAAGGAAAGGAAAATACAAAATAAAACAATAAAAAATTCAAAAAAAATGGAAGCAGAACCTCGCGCCCAGGGCTGCCCACGCACCTGCAGCCCGGGGATGGGCAACCCCGGGGGGCCGCTGAGCTGTTCCAGGTCACTGACCGGGGATGGCAGAGCCTGGCGGCTTCCTGTGGCCCCGGAGACAGAGGTTTATGGGGCGCGCAGGGCCCTCCCTCGGAGAGGCGGGTTGGTGCTTCAGGGCCAGGGCCAGCAGAGGAGGGCACGGGGCCATCCCGGCAGATGCAGAGGGAAGAAGGCTCCGGGGTGGCCACACGGGCTCAGGCAGGGCAGCCGGGGCGACGGTGAGCGACTGTGCCTACGTCCCCCATGTGAAAGATAAACACCTGTGAGCGGCCTGGCGGGGACGGGGCCAAGACCTACGGAACGGGCAGGAGGACGGCTGGCCCTGCATAGCGCCCGCTACCTTCGGCAGGAGGATGCGGAAGCCGGCAGTGACACCCAGTAGGACCCACAGTGGAGAAGGTGCCACCCCAGCACTTGGGAGGACGAGGCAGGAGGATGGCTGTGAGTTCGAGGCCAGCCTGGGCTACACAACGAGACCCTGTCTCAAATGGGTATATCAGCAAAAGGGTCTGCTGTGGAGCCCTGACCCCAGATGACCAGGGCATCACTGGCCACGGCCTGCTGCCTGGGAGCGGGGAAATCGGTCACTGCACAGTAGAGGAGCCTAGCCGAGCGGTCAGAGGCATCCTCAGCAGGGGAGCAACACAGTCCTGGAAGAGGACATGACACCCTTCCTGCAGGACACCTGAGGGCGGCAGGACGGGAGTCATCATCAGAGCCCACCAGGGGGACCCACCAGGGATACCCTGGACCTGGGCAGCCAGCTCCTACAGAGGTCATCGGCGGGGAGCACCCGGTGCCCGCGGGCTCGCACAGCGGTGGCAGCGGACTGCAGCTCCGGACAGTGGGCGGGACCTGGGACTCCAGCTTCCGCATCTCCTCTACAAACCCAAACCGCCTCCGCCGGGCACCGTGACGGTCCTCGTCGTCCAGGAGGATTGCTGCCAATTCAGCCAGCTCAGTGATTTGGCCTTTTCTGTTGTTCTTTTGGGTGTTTTTGGCTTTTTCTGTTGTTCTTTTGGGTGTTTTGTTTTGTTGTGTGTGTATCTGCTGTGTTTTTTGTTGTTTGTTTTGGTACTGAGCCTCAAACCCAGGGCCTCTACCACTGAGCTATATCTCCAGCTGCTTTTAAAATTTTGAGACAGGCTCTTGTAAGTTTGCCCAGGTGGAACCCCCAATGTGCAATACTCCTGCCTCAGCCTCCCTCAGTACTGGGGTTACACGTACGAGCCTCGAGGCCTGGCTAAAGCATCATTCTTTTCCTCCAGAAACCCTTCTGTGTATCGTGCTCTCCAGAACGGGCACCACTGGCCCAGTCATACCCACAGCAGGGCTGGGACTCGGAACTGGCCTCTGATCCCCAGTTGGGAAACTCTCACCCATCTGTGGAGCCCCCCCAGGCAGAAGCCTGGTCAGCACCTACTCATTGGTTTCATCTTTCTTTGCAGGGCCAAGTGGGGGCCTCACTGAGGGGCTCACAGCTCTGTGATTCAGCCCAGGGGATAAGACATGGACACTGAAACTAAGACCAACCACAGGGCTGGAGTTGGGGACAGGGGCTTGGGCTCTGGGGGAAATCAGGAAGGCTCAGCAGATGGTTTGGTTTTCTCCCTCTGGGCAGAAAGAGCCAGCTGGGCCACCTTCTTTCTCTTTTTTTTTATGCTGCTGAGAGACTCGGGGCAATGTCAATGAAAGCCTGGGGGCCTGAAGCTCGCCTCACTCCCGGAAGAGCAACGCAGGGTTTCCCAGTCTGGAGCCTTCCAAGTTATACAGCAGCCGGAAGCGGTTCTGACCAGGCAGGACGTGCCCGGCCACGGAACGGCTCCCTGTCCTGTTTGGGTGCTGCTTGAAGCCGTGCAGTTGCTTCCGCCGGGTCTGAGGTGATGTCTATGCTCCCCATGGAGTGGCAGGGCTGCACCCGGGGCTGCCAGGTCACCCCCCCACCTCAGAGCCAGCTGCGAAGGGCCCTCCGCCTCCCCCTTCTCCCCACCAAGGTCCTGGGGCTGCACAGGGCCTGCCCCTGCTGCTTTGGCTGTGAGGCGGGGTCTTGCTGTCACTGAACTGCTGGGCTGGGGGCTTGCGCCCCAGAGCTGGCCTGTGGGTGACCCCACAACGCCCGTCCCTGTGGCGGCCCCTCTCCCTGCCTGCTGCCCGGTGCGCCCTGCAATGCCGGGTCCCCAGATGAGAGCCGCTGCCCTTACCTGAGGGAAGTCGCTGCCCTTGGACAGGAAGCTGGGGGCGGAGGAGGCCGCGGCCCCGTAGCTGGTATTGGTGCAGGGCTGGCTGTCCAGGAAGGAGGTCGGGCTCGCGTACACACTGGGGGGAGACGGAGCAGTGACAGCTGGGCATGGCAGGGACGCGGGGGCGGCGCCCAATGCACACGGAGCCCCACTTTCATCCTGGGCCCCTCCGCCCTGCGCAGCCTCGACTGTCCCCGCCACAGGCTGGGCCAAGGGCTTCCCTCTCTTCCCACAGCCAGCTCGGCCTTGCTGTGCAGAGTCCCAAAGTCATCACTGGGAGCCCCAGCCCGAAAGGCGTGGGCTGGGGTCCCTTTGCCCCAGCCACCTAGGCTCAGCTTCATACATGGAGAGGCCAGGGGGAGGGGACAGTACCCTTTGGGGCCTTCAGCAGGCCCAGCTCCCAAGCTTTCGGGCTGTCATGGTCCAGGAAGGTCACACCCCTCCCCTCACTGGAGGACATTTCCAGCCCCCCACTCCAGTCTTCTAGAACCCCCTCTTGGCTCTGCCTGCAATGTTGGCAGGCTGTTTGCACAGGCTGCTGCTTCTGCCTGTGATTTCCCTGCTAGGAGTGTTCTCCCCCAGAAAACTCCTACACATCCATCAAAACCCAGTTCAATTGCTGCCTTGTACAGGAGAGACGTCTTCTGGTTTCTCTGTGGAAACACTTACTGGCTGTCACTGGAGAAGCCTGGGTACGATGGTATGGCCGGGTACGATGGTGTGGAGAAGCTGCTCCACCAAGGGCAGTGCAAGAGACCATTCTGGAACACAGGAGAATGGTGTCAGGATGGGCCAGTGAGGACATAGCCCTGGGAAAAGGAAGAGCTGCGGAGAAGAAGAGGTCTGCAAGGCCCGGGGGTGGGGTGGGGGAGTCGCAGGACCCTGAGGTGCCTCCTCTCCTGGTCTGGAGCAGGACCCCCAGGGCTGGCCTGGAATGCACACTTCTGAGGGTACCCTGACCTCCAGAGGAGAGGCCTCGGCAGCCTCACTGGCCATTGGGGGAGCACCCTAACCCAGGGTGGGGTGACCTGCGCTTTGGCTCTATTTGTTTTTGTTTTTGCCGTGCTGGGGGTGGCAGCCAGCAACTCTGCACTGAGCTACGCCCTCACCTCCTTTTCCAATTTCCTTTTGTTTTGTTTGTTGTCTGTGTGTGTGTGTGTGTGTGTGTGTGTGTGTGTTTCTTTTTTATCGGTACCGGGGATTAAACTCACGACCACACACTTGCAAGGCAGGCGCTTATGCCACTAAGCTATATCCCCAACCCCCTATTTCTTGTCTTTTTGAGACAGGCTCTCGCTATGTATGCAGTGTGGGCTGGCCCTGAGCTCACTTCGCAGGCCTGCTGGCCTGATCTCTGGTCCCCAGCCCCCTCGGCCTCCTGTGTAAACCACGGGGTCACAGGGGTCACAGAGCAGCTTGGGAAAGACGTCGACATCACTGAAAGCAGGAAAACCCAGACTCTAACCGCAGCAAGCACACAGGCTGCCACCCTTGGAAAGGCCGAAGTAACAATCCCGACACTACCAAGTGCTGGTGAAAATGCAGAAAACTCAGTCACTGACATGCTGCGGAGAGGAATGGAAAGTGTTACAGTCCCTGTGGAGAGCGGTTTGGCAGTTTTACCAGGCCTGGCATGGTGATACACACCCGTCACTCCAGCATTCAAAAGGCTGAGGCAGGAGGACTGCTGCAAGTTCAAAGCCAATCTAGACTACATAGTAAGTTCGAACTATATGATGAGACTCTGTCTCCAAACAAAATCCCACAAAACAAAACAAAGCAAATCCCAAAAACCTGTAACACTGGGGAGGCTGAGGCAGGAGGATCACTGGGAATTGGAGGCCAGACTGGGCTACATAATGAGTTCAAAATTAGCCTGAGTTGGGCATGGTGACCATGACTGTAATTCCTGCATTCGGGAGGCTGAGGCAGGAGGATCGTTGTGAGTTCGAGACCAGCCTGGGTTACAGAGAGTGAGCTCAAGGCCAGCCTGGACTGCACAGCAAGACCCTGTCTCAAAAACACAAAAACAGGGGCTGGGGATTTAGCACAGCGGTATAAGCGCCTGCCTTGCAAGCAGGCAGTCGTGGGTTCGATTTCCGGTACCGATAAAAAGGAAAAACACACACACACACACACAAGCAAACAAACAAAATCCAAATCCAAAAACTTTTTGAAGTCAGGTAATACTGCAAATGGAGAATTCCCCATGACTTCACATGTCAGGTCCCAGACAGAGAAAAAGATTCTATGAAATGATCTCCAGGTTGAGGGCTGGGATTTAGCTCAGTGGCATAAGCGCCTGCCTTGCAAGCAGGCAGTCGTGAGTTCGATCCCTGGTACCGATAAAAAACTTAAAAAAAAAAAAAAAAAAAAGAGCTGATCCCCAGGCCACATGCACAGATATACCTGACACACAAGGCACCTGGATCCCACCCCGGGGCACCGAGTTTCCTATACATGACAGTATTCTGAAATCTGAGAAAGCCTGAACCTCAACCTCTCTGGCCACAGCACTGTAACAGGGGGGTTGTGGCTTGGTACACACAGAAGCCGCTGGGCCTCCAGGGACAGCGCCGGAGACTGGAGCCCACTGGAAAGGGCCATACTGCTGCGATCCACCTCTACACCATTCTGGAAACAACGCGGTTTAAATTTGTGCTCTATTTTATTTTCAGCAGTTAAAGCTTTTTATTTTGGCCAGGATTGGTCCCACCCTCCTCTCATCCCAGCACTGGAGACGCTGAGGCAGGAGGATCGCCATAAGTTTCAAGCCAGCCTGGGCTACGTAGTGAGATCAAGCTGCAAAAAGCCAAAACACAAAACAAAACAAAAGAAGGGGCATCTTACGGAACCCTTGGGGTAACAGCAACACCCTCTACCTTAGCTGTGTCAAGGACAGCACCCTGAGCTGGGGTTCTGTGTCACCTCTTGTGTAAGAAGCAGCAGGCAGCAAGGTGTGACGGGGAACTCTGCATTCTCATGACTGTATGCGAATCTACAATAATCTCAGCATAAAAAGCTGGTGTGTGTGTTTGTCTTTCTGAGACAGCGTCTCACTATGCAGTTTAGGCTGGCCTGGAGCTCAATTTGGAGGTCTCGAACTCACAGTGATCCTCCTGCCTCAGCCTCCCAAGTGCTGGGACTACAGGCATGCGCTACCATGCCTAGCCAAAATAAAAAGTTTAACTGAAAACAAAATAAAGCACGAATTATTGAGGGACACAGGGAACACCTAAGGTCAAGGCAGGAGGACCACAGGGAGGGTCCCCTGGCACACCTGCCGGGCACGGTCTCCAAGAAGCCCCCAGGGCAGGCCTAGGAGGTGGGAGTTCAGGGACAGACAAAGCTGGACTGCCCAACCTCCTCCCTTGGTCTGGACCTCTGCTGGGGCTGCCAATCAGGGGCACTCAAGTTCCCTCCAATAGGAAAACAGGGCACAGCAGCCAATCAGAGCTTCCCACTCATAGCCAAAGGGGTGACTCCAAGGTGAGACAGCAGGCCTGAGGACGTGATTGGTCCAGAGATGGGCAGCCGGCCTTGGCTGGCCAATGAGAATCCACTGGCAAGCAGAGGGGGCGGTGCCTTACTTAGGGGACGAGGTCTGGACACAGGCACTGGCCCCAGTCATGGAGTCCATCCAGATACCTGTGATTTCCCCCTGAGGCAGAGGCTGTCCTCTGAGCAGCACAAAATGCCTACTCAGTCATCTGGGAGGCTGAGGCAGGAAGATGACAAGTTCAAGGCCAGCCCGGAGAACTCAGCAAGATAGCAAGATCATGGCTCAGGAAAACAAAAAGGCCAGGTGTGGTGGTGCACACATGTAACCCCAGCACTGGAGAGGCTGAGGCAGGAGGATCATCGTGAGTTCAGCCGGCTTGGGCCACATGAGCAAGTTCAAAGTCAGCCTCACGGACAATGTGAGACCTTGTCTCAAAAAAGGACAAAAAAAAAAAAAAGGGTACAGGGTCCCTGGCCGGTCTGTGGTGTGCCACACAGCCCAAAATTGGAGAACCTCCTGCAGGAGCCGATGCCAGAGGAGCCTCAGGGAATCGAGGCCTCCCTTCTTTCCTCGAGCTTGTATTTTTGTTTTGTTTTGTTTTTTTTTATCGGTACTGGGGATTGAACTCACAACTACACGCTTGCATGGCAGGCGCTTATGCCTCTGAGCTAAATCCCCAGCCCCTGGAGCTTGTTTTGTTTGTTTTTCTGGTTTTAGGGGATCGAACTCACAACCTCACACTTGCCAGGCCTGCACTGTGCTGCTGAGCTATATCCCTGGCTGGGTTTGCTTGTTTGAGAAAGGGTCTTCTTACATAGCCCAGGCTGTCCTTGAACTCACTGTGTAGCCCGGGGTGGCCTCCAACTCAAAGCAGCCCTCCTGCTCAGCCTCCCGAGGGCTGGGATTACAGCCTGCACCTTCACACCTGGGTAACCCAGCCGCGCCTGCTCAGTGCCTGTCTCACAAGTGGCTGTGGAGCTGGGTCCCCTCCTCAGCGGCTGCCAGCCCTCCTCCTGACCCAGGACTGCCATTTGGGAAACACCCCCGGGGACTAAACACGGGGGAGAGGAGAACAGAGCGCTATTTATAGCGGAGGAGAACTGGACTCTCCCCAGAGGCTGTGGTGGGGAAATAATTAAACACTCCAGCTGCGGACCAGGGAGGAACCGTCCAAGGATGAGGGGAGCTGGGGCAGGACGGGAGGTCAGAGAGGAGCCGGACACAGCCAAGCTGAACCGTGCCACGGCCCTGGACGCCGGCCAGGGCCTCGAGCTCCTGTTCCCCAAGGTTTGTGAGACGCCCATCCCCTTCCAGACTCTGCGGGTTGGGGTCTCCCAGCTCCACAGCTTAGGGACCCTGGCAGAGGGGCCGGGCGGCAGGGGGGTGGGGGGCAGGAGGAAGTGGCCGATGCTGCACCCGGGGCGTCCAGCAGGGAGCAGCCACGCTTGGCACCCGCTCCTGCACCACAGTGCCCGCCAGCCGACTGCCCTATCCCCCTGTCCCTGCTGCCCAGGGAAGGCAGGTCCCGAGCCCTCCTCCTCATGGGCCGCTGTGACAGGAGGGGGCCGGGCTCCGACCTCTAGGAGTTTGGTGACTTGTGACACTGTACTCAGTCCTGGGAACTCGGAAGAAGGGGTGGGGGTGCGGCTCACTGGAGGCGCGTGATTGGCACGCGTGAGGCCCAGGTTCCATCACCACCACCACTGCAGCCAACAACTCACAGATCACAGCACTCTGGGAGGCTGAGGCAGGCAGATAGCTTCACACTCAAGGCCAGCCTGGGCTACACAGTGACCACAAGGCCAGCTTGGGCTGGATACTGACATCCTGTCTCAAAAAGCCTAAGTAAATGATTAATAAATCAATTAACAAGGGCTGGGGATGTAGCTTAGTGCGAAGGTCCTGGATCCCACCCCAGGATGCTACCCCCCCCCCCCCGAAAAAGACACGAGCTCTAAGCTACAAAATGGAAGAAGCTTGGACACACATTAGTGACAACGGCCCACCTGCACAGGCTGTGGGGCTGCCTAATTCCAGTTGCGGCTCTGGGGAGAGAACCCGGGTACCAGAAAGATCTGTAGGTGCCAGGGGTGGGCGAGAAGACAGAATGGGGAGGATTTCAGGGCCCCCATGCGCCCCACAGCATCAAAACCCAGTCCGTGCTGAACACCAGGACCAGACCTGGAGCAAACTTGGCCTTGTTAACGAGGAGGTTGCGTCGCTGTGGGTAAATTAGTTGGACCGGCTGTGACCCAGGCTGTGGCGCAAGGAGGGGAGGCAGGAGGACAAGGGGAGCGCGGCTTTTCTGTGGGCCAAACGTGGCCTCAGAAATACTCCGCAGCGAGGTAACACGCGCCTGTGATCCCAGAACTTGGAGAGGCTGAGGCAGGAAGATCCCAGGTTTACACGCAGCCTGAGCAATTTAGAAACCAGCGAGACCTTGTCTTGAAATAAAACAAACCAACAGGCCAGGGATTTAGCTCAGCAGGCAGAAGCACTTGCCTGGCAAGCACTAGGTCCTGAGTTCAATCCCTGGTACCTAAAACAAACCAACAAATAAATGAAACTGAGTATGTAACTCAGTGTCAAGGCCCAGCGCCAGCAAAAAGTCAGCTACACTGAAGGTTTTCTTAAGTTTGTTTTGTTCTGGTGGCCCTGGGGATTGAGCCACCCAGCAAACCCCGAGCTGCACCTTCAGACTTTTTATGTATTTTATTTTGAGATACGCTCTTCTCTTGTTAAGTTGCCCGGGCTGGGCATGAACTTGCCACGCTCCTGCATCAGCCTCCACCATAGCTGGGGTCACAAGCCTGTGTCACCATGTCGGAAAGAAAAATACATTTTCAGTGCTCTACTCTGACCGCCCCCCAAAGTCCACTGGAGCAGGCAAGGTCAAGGTCGTGGTCAGGTTCTTCAGGGCAGTGTCCTCCGTAGAGGCCAACTTCCCAGCAGGGCGTTACCGCAGGGCGCAGGGCTCGGGGCCCGTTGGGCACTCACCTGCAGCGGGGGCGGGCTGTACAGGACGCCGGCGGGGGGGCGCTCGTGCTGTGGGTACTCCCCGTCCATGGCAAGCCCCACTGCAGGCATCAGGAGCGTCTATCTGGGCTTGGGGTTCCGTGCTGGTGGCGGCACTGGGGGTGGCATCATGCCCTGCAGGGAGAGACGTGGGTGTCTGAGGGCGTCCCTCCTGACCCACAGGCCCTGGGCCCCGTTCTGGTGCCCACGACTCCCTCCCTGCCTCTCGGCTCCGTGCTGGCCATGCAGGTGAACGTGACGTCGGGAGGGAAGGAGGCCCTGGAGCGGCGGCAGTGTCCGGCTGGCTGACCTTGGGCTCTGCCCGCCGAGGCCCAGAGGGAGGGTCCCTGAGCAGTGTCCCAGGGCGCGGGGGGGCTGGGCCGAGCCAGGCGCAGCTGGAACCCGTTTTGGGTTGGGGCTCACACTGTGCCCACTGGGACTGACAGCATCCTGCCTGGAGGCCTTACCAGCTGCAGCCCACACATGGCTGGATTCCCGTGGGTGACTTCGGACCCCGCCGGATCCCTGAGGCCCCGCCAGCCCTCCAGCCTCACCCCACGGCCCCTAGCTCTGGGGTCTGTGGGTGGCGGGCAGGCATGTGGGGAGGGCGGTGGCCGGGACATTAATCACTGTGACAGCAGGAAGGGGAGGTGCGGCCACCGCTCCCGGCCAAGCCCTGGAGTGTGGAAATCCTCGGGACTTCCAGTAATCACCGCACAGCCACACTCATGGGTGCTTGTGCAACCCCGGGGGAGGGGACAGCAGGCAGGAGCCTGGGGCCAGGCGCCTGCTGTGCTCTGCCCCATCCCCACCGCCAGCTGGGACCCCACAGGCCCAGAGCCCACAGCAGCAGTGCCTACGCTACCCTGCCCTGCCTTGGGGTCTCGGCCACCTCTCACTAACAGTCACACCCCACAGGACACCCTGCTAACACCTGAGCAAATGGGCTGATGGGACTGAAGGGGCAAGGCTCCTGGGGTGCAGCCCCTTCCTGCAGCACGGGGACTTCTCCAGCAAGTGCACCTCTCCAGCAAGTGCATGGGCCCCCGGGGACAGCCAGCCAGGAAACACCCCCCAGCAGGCCCCTCCCCACAGCCAGCCCTGTGCTGCTGACTTGGAAAGTGACACCCCACTCTGAAGGGGACAGCTGGGTGTGCTCCAGTGACCCCGGGGCGGTCCCGAGAGGGACCCCACTCGGCCTTGAGCCCACCCGTGCTAGGACTGTGCATCTGGCGGCTCTGAGCCCTACCCCATAGGGCCCCTGTCAGCAGCTCCAACAGCTCAGGCCCCAAAGTGGCAGGTGAGGACAGGGTGTCACCTGAGACCCTGCACAGGGTGCTCACAGTGACGCATGGGTGACGGCCAAATGGTGGACACGGCCCAGGCGCCCACAGAGGGACACACACAGGGGGCTTCAGTCACATGCTGGAATATTACTCTTCCAGGAAAAGCGTGTGCAATCCCAGAGTGTGAATGCACACAGAGGATGCGTCAGTGAGAGACGCCAGACACAGAGGACACAGCACGGCTCCGTGGACAGGAAATGTCCAGCACAGGCGATGCCAGACAGGAAGTGGCCTTGGGTTGCATTCCATGTCCCTTCCAGAGCAGCTGGGCTGCCCTCTCCTGGCCTCCGACCCCCAGGGCTCCCTGCTCTGCACTGCTCCGGGCACCCGGGTGCCCTCTGCTCAGCTCCACCTGCCACGGAGCCCTCAGGCCTCACCCACCGCCCCTGCTCTGAGGTCTGTGCTCCCTGGGTCCCTTTCCTGCAGACCTCTTGGTGCCCAAAGCCACGCTATATCCAGGGGGCCACTCTGCTGGGCCCAGAATGAGCCTGGTATGACAGCAGCCTGGGTGGTGGTGTGTGAAGTGTGACCCAGGCCCGCAGTCCCCTGTTGCCTATTTTTAGGTGTCCCTGGCTAGCTGTGGCACAGGCTGGTCACTGAGTCTCCGCCAAGAGAATGGGCCACACTTCACAGTCTCAGCTGACATCGAAGGCATGGCAGCTTCCGATGCACAGAAGCTCTGAGGTGACTCATCCAGTGGGAAGGGACAGTTGCAGGCCACAGCAAGGTGCTGAGACCGTGCATGGGCGGGCAGGGCCCCAGGGGAGACCAGGCCCTGGAAAGGGTCCCAGGACATGCCTGCCACCTGCCAGGCCTCAGCACAGGGCCACATGCTCAGGATAAGCGCAGTCAGCTCGGCCTCCCAGGTACACACACCTTGCCCAGGCAGGGTCTCTGCCAGGACCAGGGCTGGGCAGGAGGCAGCTTCCCAATGCGGGGAGCCCCTGTGGCCCCCTTCTCCAGCCCCAGATGGGCACCACAGCCCCCTTCTTTCTCCTCCTCCCTGCCTTCCTCCTGCGTCCTGGGGACTGAACCCAGGGCCTCTGGACTGAGCTATGGCCCCTGGCTTTTTACTTTAGCTTTCATTCTTCCTGTCTCCTTCCTTGTTTTTATTTATTTATTTTGAGGACAGGGTCTTGCTAATAATTCAAGACTGACCTTAACCTCACTAGGTACCTCACTGTGACAGGCTACCATGCCTGGCTTGGAGCCAATCATATGGTGCAACAGTGTCCTTTCACCTGCTGTGGCTCCTGCCTCAGCCCCCCAAGTGCTGGGATTACAGGCGTGGGCCACCATGCCCGGTTTTGTTTTTTTTTAATCGGCACCAGGGATTGAACTCACAACAGTGCGCTTGCAAGGCAGGTGCTTGTGCTGCTGAGCTAAATCCCCAGCCCCCCTGGTTTTAATTATTTTGAGACACAGTCTTGTAAAGTTGTCCAGGCTGGGCACAACCTTGCGATCCTCCTGCCTCAGCCTCCAACGCACTTCCCTGGTATTACACGCCTGTACCACCACATCTGGCCCTTTCTTCCTCTGGTGCTGGGGATGGCCCTGGAAAGTGCCTGTCACTGAGTCATGCTCCGCACTCCTGTCCTGGCACCGGCAGGGACAGAGGCCCTGGGACTCCGAGGACCCTTCCAGACCACGTTCCACAGCATAAGCCCCAGTGGGCAGAGCAGCTGCAGTGACAGGTGTGCAGAGTCTGCTGTGTGGACCTTGGGGACCTCAGGGCCTGGAGGTCACCCCTGGGCCACGAATTCCCTTCTCTATGGTCCCCACCAGCGGGCGTCAGGTGGCCAACATCCTGGGATCCACCTGAGAAGTTCCCGGGGAGCCACACAGCTGGGCAAGATGCCGCAGGCCTGGGGATGCAGGGCAGGTACAGCCTGCACTGTTCGACAGGGAAGGGACACCTCAGGCCTCAGCGTGCCCTGTCTTGTGGGAAGAGCCCTGCTGTCCCTCCACAAAGAGATAGGGGTCAAGGAGGCCCCCTCAGTGCATCCTGGACTCCCATGAGGGCCCGCGGCCTGGGGCCCACCTGGCAAGGCTCTGCCCCCAGCACGGGACACAAACTCAGGCTGTCATGAGAGCTTCAGCCCCCAGGCTGGGCGGAGAGGAGGGGCTGAGGCTGGTGGAACGGGCTGAGATAGGTTGGCAAGGGTCAGGAGCACCCTTTCCTGGCAGATGGCAGCCACCAGACCTGACTATGGCAGCTGTGGCTCCAGGCCCAGTGGCTTTGCCCTGCCCAGCTGGGAGGCCCCCCCATCCTCCTGGTCCCACATCTCACCCAGGTGCCTATGACCCCAGGTCAGCCACAGCATCCAGCTTGGGGTCCCAGAACTCACTGCTGGGTTCCTAAAGGACAACAGCACCGCCCCACGCAGTCACCAGGCTGGGCTTTAATTTGAGATCCTTTGCCTCGTCCTGCCATGACTGGCTCCAGAGATCTGCGGTGGCTTTAACAGATGAAGCCACTGGAACAGTTGCATGTGTTCCTGTGATTTGCTAGGTGGACCAGCGCCCCCGGGGGGCAGGACAGATGGGGGACAGGACAGACGGCGGTCAGGAGGGATCCTTCCAGAAAGCTTAGGAGCACAGTCCTCAAAATACAGCCCCCGGGCAGGTCCCATCTGCCGAGACCAGGGCACAGCCAGGTGTTGAGGCTACAGCGGGCGGTCGGACACGGTCACACGATACGTAAGGCTGCAAGCCAGGCATGGTGGCCCGTCATCGGGCACTATCGGGGACTGAGGCAGGAGGATCGAAGGTTCTAATACAAGCTAGGTGACTCTGATTTAGCCAGAGCCTGCCTCAAATAAAGAGTAGCACAGGCTGGGAAGGGAGCCTGGCTTCCACCCGCAGGACAGAAGGAAAAAGAGTTCTCAAGTTCGTAGGGGCTGAGGGTTTAGCTCAGCGGCATAAGCACCTGCCTTGCACAAGCAGGCAGTAGTGAGTTCAATCCCTGGTACCGATAAAAACGAAAAAGACCAAAAAAAAAAAAAGAGTTCTCAAGTTCATTGCCAAGCTCACCTGGGGGCGGTTCATGAGTGATCAGGAAACGGCCACACCTCGCCTCAGGGTAAAACCCTACCACTCTCCTCCTGCAAGGCCTGGGGACAGCCTGCGGGGGACCAGGGGCACCCTGCGGGCACACTCCCTGTTAGCTCCCCTGCATTAGCTGGCTGCGCTGGGCTGGGCTGGGCTGGACTGAACAAACGTGGCCGTCCTGTCCCAACACCAGGCCAGGCTCACACTGCTGGCCAGCGGCTCCCTCACCCTGCCCCCTGCAGTGGAGTCCTGCAGGGGTACGGTATGGGGGCTGGGCCCCCCGGGTGGCCCTTCTAAACAGCTCTTTCTGCTTGTTCCCCTGGGGAACTGGAGATTAAACCCAAGGCTTCTGCACTAAGCTGCAGCCCCCACCTTTTTTTAAAGTGTTAAGACAGGGTCTTGCAAAATTGTTCAGGCTGGGGCTCAAATGTGCCAACCTCCTGCCTCCGTCTCTGGGGGTGCTGTGATGACAGGCCCGTGCCACTACACGCGGGCTCCTCTCTGCGGAGCTGTAGATAGAATGCAGGGCTCTGTGCTGCTAGGTGAGTGCTCCCCACAGAACTGCACCCCAGCCCTCTTCCTTCTGAGCCACACCGAGCATGACAGAAGCTGGGTGCAGAGGTGCACACCTACAATCCCAGCACTGAGAAAGCTGACGCAGAGTGGCTACCACAAGTTCTAGGACAGCCCAAACTATGTAGAGCTCAAGGTCAACCCGGACTACAAATTAGACCCTGTCTCAAAAAAAAAAAGTAAAAGGAAAGAAATCTCAGCACTCAGGAGGCTGAGGCAGGAGGATCACTTCAAGATCAAAGCTAACCTGTCTCAAAAACAACACAACATCAAATATGAACTAAAAAACAACACACCATACGTAATATCCCTTTTTGGTACCAGGGATCGAACTCACGACTGCGCACTTGCAAAGCAGGCACTTATACCGCTGAGCTAAATCCCCAGCCCCCATATGTAATATTCTTGAGGCTCTAGCTTCACCCCTGGCATGCTGAACCCTGTGGTGCGGGCCTTTAGTCTTGGCCACTGGGGAGGCTGAAACAGGAGGCTCCCTACGTGGGGTATAGCTCAGTGTCAAAGCAATGGGTTCCGTCCTCCACGCCTCCTCCCCAGAGTCTGAAATCCTGCAGCTCCCGCCTGCCTCTAACCCTGGGGTCCAGCATTTCACTGTCCTGTGTGTCCCGGGGCCGCCCATGTAGGACAGGCCCTGGGACAGGGAGCTGGCAGTAAAGCTACTGCATCCCTGTGCACTGACTCGACAGCCACAAGGTCCCCCGGCAGGTGAGTGCAGCAAGGTCTCCAGGCCACACTGTCCCGCCTGCCGAGCCTCCACCCCGCACATGGCCAGCCGAGCCCAGGTCCCAGCTTCCCCGGCTTCTCCAGCCCGGCCTCTCCAGCCCGGCCAGGGCTGACGCACACTGTGTGACCCGCCCATCTCCAATCCTGAGGGATCCCAAGCTCACCCCCGAGCTGGATGAGACAGTCAGGGAATCTGTTGGGAGCCACCACATTGCCGAGCCGCCGCATATAGCGATCATGCGGCCTGTGGTAAAGAGTAAAGCCTGAGTTAGATTACCCCTCCCATCGAGCACGTTAGTTTCCTGCTTACCGCGTAAACAACCCGCTCAATAATATGTTAGCCAATCAGCTTGCCTTGCTTACTTTAACATGATTGGACACTGTATCCGTATATATACTGGTGCCACCCCTGGGGGGAAGTAGAAGCCCGGAAGGAGCTGCGGAGAGCGGACCGGTAGAGGCTTCGGAGCGAAGCCCGAAAGGAGCCGCGGAGAGCGGACCGGTAGAGGCTTCGGAGCGAAGCACGGAAGGAGCCGCGGGGAGCGGACCAGAGGAGGCTTCGGCTGGGAGCGATCCCAGGGCAGGCTGTACGGAGAGAAAATAAAAGAAAAGGTTGTCCACTGCCAGACTTTGTCGTGTGTCCTTCCTGCCGGCCGGGAGCGACATCGACAGGAATCAACCAGGTTGGGGCCACTCTGACCCTCACCATGCCATCCCAGGGTTCCTCGACACCGGGTGAGCCAGAGGCCCAGGACGGGACCCCAGATCTGCCCAACCCTACCAGCACCCTCCATCCATCCTGGCGCCCAAAGGCTCGGGGCTGAGGTACAGCTGCAGGGCCCCACAGGCACCCCACAGACACGGGGACACGTGAGGCCAGACCCAGAGGTTCCCATGAGGAAGGGGACATGGGAGAGCAGGGAGCAATGGGGTGACGAATCAGCATCCCCAAACACGCCCACCGGATTTGATAGAAATTCATGACAGCAAAAGACACGGCCACGCGTCCCCCCCCAACTCCCTCCTCTGCTTCCCAAGGCCCGCAGCAGCCCCAGAAATCCCTTGCACACCCCCAGCTGCAGTGTCCCAGATGCCTCGATGTCCCAAATCCCTTCAGAGCCTTCAGCTCTCTCGGCCTTTCTGACCTCAGGAAAGAGCCAGAAGTCACGTAGTGTCAGACCCGGTTTCCAGGGAAGGGGACACACAATCCTGGGAGCTCAGGTCCACAGTGTCTTCAATTGAGGCTGGGGTGCCTGCACCCCGGGAGCTGGAAGAGCCGCTGGGCCCTCCCCAACCCGAGCCCCATATTCTGGGCTCCTGACCACGACTGGACCTTTCTTGCTGTTTTTTCAAGACAGGGTCCAGGCTGCCCCTGAGCTCACCATGTAGCCTGGACAGGCCTCAAACTCAGGGAGATCCTCCTGCCTCAGCTTGCCCTCCTGGGATCACAAGTGTGAGAACTCACGCCCTGCTTCGTGATAGGATAAATTCCTGCTCCCCAGCAGCCCTGCCTGGGGTGACTGCAGGCCCAGGAAACTCCTGGAGGGCCCCAAGCTCCAGCATGAGCCAGCCCCGACCTTTGGCTAGCCCTCTTAGGAGGCTAAGATGGGGTCATTCTATGACCCTGGGCTTCCAGAGTCCTGAGACAGCGTCTGGAACCCAGTCACCTGGATGCCAACGCGGGGCAGAGGCCACTGCGCCTGACCTCTGGCATGCACAGTCCAGGCACACGCACACAAGAGCCAGCGCCCAGCGCCCAAGCCTGGAACCTCACAAGCAGCCCAGGCGGAGGCCCTTCCGTGGAGGATGAGGAAGAGGCAGGCTTGGGGAGGCACGCAGGAGGCTGAGGACAGGGCTGTTTCAGAGTTTTATTTTTGGTGCTGGGATTGAACAAAGGGCCTTCATCCTGAGCTATGTCCTCAGCTCTCTGTGTTCTTCATTACTGTGACCCATGTTTTGCTCAGTTGTGCAGGTTGGGCTGGGAAGCCGTGATCCTCCTGCCTCAGCGTCCCAGAGCGCAGGGCGGACAGAGAGGGGGAGGCTGTGCACACCTGGCTCGGGCTTGTCCCCTGAGTTCCCAGTGCCTCCCTTGCTCTCCCCTGGGGAGGCGCGGTGGCCTCAGCTGGAATGATTCCCCTCGAGGGAAGGCGCAGATGAACAGCCTTTCCTGGGGGCTCACAGGGTCCCCGCAAGGTGTCGCACACTGCAGCCTGATTTCCAGAAGCATTCGCCAGCCCTGCCTCCGAGACCTGCTAGGGACAGTGCCCACAGCAAAGCACAAGAGACAGCGAGCAGGGTCGGGGGGTCGGGACGGGGGCCCTTGCTCAGGGGCGCCAACCTAGCAGCCTCACAGCGGGCCGCACAGTGCAGGCTGGACCAAGTGCGGGCTCAGTCCGCTCAGCATGGGGCCGGACCAAGCCTTGGCCAGGGGACTCCTCTCGGCCCCCCACCTGATCTGGTCCCCGAAGCAGCAGCTGCATGTGGGCAGAAACCCGCCAGAGGACAGCGGTGAAGGGCCATCGTCCTCAGAATGGGGGGGGATTACGAAATGGGAGCCCTCGCCACCGAGTGTGGGGCAGGCTCGAGTCCTGAGCCCCTGGTACCCGGGAGGCTGGCAGCAGGAGGAAGACAGAGCCGTCGAGGCGTGAGAACGAGCCCTCAGCAGTCGCAGGGAGGCACATGCCTGTCACCCCTGCACTTGGAGGCTGAGGCAAGAGGGCCGCTGTGAGTTTAAGGCCAGCCTGGGCTACAAAGGAAGGAGGCACTGACTCAAAAAATAGAATAAAAAAAGGACTTCAGACCCACTCACACCCAGTGGGTGCAAGGGAGCCAGCCTCGCTGGGCATGGTGACGCATCTGTCATTCCACACTCCAGGAGGCTGAGGCAGGAGACGGCAAGTCAGAGCCCAGCCTGGGTAGCTTAGCAAGACGGTCTCAAATTGAATGAACTAAACAGCGCGGAGGGCGCAGCTCAGTGCAAAGGCCCGGCTCCCACCCCACACAGCACACAGCTCAGTGCAAAGGCCCGGCTTCCACCCTACACAGCTCAGTGCAAAGGCCCGGCTCCCACCCCACACAGCACACAGCTCAGTGCAAAGGCCCGGCTCCCACCCCACACAGCACACAGCTCAGTGCAAAGGCCCGGCTCCCACCCCACACAGCACACAGCTCAGTGCAAAGGCCCGGCTCCCACCCCACACAGCACACAGCTCAGTGCAAAGGCCCGGCTCCCACCCCACACAGCACACAGCTCAGTGCAAAGGCCCGGCTCCCACCCCACACAGCACACAGCTCAGTGCAAAGGCCCGGCTCCCACCCCACACAGCACACAGCTCAGTGCAAAGGCCCGGCTCCCACCCCACACAGCACACAGCTCAGTGCAAAGGCCCGGCTCCCACCCCACACAGCACACAGCTCAGTGCAAAGGCCCGGCTCCCACCCCACACAGCACACAGCTCAGTGCAAAGGCCCGGCTCCCACCCCACACAGCACACAGAACAAGCAAAGCAAAGCACCTGACACTGAGCCCGGCCCTCGCTCAGCAGATGCTGAGCCCTCTCCCCCTCCCCCCCAGGGGAGACCCTGGGTCACTGGGACTGCCAGGCCCTGCCCACAGGGCCCACACGGAGGGGCACTATGCTGTCCTCATCTCCCTCCTCACGCAGAGGCGCAGCCCACAGCAGGGTCCCGGGGAAGCGGCCCCTTCTCGGGGTGACACAGACAAGGACACAGGTGATACTCAACCAGCCTCGGAGCATGCGGGCAACCTCCTACCTGAGCCTCTCCTGGAACCCCTCTTCAGAGTCCCCTGTGCCCTGGGAGGAATCAGAGAATGGGGTGTCTCCGCCAGGAGCCTCAAAGCACCCCGGCGCCAGCCATGTGACTGCATGTAGGGAAATTGAGGCTTCTGAGTCCCCAGCTGAGCGAAAGCCCAGGGATGGGGTCAGGAAGGGAGCGCCCCCATACCCACTATAGGAGCTGAGGGTAGGGAGGCCTGCTCGGGCGCACGTGACGTGACGGGAGGGGACAGCAGGCCTCCTGCCCTGGAATGCGGCCCGGTTTCCAGATGGGCTGGTTTTTCAAGAGCCACCATCGGTCTGGGCTGGGGGTGGCAGCCCCTGGCTCAGAGTGGGTGATTCCTGGCCCCCAGTGCCTGGCCCCCAGTGCTGGGCACTTTCCCAGGGTTTCTGAGCAACATGGGCTCTGCCACCTGGCTCTGACCGCGCCCTGGAGCACCCCGGGTCCATTCGGAAAGCCCCTTCATCCACTTGGGGATTCAGGGGGCCTGAGCTTGTGGGGAGGAGGCAGTCATTCTAAAATCTGAGGAGCACTCCCAAAAACGCTCCTGGCTGGCTCACCTAGACCTGAGCTACACAGAGAGGCACTGAACTGTGACCCGGCAAGCCGGGGGCAGCAGAGTCAGACACCCGACTTCCAAGGCTATCTGGACACTGAGCAGAGCCCCCTGCCCCCCACAGCAGGCTCTACTGCTCACCTCCAGCCAGATCCGGACACCCCACACAACACGGTGACTGCGGCCCTGACCCCCAAGGCAGGGACTGTCTCTCCAGCTGGCAGCAAGGGACTGGTGGCCGCACCCAGCAGCCATGAGTCAGTCCATAAATGTTTACTGCCCACCCAGACCCTCGGCCCTTGGGGGTGGAGACTCCCTGGAGAGCGGGTGACCTGCCCGCTGGAGTCAGGGCACATCACTGTCACTTTCGAAACTCATCCATATCAGGGATCCAAGCCCATACTGCCGGTTTCGGTTTCACTTAGGGAGCTGTTCCTGCTCGGGTCGGTCCGCTGGCTCCAGGACCGTCGGCCTACGCCTGGGTCACCAGGCCCATGGCAAGGTTTAGGAGACACCTGCCAAGACCCTGTCCTTCCCTCCTGGGGACGTGGGCTCTGCAGTGGTTGTAGGGTCTCCATTTAGGACCCAGGCAGAAGGCGCCTGCCGAAACCTTGAGCCACAAAACACCAACTGGGCAGGGTGTGGTAGCACACATGTGTCATCCCAGAACTCCAAGAGGCTGAGGCAGGAGGACTGCAGCAAGTTCGAGACCAGCCTGGGCTACACAGTGAGTTCAAGGCCAGCCCTAGCTACAGAGTGAGACCCTGTCTCAAAAGACAAAAACCAAACAACAAACAAAAAACCAAAGACCCACTGTGCAACAGGACCCTCACCCCACTTATCCATCCGTCTGCCGCCAGCCCTCGGCTCTGCGGGGTGGGTGCCTGCACACAACGGGGACAAAGATCACCTTCCCACAGCCAGTGCCTCCCCAGGCCCCACACAGCAGAGGGCATCCCCACCCAGCTGTCCCCAGAGGCTCCACAGGACCAGGAGCTTGTGGTCACCGCACGCACTCAGGTCACCTCCCTGTCCCCTGGCACAGGTATGACTCTGGCCTCCAAAAGGCCTGCCATCCAGAGCCCATTCACCAGAAGTCCAGACCACCCGCCCAGAGCCGGTCCTCCTGTCACAAAGCAGCACTGAGAGGACCGGGAGGTGGCAGTCACACCAGCAGAGACCTTGAGGAAGTCCGTTCTCCAATCCATCAGGCCCAGGCTTAGGGCTCACAGTAAGGAGGGCAGGGGGAGTTACTGGGCAGGCCAAGGCAGCACCCAGCATCTAGCCACGTCCTGTCCAATCACAGCCCTGCCCACCAGGGATCCCACAGACACGGGCACAGGTGACACACACAGAGGGGGGTGTGCACAGTACCTGCACACGCCCACAGTGGCCCAGATGCCAAACACACTCATACCCCTGGCGCTCATGTGCTTGCACACACACCCATGCGTACACATGTGTTCTTACCATGAGCACACCAACACACACGCACATACCTGGGGCTGGGTCAGTGCTGTGGGGTGTGGGGGCTCCTCCGCACACCCCACCGTGTCAACCCCAACCAGGATGTTGACTTCAGATTCTGCTACACCCCTCCCCACCCCACCCGCAAGGGGGCGGCCCCCAGGGTCACAGCTGCCTCTTTACTAGGCCCGATCTTCTACCCCATCAGCATTTCCTGCCAGGGCCCCCCTCCAGGGGGTGTGTCTGGGACACCATTGGAACTGAGCTGGTCACACCTGGGAATGGGACGGGACCGCAGGTAGGAGAAGGGCCTGAAGGCTGTGTCTTGACACCCTGCGCCTCAGTGTCCCCACCAGGGTAGGGGGCAGAGTTGGCCCAGCGATGCATGGTGGCAGCGTTCAGGACATGGACCCCTGCTCACACCTGTGACCCACTGGACTTCAAAACCCACTGAGATTCCTCCTAGAAAAGCCTCCCAGTGCCCCTGGGGGACCCAGCCCTTCTCCCTGGGGAGGACACGCAGGCCTCACACCTGCAGTCCCCAGGGGCTGGGAGACCTGCTCCATGCCTCCACTGCCAGGGGGCCTGGGACCGCCCCCACCCCCGGGGGGGTCTGAAAGGCAGCTCCCCAGCTCTGGGGCCTCCCCTGGGAAAATCCAGGACCACCATGACAACCAGGAAGGCTGGGAGAACCAGAAAGGGGGGTGCCCACTGGGGAAGAAAGGGTGGGGACACTGGCAATGTGGGGTGCGGGCTACTCTCTGTCACTCTCTGGGTTTGTTTGGATTTTTGGTTTGTTTTTGGTTTTTTGAGACAGGGCTTCACTCTGCAGTTCAGGCTGCCCTTGGGCTCACTGTGTCACCCAGGCTGGTCTCAAACTCACAGTGATCCTCCTGCCTCAGCCTCCCGAGTGCTGGGATGACAAACGTGCGCCACCACGCCCAGCTCCCTGCCACTCTTTCGCAAGTCCTCTGGAGAAGTCCACAGCTGACCAACACCCAGGAGCCAGCACAGCTGCAAACAGCTCAAAACACCCACTCTCACCGCCAGAAGCGCCACCCCTGGGAATTTCTCCCGAGTTCAATTCCTGTCACCAGCAGAGCCCTAGGGCTCCAGAACTCCCCCAGGTGCCAGGCTCCTGTCCTGCCTGTCACCTCACCGGACAGCAGGCTCATGAGACTCCTCAGGCACCCCTTGTCACACTGGACAACATTCACCACCACCCCAAACTGCCAACAGGGCTCCCGCAGCTGGCTCCAGGGCCAGGCACCACGGCCCACCACTGGCGGGGTGCAGAAGGCGGCACTGATCATTCCCGGGCAGGAAATGCATTCCTGAGCAGGTGTGACCCACTGGCATTCCGGGAAGCGGAGTCCGGGGATGTCCCGGCGGCAGAGGCGCAGTTTACACGCTCAATTTTTCTTTTAACCTAACAAAATGTTAATCACTTCATCAGGGAGACTGCCCCCAGCCCAGGCGCCGGAGGGCTCCGGGGCCCCACACCCCCAGGCCGGTCTTGGCGCCTTCAAGCCCCACTGGCCTCCTGCCCAGGTCCTGGAGTGCTGGAGAGAGCTTTAACAGAGCAGGACGCTCCTGGGGGCGCTCCTCACCCCAGCGAGACCTCTGTCCCCATCCACCTCACCAGTCCTTGGGGTGCCTGCGGTTCCAAGCCCCTCAGGCTCAGCGCTCCCACACCACCGGCGGGACTGACCCCGTGAGGACGCCCGGGGGTCGGCTATGCCCAGAGCCTGCTTTCCAAAGCAGGGGGGACCGACCCCCAGCGGAGGGAGTCCCCAGAGCTGAGGGCCAAGAATGTCGCGTGCAACGGGGTTAGGGGTGGAGCGAAAGGGGTCCCAGATCCCCGAAAAATCTGGGGTCCAGGATGGGAGATATCTGGGGTCGCCCAGGGCCAAGGGGCAGCAGAGACGCAAGGTCCGGGGTTCCCAGGGGGGAGACGTCAAGAGATCACAGAGTTTCACGAGTTCAAGGGGTCACCGGGGGACTCCCGGGGTTACCCGGGACCTGGGGTCAAGGGTCTCCGGAAAAGGAAAGCTCGGGGTTCAACACGGATCGCGGCACCGCGAAGCCGGAAGAAGGGCGCTCGGGGGGCTTGTGGGGCGGCTCCGGGCGGGAGTGCCGCTGCCCTTGCCCCGCGGACCCCGGAACCCCGGCCCCGAAGGGGCGCACGAGGCCCCTCGCCACGGGCCGGCCGCCGCAGCGCAGGTGCTCGGTCTGCAGCGGGAGATCGGGCCGGACGCCTCACCTCGGAGCCGGGTGCGGCCGGACGCGAAGCTCTCGACGCCTCAGTTTCTCCGAGCCTCTCCGTGGCCGCCGCTCACTTCCGGGTTTCGGGCGCCATCTTGGGGGCCCCGCGCACTTCCGGTCACGCTGTGGGGGCGGGGCTGATTTAAATAAGCGTGGGCGGTGGGCGTGGCTTGTGGTGGACCCAGGATGCCAGTCCCCAGCTGCTCGGGACTGGACACCTTGGTTCCTCTCAGCCTCTCCAGCCTTAGATATTTTTTTCAACACCCAGGTGAACTCAACGTTGGTTTGCTGTGCACCAGGGCTCCGTCCCCAGCCTCCTCAGGGCCTTTGCACACGCTGAGCTCTCCGCTCGCAGCCTATGTTTCTCTACCTCTCTTGCCTCCTCTGCAGTAATTCTAACATTCACCGGCAATGTCTCCTAAGGAATACGGACTAAGGTCCAGCCAGCATGGTGATGCATATGGGGGCCCAAGGGTTACCCCAAAAAAGCAAGTTCCTTTCAGGCACAGTGAGGACCCCTCTATGTTTCCCCTCAGAGGCTTCTAGCAGCCAGATGAAAACTGTCCAGATTTGCCTGTGCAAGGAAAGAGATGAGACCTGGCCATGAGCAAAGCCCAGGAACACACAACTCTCAAGACCCCATGAAAAATGAAAGCACAGAAACCTGAATGCAAAAATTATTAAGAATTGCCCACCACACACCAGTCATCCAGCTACTCAGGAAGCTGAGGCAGGAGGATCTCAAGTTCAAGGCCAGCTTGGACCTGGTGGGCCAGGCTGGTGCAGACACCCTCTTTGCAGCCTGGTGTCAGAGATGACTACACAGTCACCTGGACCCAGCTCACCATCAGCAGACACCTCCTCACCCCATTCCAACCTTGAAGTTGGAGTTTACTTATCTATGGCCTCGGTCAGTTTGTTTGTTTTTCACTTGGTGAACTTGGAGATGCATCTCTGTGGCAGGCCTCAGGCTGAGAAAATTGCTGCCCAGAGAGAGCTCAGTTCTCTGAGCCAGGATCAGACACTGGCACCATGGTACTTAGAGTCCAAGAGGTGTGAGGTTTCTGCCTAGCACATCCTGCATAGCTGCATGGTACAGAGGATAATGAAGCTGGGGTTTTGAAATTCAAGTAGGAGTTTGCCAGATAGACAGGGATCAGAACAGCATGGGCAAAGTAAAAGCTGTTCAGAGACCTAGTCTGACACAGAACTAGCAGATAGAATTAACTAAGGGTTTCCTGTAACCAAACCTGAAGGGACAAAGGGGCAGATGGGTAAACTGAGGCCCAAAGGGGCAAAGTGATTTATCCAGAATAAGTGGCCCTTTGGCATGCTATTTGGGGCAATTGGGATTGCAATCCTGACTCTGAAGTTATTTTACTTTTTCTTAATTTTCTTTATTTTTTTTTGAGGACGGGGTCACTAATCCAACCCAGGGCCAGGTGCACACTACACTGAGACAGAACTTGGTGCCTGGAGTCACACTGAGTTCGAGCCACCCAGGTTCAGAAGGGCAGGAGGTTCCCAGTCTCTTTTTTTCCTATTTTCTCCCACAAGTGACCCACATGGCCCCTTAACCCAAAATTTAAAAAGTGCCAACCAGTGGCCCATGCCTGTCATCCCGGCTTCTGAAGGGCCCAAGGTAGGAGGATCTCAAGTATGAGGCCAGCTTAAGCAATTTAGTGAGACTGTGCTTCAACATTAAAAAAAAAAGCGCTGGAGAAGTGGGCATGATGGCACATGCCTGTCATCCCAGCACTCGGGAGGCTGAGGCAGGAGGATCCTTGTGAGTTCAAGACCAGCCTGGGCTACAAAGTGAGCTAAAGGCCAGCCTGGACTGTACAGTGAGATGTTGTCACAAAAAGACAAAAAAAAAAAAAAAAAGCAGGCTGGTGGCAAACACTTCCTAACATGTGAGCGACCTTGGGTTCTGTCCCCAGCACTGCCAGAATGAAACCAGGGGCAAAGCAGAGCTCTGGGGTCCTCTGCCCAGACACTGGGCTGTGGTCCCACGGTGGCCCTGAGACAAGAACTGGTATTACCTGCCTTCCACAGGCAAGCAAACCAAGGCACGGGACTGTCCTGTGTGTGGCCAAAGGTCACCAGAAAACCTGACAGAAGGCCCAGACTCAGCTTGTACCACGTCTGCCCCGGCAAACCGAGCAGCTGTCTCGGGTCGTTTCTGCCTGAAAGGAGGCCATTTGCCGGGGCCAGGCTGGGCCGAGGTGGCTCAGCACACAGGAATGTGCCAAGACCCGGGGCATCTCGGGAATTAGTCACATTCGGGGATTTCCAAGGAATCACAAGAGGTGGCTCAGGAGAGGAGCGGGGACTCAGCTCAGAGCTCTGGGTGTGGCGCTCCTGGCTGTGTGACCCCAGGGAAGTTAGATCACCGCTCTTTGCTGCCGCCCCCCCCCATAAGGTGCACCCAGGAGGGCTTACAGTGTCTACCCGCGCGATTGTGAGATTTGCACATAAACCATCCCTGCTTATTCCCCTCCCCGTTTTTTTCTTTTCTGCAATTCTAAAGATCAAATTCGGGATCTCCTGCGTGCTAGGGAAGTGTTCACCAGTGAGCTGTACCCCACCCTTGCCTTTTATTGTTTTATTTTGACAAGAGTCTTGCTAAATTACCTAATGCAGCCTCACTCTCAAGATGATCTTCCTGCCTCAGCCTCCCAAGTAGCTGGGATGAGGAGCCAGCGCTGCCTCAGCCTACCCCAGCCTTTCTTAAAAACCTCAAACAGCAGAAGACTCCAGAAAGAAGCCTGTGGGTCAGGAGATTCTCAGGCCCTCAGCCTCCCCACCCCAGCCTCAGTTTCCCCTCTCCTCCGCCCAGCTCATGGTGAGGAGAGGCAGGGAGAGCGGGGTCCCGGACAGGTGAGGAGGGGCAGGTGCCCCTGGCCGGCCCGGCCCAGTGGGAGCGGCGGGACTGGACTCAACTTCCTGTTTCTGTACCACCTGGAAAGTCCCGGCGATCCCGGCAGCCACGGGCACCCGTCCTGCCCGCCACCCCAGCCACTTCTGCTTTCCATGCTGCTTCCTCTCAGCTGGGCCTGGTCCTGCCCCCCGCACCTGCCTGTCATGCATGCGGGAAACTGAGGCAGGAGCAGCTATGCACTGCTATGCCCCCGCTTCCCTCCACCCCACACTATCTCTGTCGCTGCAGGCCTGTTTCCCAGCATCCCTCGCTCTCTGCCTCTCTCTGTTTCCCAGCATCCCTCGCTCTCTGCCTCTGGCTCCTTATCTCTGTTCTCTGGCTTTGTTTTGGTTTTTGAGACAGGGTCTCTTTTGTAGCTCAGGCTGTCTGTAAACTCCCTCTATGGCCCAGACTGGTCTCCAGCTCACAGCGATCCTCCTGCCTCAGCCTCCCCAGTGTTGGAATGACAGGCGTGGGCCAGGGCACCTGATTCCATTGCCTCTTTGTCTCTCACCCTCTCTGTCTCTCTCCATCTCTCTCTGCGACCCTCCCCTGTGAGTCCACGCCCTGGGCCTGGCACCGTTTCTGCCTGTGGCTCCCTTCTTCATCCAGTAGCCCCTAGGCTCTGGGCTGGGCCTTCAGTGCCTACACAATGTCAGGGAGCTGTGAACCCGCCAGACGGGTTTGAATCTGGAGGCCTGGGCCTTCGACCTCTGCCCTGGGCACACACAAAGGCCCCCGAGGCTCAGAAACACAGCCAGGGGCATGTGCAGGGCCGATGAGGGGACGGTGGTATAGCGGGGCTCCACCCTGGGCAACTGGGAGCCATGGAAGGTTACAGAGCATCAGGGTGGCACAGTTGGGTGGAACCAGTGGCCCCTCGTCTGCCATCATGTGCTGGAGGGGGTGCCTGAGCCGCTGCCCCTCAGATAGAGAAAGGAGGTGACCTTGGAGGGTCATCTGGGCTGGTCTGCACTGAGTTCGGAGCAAAGACCCCAGTGTAGTGGTAAGCACCTGTCATCCCAGGACTCTGGGAGGCTGAGGCAGGAGGATGCCAAGTTCCAGTCCAGCCAAGACAATTTCTTTCTTTCTTTTTCGTACTGGGGATTGAACTCACAAATCCCCAGCCCTCAGCCCTCAGCCTGGGTAATTTAAAGACTTAAGGAGACATTATTGCAAGAAACAAAAAAGTCTGGGGCAGGGTCCCAGGAGGCAGGCAAGCCACAGCCACACCTGCCAGGGTCCCCCTGCTGCTCATGTGGCCACCCCAAGAACCCAAGTAATGATGTCACTCACAGGGGACTTTCTGGTTGGTACCTATGATGCGTGCTGCCCAGCCCCAGGGAGATTCCAAAGGCCAAGGCCGGGCCAGGCGGGTGACTCATTCCGGGACCCAGGCTCGGACCCACATTTGCAGAACCTCAGGACCCTGCTGCAGGGCTGGCTCCCAGGGTGTCCTGGGCTCCCCCAGGCCAGCGACCCCAGCCACAGGGACGCAGCATGCTTCGCCCCCTGCTGGTCACTGCCTGCCTCTGCACTGAAGGGAGCGGGAGTTCCGACTTCCAGGGTTCAAATCCCCAGCCTTCCACGCACAGCTGTGCACACCCAAGCCCATCTATGAGGTGAAGGGGGTGCAAGGTCACTCCAGCACTCTGGGAGGCTGAGGCAGAGTGAGCACAAGTCCTAGTCCTGTCTGGGCCACTTTGTGGCTTAACCAGACCTTAAAAAAGATCATCATAGCACCTCTCAGATGGCTTTGGTAAGACACAGTGTATGCTAAGCAATTGGAGTATGGTTTGGAATGCTGTGAAGATTTTATAGTGAAAAGAAAACTCATGGTAATGCAAGGAACAACAGTGAAAAGTTAAAAGCAACTCAGCCATCCATCAGTGATGAATACACAAACCAAGATCTGTCCGCATGGTGGAATATTACACAGCCAGGAAAAGGAGTGGGCTGTGACACTCACCACAGTACAGATGGACCTTGTGGGTGCTGTGCTCTGTGAGAGAAGCCAGGCACAGGAGGACACACAATGTGGGCTCCATGGATCGGAAACGCCCAGGACAGGTGACACCACAGACAGGAAGTGCACTCAGGGGTCCCAGGGCTGGGGAGGGGACAGGTGATCTGGGGCATCCATTGGGGAATTAGACAGTAGTGGTTGTATCTTGTGAATAATAGTAAAACACACTGAAGTGTTTACTTTA